AGACAGATAATTTGCCAGTGACTTTACAACTCCACTCTTTGTAAACTCAAAAGTGGACACAGATTCCCTTCCATTCAGCCTTTCCCCGATTTGATTCCATATTGAGAAGAATTTCTCATCATGGACATGTGCATCAATGGGTACATTCATCAAATCGTTAAGTGCCACCGACAAGTTCTTGAGGTTTCGGAGGACATCTGTCAAGCCTTTCTCAGAGTCGAATACCTCAGGTCCAAAGAACCTCTCCTTGATACGTGTTGCAAGAATGTAGACAGAATCATTTTCAATCTTACAAGTTTGTGAAGAAGAAGCAAGCGCAAAAGACTGGCACAAGCATTGCACGCTCTCTTTCGCAACAGGCTTTTGTGAAAGGTCAGCTGATCCCCTATCAGAATTTAAGAGTGCTTCAATAGCGAAGAAAACACCCTCCTTTATAAAGCAATTCAAGAAGGTATCTCTGTATTTCTCAAGAAGCACTTCAGCAATCTGTAGCGCTACAAAGACCACATGAGGATCTTTCCTTGCCAAAACGCCCGCCAAAACACTGTAGCAACATGAAATGCACTACCATTAGCTAAAAAACAAAACGGTTAGGACAACATAAAGCTCTTCAGAAAATATTACAAAACAAAATACCTTGAAATGTTAGCATTCTTCAGTAACTCAACAAGGTCGTATGACTTACTCAAGCAAGTCAGCTTGTGAATTGCTGATAGGCAACCATAAGAAACATATACATTAGCTCCAGAATTGAGCACCTACAAAGAATACACAAGTTACGTCATACTCTTAAAAAAGAAATAACCAGGAACTTTACATGTACAGAGCATAAAATTGTTTGACGGAAATAACCTGAATCATAACAGGAAGCATGTCTGCTCCAAATTGTTGCAAAAGATCAGGCTGATTGACAAGAAAACTTTCCTTTTCCAATGTCAGCTTACTATCCTCTTCAGGTAAAGCTGGGAGAAGCTCAATTACCAACTTCAACACTTCATGTACCTGAGTGGTTTTGGTTTCCACCACCAAAAATTAAAATCTTATCATTACTCCTTCCACCAAAAGCTATTTTGATACACTCTGTTTGGAGTACAAAAGAATATAAGAGTGATCTAAGAAAAAAATCAAACCTGGTTGGAGCATGCATTGATGGGATGTGTAGAAGACACTGAATGAGAGATGTCATACGTGGACATGATTTCTTTTAGTCTGTAGCCAATGTTAAGCTCATATAACGTTCTGAAAGCTAACGCTGAACCAGAAGATAGTTTTCTTAGCAGTCCAATCACACCCTGTGAAGCAAAGCCAAAATGGACGAGGTTACAGATATTTTTACGTAGTGAATATCAAGGAGGGTAATCCAAAAGGAGAAGAGATCTCATGTACGTTGTAAACAGGTTGAGATAAGGTAGTGCGGCTATTCAAGTTTAAAAGATGCGTGGATTGATGAATTAGTCCATGGCTACATAGTTGATCCAACAGTGCAGGTGACTGACTAACTCGATCCGCTATTTTTGTTAAGCAAATAGCCACATTCTCGACCAACTGCAAAGCGAAACATATATGCTATCACTATTTCGCAGAAGAATATTTTATTTCAACGAGAAAACTAAAAAGAACTGAGCATCTTTCTGACCTGTCGATCTTCATACTGAAGAAGATTGCATAATATTGGAACAGCATCCATGAAAAGCGAGGGAGACTCAGATGGAAGCTTCCTACATATATTCACCACAGTAGAAATTGCGACTCTCTGATGCACATGCAATGTTCAAATCGACAAGTCACCCATTTGAACTAAACCAAGTCAGTAAATAACATAGCAAGGCCATTCTTAAGATGACTAACCTGTATGCTTGTTGAGAAGAAATCAATAAAAGAAAGCACTGCCATAATTGCTCCAGCATTCAAGCACGCTGCTGGCTGATCTCGGGATATTTTCTCAAGTGCTTGCAGACACTAGCCAAGTCAAAAAGTAGGTATTACATATTGATCAAATATTGATCAAAACTAGCTCTCTTTAGGTGTTTAAAGAAAATAATGAATCTAATGAGGCTAAAAGTATGCAAGTACCTGCTCAGCAACGTCCAAGTACTCAATAGTCAATAGTCTTTGGCAGAGAGCAGGGATAGTATCATGTCTTACGAGGAATGCTACCGACCGCGGATAAACATCAGACAAGTAAGTGATTGCTCTGATTGCTAGCAACATAATATCTGCATTGTGCTCATGCTTAGCTAAATTAACAAGCACCGGTGAGAGCGAGTCGGCCATTTGGCTGGACAGCGACTCTTCAGTACAAAATGACAACACTTCACATAACTCTGTAAGCCCGGTTAACTGCAGAGAAGGATCGGTTTCTTCACTCAGACTCGACAAGAGAGACTTCAATTTCCCTTGATCACCAGATGATCTCTGCCTCTGATACTCCTGAAGCACCCTGTGTCTCGGCTCCACCTCGTCAGAATCGCAAGAACCGTAGTCCGAATCCTTATCCTGTTCCTGTTCTCCATCTGATCGGCTCGAATGAGAAGCAGATGCAGATGCAGATGCAGAAGCAGATGCAGATGAAGAAGTATCCATATCAGCTTCAGTGTTTTCATGTCCCGAACTCGTGCCATTGGTGGTTTGAGCCTCAGCTTCAGTGTTTTCATGTCCCGAACTCGTGCCATTGGTGGTTTGAGCCTGAGCAGATGAGCCGGATGCGCTTGGCCTGAAATCCTGCGAGTTACAAGCTCTCTTATCAGCAGGTAGCTCTTCCACCACCTCCATACGTTTCTGGCCTCTGTTCTCCATAACTTAAAACTCTTCCGATTAAATTATCTTCAAACCTATCAACCAAATGATCAAAGTTCAAGTCTTTTAGTATCAAAAAGCTGTCTTCTCACTTAAAGCGAAACCCAAAAGGAAGAGTAGATGATAAGGTACAACTAAGAGTCAATCAATCACTATCCAAAAACCAGTGGAAAATAACAGCAACAAATTTAGGGTTTTTTTCCTTCTCAGTAAAACAATTAAACCTCAAAAACTCGAAGAATCAACACAGAAAAAGACGATCAATTTCACAGAGAAAATCAAACCAAGCAGGAAAATACAGAGACGCTTCACTGACAAGAACAGGAAAAAACAAAAACAACAACAATAAGAAACAAGGAAAAAAATTATATAATAAACGATAGCAGATTTGAATTAGCAAAGATGATCAACTAAGAACAACACAAACAGGATAAACAAAGATCATGATCGCACTGAAACTCAAAAAAAAAAAAAAAAAAAATCAAACCTTTTTCAAGTCTCACGAGATTGACCTCCAATCTCTGTGAAGAAATTCAGCGCCTTTAGGTTGGTATCGTGAACCTTAAAATTCTCAAGGAGAAGAGAATCTAGGGTTTTGTCTTTGGAAAAATTGATCTCCAGAAAGAAGAATCAACATAGATATACAACAATAATATCTCTATGTAATATATACTTCTCCTTGCTTATTTGCTAAGACGCTGGTTGGTTGTTAATTACTAATTAGACAGACTTCTAATGTTAAAAGAAGTTATCTTCTGCGGGTGTGCACACAGGAAGTACAGTGTACGTCGAATCCACAGAAGATTGGAATAATCGGACGGTTATTAATTTATTGAGAGAATATCCGAGGGACGTGAATTTTTGTTATGCCGTTTGTTTTCCAATTTTGGGGATCAGAGTATTTAGCACCGCCTCATGTGGATGCTTGTGCCACGTGTCGTCATTAACAGTTTTAAACCGTGCAATTAATCCAAAAGCTATGCTTTCCTTTTATCTTTTTGACAAATTTGTCCATTGTTTATGGTATTGATTATTGTTGCCTAATTAGTCTTTTTTGCTTTTTTATTGTAGGATGTAAAATTAAATTTTAACTATATCAATTTAACATAAATGATGCACTTTTAGTGGTTTACTGAAGGAACTAAAAGACACGTCAGCTCATGAGATGAAACTAAATCTAAGTGAATATCGGAAAGAAACTAATAAAAAAAAAATTCTGGCATTCTTAAATCTTCTTAAAACAAATCAATAAAATATCCAGGAAACTTTATTCAGAAGTTTGAAATTCCCATATTTACACACAAAATCTTCCATAATATCCAAACTAACTTCCTTTTAGTTTACAGGGAAAGTGGCGAAGTTGTTATCTGAAAAAAAAATAAAAGGAAAGTTGTGATTACACATTAGATTCGCTCTTTATTCATTTCCTTTGGATATTTAAGAAACTTGGGATACAAGGAAAGATACAACTATGGTGTCAAATCGTTCGGACTTGCCCGGTCTACTTTTTTCACTATTCACGGCATCTGGCTCTGGTCTTACAGAAGAACAAACAAAACTAAAAACTCAAGAAATAATATCGGTTCTCTACCATTAATCCATTATTGTTAGAAGGTTGGATAGATTTATAACATTTCAGAAACAATAGCAGTCATCGTAATAGTCTCATGACTACTGTTTGATACGATGATGATAATGATAAAATAGATCCATGAAGATGATGATGAATTGATGATCAAGGAGATCACATCATCAAACGGAGAAATTTTCGATAAAAAGCCAAGGCACTAAAGTTGGAAGAAATTGAGAAAACATGTTCTTCGTTCTTAAACATATTATTATAATATCTCAACAACATCACACTTTCAAGAAAGTAAATCAAATGAAGAAACATCGGAGCTAAAGACTGGATCTAGAAAGATAAACCAAATAATTCTGTGAACTGAAAGAAAATCCGATTTCAAAGTCTCTAAAGACTTAGCGAACCTCCAACAGTTTTCTGCCGCAAGAAACAATTTTGATATATCAAAGATACTAGAAACGATTAAGCATATTACTAAAGATCTATCCACATAAAAACATTGCCAAACATAATGAAACCCAGTATAAAAATTTAACATTAGTCACAGTCTTGACCAAGAATTAGCAGTAACATTGGTTAACTATTACCTTATATCGAAACTCAATCAAATCATAATGTTGGATCAATCCTCATCATCGGAGCTTGCATCTGAGCTGCTGTACTCACTGCTATCATCCTCCATAATGTCGAGCTGAACAGCTCGGACCTGTATGACATCAGGCGGTCTGTGAAGTCCCGGAGGAGGCCGCATGTGTTGCTGCTCCTGAGCTCTAGGCGAAGGAAACGACTCCAATGGCGGTAACACAACAGGGTCTCCTGGTTTCCATCCAGGAGGTGGCAATGGCAAGTCTTTAGGCAATTCCACAGGCATCCCTGGTTTCCATCCAGAAGGAACTGCGATATTAGGCGGAAGAAGGTTTTGAATCGCGGAAAGATTCACAGTTTCTGGTGGTGGTGGTGGCTCGATCAGTGCTTCAACCTTCTTCTCCATGTCATCTACGGTTTTCGGTAGACCAATGTCGAGATCAGCAAAAGTGTAGAGCTGAGAAGCTCTCATTTGCTCGTCTTGTGGAGCTGGTGGGAATGCACCACGGAGAGGTGCTTGCCCTGCACCGAATTCCGGCGGAGCAAATGTGGTGTAGCTAATCTTGTGAGCGTAGCTTAATATGTCCTTTAATTTGAGCTGAGAAGAAACTGTAGTTGTGACAGAGGATGAAGAAGGAGACTCATTGTCATCTTCTTCTTCTTCACTTGCAATTTTGCTTCTCTTCGTCTTGCGATAATCGGCGTAGTCGTCAACGAGCATATCGAGAACACGTTCTGCTTCCTTGAGCTTGTTGGCGAACGCGAGAAGAGACGAGTCTTTGGATTTGACCTCACGAGCGACCTTCTGTTTCGCGTCCTGGAGATCGAGGATCTCCTGAAGCTCCGTAACGGCTTCGAAGAGCTGAGTCTGGAGGGAATTGAACTGAGAGAGGATTTCCTTGGTGGATGAAGGATTAGGGTTCTCTAGCGGCGGAGGCGGCGGAAGCGAGTGGGAGGAGAGGAACGAAGGGAGAGAGCCACGGAAAGCGGAGAGCCAGAGAGCGCGGTTGGGAGAGACATCGAAGAGCTTAGACGATAAAACCGCCATCTGCTGGAGAAGAGCCTGAGCTCGCGGCAATGGCGGAAGGAGTGATAGCAAAGCAGACGACGAAATAGCCGCCGAGGCTGAGGAAGCGGCGGCGACGGTGGTGGAAGGTAGTAGATTAGAAGGTTGTTGGATCTGTTGGTGCTGAGATTGGGAGGATGAAGAAGAGGTTGGATGGCCATGACGAGGAGGCGTTGGATTTTGTACGGACGGAGAGCCAGGACCTGTGAGCCCTAATCTCGCCGGAGATTGGACGATCTGATGCTGTAGCATCCTCGCCGGCGGCGAAAAACCGCTTTAAGCAGAAGTTTGCATTTAGAGAGGAAGTCGCGATTAGTGGAAGAGGAGAGAATACGATGAAAGTAAAGAAGACAACACGAAGCTTTCTTCTCCCTTTAGTTTACCGATCGACGGTGGATCAGTGGAGAAAGCAAATCATCTTCGCAAACCTTCACTGTAAGCCAGAAGGTTCTAAAAGACCCTTTTGAACCAGAGCAATGCGAATCCCGGTTACCGTTAACCGGATTTTGGAATATTAGTTACTGTAGGTGCTGAAAGAAAGGCTCTACACAATTTTGGAAGTTGATGCCTTTGATACAACAGAATTATATCATATCACAGTGCTGTTTAGTGGCATTTGCTAACTGTTACATTACGTTTGGTTTCAATAGATGACCAAACAAAAATCCAATCGTATAGAAAGTGAGAAAGAGACTCAAAATCGAAAAGAAGAATACATTTGGTAACCATTTTCTACGACATACACACACACACACACATTGACAAATATATATATCTACCATTCACCGAACTGGTTCTGACCGAAACTGCCATATTCCCCTTTTATTCATCAGTTACGTTCTCCTCAGACAACAACCGTAAGCAGCATCTGACACAAGCCACCAAATGCAGAAATATCAGATAGTCAATTAAGAGGACTGTGATCAGGATTATAGCAGCTGAGCTGATGAGATTTTAAGCTTCTACTACGGTAAGGTCTAATTTTATATTGATGTCGCAGGGTTGAGACAAAAACCACACTTACTTGATAGCTGATAGACAGTTGTTGTGAGCTTGAAGTCCTCAAGAGGATATATCACTTGTTTGGTTCTTGACCAGGGATCCCGCACGAACATCTAAGAGCTTAATTGTTCAGGACCTTCCTCTGCACCATCAAAGTATTCAGACTATTTCACGGTTAGATTACATCTGATCAATCCAGAAGTCAGCTGTTGATGTGTGTGTGTGTGTATATATCTCACAAAGCACAAAATTCCTCATATAATCATTGGAATGTTTAAATAAGCGCCACACACCAAGAGCAAAATCGACTGTTTTCTAACACTTTAGCCCAAGTTAAACTTGAAGGCGATGTACTTTCTTATGTGCTAACATGAAAAGATGTGTCTCACAGCACAACGAGCATGAGGATGAAAGTTATGATAAACTTAACACTTACAGCAGGTTCGAAGTCGGGGTTTGACAAGTTCACTGTGAGGTTTCTCATCAATAGCAAAACCTGCGAGAGATACTGCAATAAGTGAAGGGTACTATAAAAAGAACAAATATCTCCACAGAATCATGGTACCAATCATACTTTTGAAACATAATAGATGCAACCTACACTAGATTCAGCTGTGTGAGATGATAATTATAAATTAATTGTAGGGAAACACCACAACACCAGATTATGGTTACAGCTACGTAGGGAGCACAAAGAGAAAGCATAGTTCAAGTAGACACCTAAATGATGAATATACCACTGTCACACACATCATTAAACTTAAAGGCAAGCAAGCAGGCTCTAACTCACAGTTTCAAAATTTATAGGATCCATTTCCTTGAGCTTTTTCATTCGGCCTTTGCTGTCAGGATCAAAGACACTCCCAATGAAGTTATAAACTTCAGCAAAATCAGGAAGACCTGCAAAAATAACCATTAGAACATAGTCCACCATCAAATGAAAACTTAGAAATACGCCCACAGTTGTTTGGATAATTACCGTGCATTGAGGGAGCTTGAATCGCAGGTCTTAAAGCCTTGGAATCTGATGGCGCTCTGCTTGAGCTTCCTATACCAGATGCTGAAGGACTACTCTCACTTGTTGTGCCATTCGATTCATTAGCAGCTGAAACAATAACATTGTAAGCTGGATTTAGCATATGGAGCAACTCCACTCCCAAGCAAAATACAAAAAATTGAGTAAAGACGAGAGTACGCATGCCTTCTCCTACACTAAGAGTAGCAAGTTCATCTTGTGGTAGAATAACCTCGCTTACGGCTATGTTTAGCAATGCAGAGGTGTCATCATCCCATGAGGTATATCCAGGCACGTTATTAATTTGAGTAGGAAAGGCCATGGAAACGTGAAGCGACATTTGAGCTGCAAAATTGAGTTCAGAAGCACATGTTAGTACTTCATCTCTCTACCCAAAGTAGTTTCTAGTGTAACAGATCTAACCATTCTTTGATGCCTTTTGAGGATATGGATGAGCAGCTTTGCGCTTAGGCCTAGGCGGTGGCACGTGTGCTAAAGTCCCATTTTTCTGGACCTTTAAAAAGTATTTTTGGGCATGGCTCCTGATCTGCAGTAAATCAAGCAGACACACGAAGGTTGAGGAGCTAACCAGACCGGTGTATCATATAGAAAACCAAAAATCCAAAGCAGCTGATCTCAAACCTGAATTACTGTCTTTGAACCAACAAAGTCTTCAATCTTTTTCCAGTCACGATCAAACCTAAGGACGCAAGAAAATTGCCAGAGACCAGTAGTATCAGCAACAAAGTAGGATTCTTTTTTCCAGAAAAAGAGAGAGAAACGTTTTACACACAAAAAAATAAGCACTTGTGACATTTGGAAGCAACAAACCATTACCAAATTGAACTTAATCTACCAAAGAAAAAGCTTACGACTTGTTGATAATTGGTTTCATGCATATGACTAAAAAGCTGACTTATAGTCTGTTTTACAGTATTCATGTTGTGACTTCAGTCAAAATCAGATGCCAAATGCTACAGATGATCTACCAAATAACTCAACTTTGATCTGATGAAACTTCATTTCACTATATTACCCTAACATGATATTTGATCCGAAGGGCAAATTAACAAATTGTTTAGATCAAAACTAAGCCTAACATACAAAACCTTCTCTTACACGTCTGTTAAGCAGACTGAGAAGATATGAAGCTGAATTACACAAATTCAGCTACAATTGGAGCTCGACACAAAATCAATTGAAGAAGAAGAAAAATGTGAAGATAGAGGCAGTAATTTTACAATTGAAGAGCTTCCAGGAACTTATCGTGCTCTCCTTCTGTCCAACTCTCTCTGGACTTGGTGATCGTGTAAGCTTTCCTCACCTTCTTCTCCGGAGCTTCCGCAGCTTCCGTCGATAGAGAAGTCACCGTCGTCTCTGTAAGATCTGTAGACGTTTCCGCCGGTCGTACTTCGGCGACCACCGGATTGCTTGACGGTGACGAAGTCATCGGTTTTTTCAAGATAGGGATCGTTTAGGGAGGAGATAGTGATCAGAGAGAGAGTTAGAGGAGAGAGAAATGACGATATCCACATGGCGGGCAGGAGTTTGGTGTAAATATGTGGCGACGATTCACTTCGAAATTCAGACCATCCATTTATTTACCTTTTCATTTTTATATTTATAAAATCATATTTTTTTTTCCCTTTCTCTATCGTTCGATGCCAGCTAAGCTTCAAACTTAATCACGTTTGTTAAGGAATGAAAAGAAAAAAAAAATGGTAATAACATATTTTTGGAGCTTTACGTTAGGGGAAACTAGTGTTTTTCAAAAAAAAATTGATATTACATACTTTCAGAATATCTTATAATTTATTTTTGAGTATTTTTATTTTCAAAATATTTTGTTCCTTTTTTTTTTTGCTATCATTTTAATGATTTTCTAAAATCTATTTCTTATAATTTGTTCCTTATTGTTTCTCTTGTTCTTATTCTATAAGTGGACAAAAACCCTAACCTAGGCCATCAAGGATTTGGAATCCTAACACACTATTGGAATCCAAACACACTATTGTTTAACTTTTTCTTTTCTCTATATAAAGACGAAAGCCTAACGTGATCCTAAAAGAAATCAAATCATCCGCAGGCATGAACATGGAAGAGATGAAGAAATCATCATCAGAATCACATCCTCCTCCGACTTCGTTCTCGTCGTTACCGTACGAAATCGTTGTCAGTTGTTTGGCTCGTATCTCAAGAATCCATCGTCCAACTTTATCTCTCGTCTCCAAGAGTTTCCGATCACTCATCGCATCCGCTGAGCTCGACGCAACACGATCACGCATGGGAAAAACCGAGGAATGCCTCTATGTATGCTTGGACCTAAATAAGAACAAACCTAATCCTGACATGATTGTACCTCGCTGGTACGCACTTGCACCAATTCCCAAACGACAGAAACTGCTTCCAGTCTCTGATTTGTTTCCTTATCAACATCCAGAATCCTCAACTATCGTTTCAATAGATTCAGAGATGTATCTAATCGGCGGATTAGTAGATGGAAAAAGAAGCAGAAGAATGCTTTTCCTCGAATCTCATCGATGGCGTAGCCTACCTGACATGATTGTACCTCGAGAAAGACCAGCGGCGGAAGTAATTGACGGTAAGATCTATGTGATTGGAGGCTGCAGCAAGCATTGGGGTGAGGTTTATGATCCAAAGACACAAGCTTGGGAACCGTTATCGCCCACAACACTAGATCTCACCACTCAGAAGAGTGTGGTTCCAGGTAGATTGGTAATGGGTGGAAAAGTTTACGAGGTGAATGGTTTGAGTCTTAGCTCCAAGCCGGATATTTGCTTGGCAGAGATAGAGTCCAACATGTGGCGCGAAATACATATCTCCGGTAGTGAACTATTTTGGCGTGAAAATGAATATTCGTTGTGGTGTGTTGTTGAGGGACTTGAAAAACTGTCCCCCTCTTCATATTTTCCTACTCGTCCTGTTTCGGTGGCAAACTCCGGTGGAAGAAGAGTGACAGTTTGGTGGAAGACGGTGGAGTATCGCCGTCAAGGTCGCCACTACACTAAGGACTGTAAAACGGATATTTGGTGCGCTGAGATTTCGTTTCACTTCTTTCAGATATACGGTATAACAAGGCTTCGAGGTTGTATAGAATGGTCTAAATCTGTTTATACTTATGATGGATGTGACTGCCGTTCCGAATTCTTTTTGCATTCTGCTGTAGTGACGCATTGATGGATGTATGGATCTATCTATAGTTTGAATTGAAGAGAGTTTTATTTTTGACGTGATTTTTTAGAATAGTTTTTTAGTGGTGTTTTGAGTGATAATTTGGGATTAATAAATAGCATTCGAATATCTCTTTGCGTCTAGTTCCACACATTGTCAGTCCATCGACCGAATTGTTTTCATTGCCGTCGAGACTAGGCTTTTAGTCAAACACCTTTTCAATCACTAAAAGAGAAATTAAGTAAAAAGGTTAAAAGGAAAACTATTGTTAATCATTTGATGCGTCGTACAACACAAAACATGTGTCCGAATGTTTTGAAATAGACAGTCTTACGAATCAATGTCGGAACATTGAGCAAGAACAAATAAGAGAGAGCAAGAGGCTCGAGACGGATCACTAGGCGACAAAAGTAACGGTGCGTCAGGGTTGGTCGCTTCGATGCAGACGCGTGAAAACTTGAGCCCAGACGCTACAAAATCCCAAATTCTTTGTACTTCTGGTTTTCCTTTACAAACCACACTCTCTGTTAGTCTGTTTTATGTTTTATGTTTTCTGTTTCAAGTTTTAAGTTTTAACACATCATCAATTTTGTTTACTTTTTTTTTTTTTAATTTTAAAATATCTAGGACACCTGTAATCTTTGTTGGTGTAATGGCTGCTTCGCCGGAAAAAACTGAGAATCGACATTCGAGAAGTGGAAGAGAAAGCAGCTGATAGTACGGAGAATTTCCACTGCTTCTCCGATTTCATATTGTTTGAGTGGAAATCAAACCAAATCGGTTTAGACTAACCACCGTCCGGTTTGGAAGTTGTAAGAATAGCCTTTCAATTTCAATCCTCTTACAGGTCGCGTAAAAAACAAAACTAAGAGCAGAGAAGTGAGCGAGAGTGATGAAGATGATCCCAACCGTTGGCGAGGAATGAGGGACCTTGTCATCGTCTTTGGCTCCTCTTCCGTCATAACCAATCGTCACCATTACCACCGTCTCTGTTACGCCGCCGCACCGGAGCCTAACCGGAAAACTAAATCCATTTCTTCTTTCACCAAGCAACTGCCGCATCAACAACACTCGGCTTCTCCTGCTTCACTGTCCTCCTCGGCGAATCCTCTCCCAAGCCACTTCTCTGACGCCGTAAGATGGATTCCAGATGGTTCGGTAGAGTATTACGCTGATTTCGCCTCGAAGCTCGCCGAGGATGGCCGAATTCAAGACGTCGCCCTCATCGCCGAGACTTTGGCTGCAGAGTCCGGAGCTAATGTGGCACGTTTCGCTTCGATGGTTGATTCTGATCTCTTATCGAAAGGGATATCATTGAATCTTCGACAAGGGAAGATTGAGAGTGTGGTTTATACTTTGAGAAGAATTGAGAAGGTTGGGATTGCTCCGTTGGACCTCGTCGATGAATCTTCTGTGAAGCTCATGAGGAAACAGTTTCGCGCTATGGCTAACTCTGTGCAAGTGGAGAAAGCCATTGATTTAATGGAGATACTTGCGGGTAATGAATATTGCTGTTACACTGTGCTTTTACACTAGATTTTGAACCTCTTGACTTGAGCGGCTGCTTCCTATTTCAGGTTTTAGATTCAAAATCAAAGATCTGGTGGACCCTTTTGATGTCGTAAAGATTTGTGTTGACATTTCCAATCCCCAGTTAGCTATTAGGTTAGGCTCTTTTTTTTGTCTCCCACACACAATGATTCAGTTTTATGGTTCTGAAATGCAGATTTTTACTGTTCTTCTGTTGATTCTGATATTTGTGGATGCTGAATATAATATGCAATGCAGATACGCATGCCTCTTGCCGCATACAGAGATATTGCTCTGTAGAATTATTCATGGTTTTGGAAAGAAAGGAGATATGGTTTCTGTAATGACAGCTTATGAAGCCTGCAAACAGATTTTGGATACTCCTAACATGTATATATACCGCACTATGATAGATGTTTGTGGCCTATGTGGTGACTATGTTAAATCGAGGTACATTTATGAGGTAATTCCCTGAATATACCGGTTTTATTATTTTTGTCTGCCGTCCTGCATCTGTAATGCAATCATTTTTTTTTGTGGCAGGATCTTCTCAAAGAAAACATCAAGCCAAACATTTATGTTATGAACAGTCTAATGAATGTTAATTCCCATGATATCGAGTATACACTAAAAGTATACAAGAATATGCAGGTATGTCCTTCTTTCTATCTCTTGATAACACTATATGTAGATAGTATTTTGAATTGTTAAAGAGCCTTGATGTTGGTTTAATTAACCGAGTTGGTATTGACTGTCCTTCGAACTCTACATTTCATGGACAGAAACTTGATGTTACAGCTGACATGACATCCTACAACATACTACTGAAAACATGTTGCCTGGCTGGACGGGTTGATCTCGCGCAGGACATATACAAAGAAGCAAAGCGAATGGAATCTTCCGGACTGTTGAAGTTGGACGCCTTTACGTATTGTACTATTATAAAGGTACAATATCGTCATGTTTGGAAACATAAGCCTATCGTTATTATTTGCTCTTCTATGCCTGAAGTCTCTGAATAATGCCTTAAGATCAGGTTTTCGCAGATGCAAAGATGTGGAAAATGGCACTCAAAGTCAAAGATGATATGCAATCTGTTGGTGTAACCCCAAACACTCATACATGGTCGTCGTTAATCAGCGCCTGTGCCAATGCAGGTTTAGTGGAGCAGGCAAATCACCTATTTGAAGAAATGCTTGCATCTGGTTGTGAGCCTAATTCTCAATGTTTCAACATCCTGCTGCATGCTTGCGTTGAAGCTTGCCAGTATGACCGAGCTTTTCGGCTTTTTCAATCTTGGAAGGAAAACTCAGATAAGGAAGCCTTATTTGAAGATGATATAGTTAGTAAAGGTGGCATTTTCAGTCAAAATAAATTGAAAAATCATGGTCCTGGGTCTTTGGTGAATAGCAATTCTACTTCACCTTATATCCAAGCTTCAAATAGATTGTTCTTCAAGCCGACAACTGCCACATATAATATACTCTTGAAAGCCTGTGGTACCGATTACTACCGAGGAAAAGAATTGATGGATGAGATGAAGAGCCTAGGTCTTGCACCAAATCAAATAACATGGTCGACTTTGATTGATATATGTGGAGGTTCAGGCGATGTAGAAGGTGCCGTACGGGTGAGTCAACTGTTGCCTCCCTTTTTTGTAATTATTCCTCTCTTGCTTCAGTGTATAAGCTTTCTAATACATTTACGCAGAAATGTAATAAGTTCCCTGATAGTTTTTCTTCTTCCAGCACAGATTTTGAGAATTATGCATTCAGCTGGAACTAGACCTGATGTTGTTGCCTACACAACTGCTATCAAGGTAGTAATCTCTCTCTTAGTGGTGCTGACAGTTTCTGCTTTGTTCTTCATTATTGCTCAACTCAAAGGTGTGAAGATTCGACCCTTCTTATCTTGCAGATTTGCGCAGAAAATAAAAGTTTGAAGTTGGCATTTTCTTTGTTCGAGGAGATGAGGAGATATCAGATAAAGCCAAACTGGGTAATTATCCTGGTCGAGTGGCTTTGTTTCTTTCTGTCCCTTTGCTTCCTTCAAATATGAAGTTCCCTTTAGGGAAAGCCGTTTCTCAATTGAATTGAGCATGCCTCATTTCAGAAAGTTGTTTCTCAGGTGACCTATAATACACTTCTCAAAGCACGAAGCAAATACGGTTCTTTACTTGAAGTACGGCAATGCTTAGCCATATATCAGGACATGCGAAAAGCAGGGTAAGGGCTATCAAGTTTTTTGGTCTACTTTTACTTCTCTCTTCTTGATGGTTCACATCTTCAAGCAAGTGAGGAGGCATTCCCCTGATCTTACTAGCAAAGCCTCAAATTCTGCAGGTACAAACCTAACGATCACTTTCTCAAGGAGCTTATTGAGGAGTGGTGCGAAGGAGTCATACAGGAAAACAGTCAAAGCCGAGATAAAACAAGTGACGAGGAGGGAACTAACTTGGGGAGACCTGTAAGCCTGCTCATTGAAAAAGTAGCTGCACACATGCAAGAGAGAACAGCCGGTAACCTTGCAATTGACCTTCAAGGGCTTACGAAGGTGAGCTAATGATGACAATCTAGGAGAGATTAGAGTGTTTTATGCGCTTATAATACTATCTACCAAAACCCTGAAGCAAATGCTAATGTCAAACTTACTACATCCATTTACAGGTTGAGGCTCGACTTGTTGTCCTAGCAGTTTTGCGAATGATCAAGGAAGACTATATGCGAGGTAATAATGGTTATATCATACAAGCATCAAAGCATGGGCAAAAATTTAGACAAAATCACATGTATTTGACTTGTTTGCGAATGGAGACTAGAAAACACCATTGTAACTAACTGAATCTCCCTCTTGCAGGTGATATTGTAACAGATGATATGGTGATCATCATAGGAACCGGTGAAGCAAATACCGAATCAGGAAAGCAAGAGATCGGTGTGAAAGATGCGCTCGTAAAGCTCTTGAACGATGAACTGTCTCTTGTGGTTCTTCCTGCTGGACAAAGACATGTGCTAGAGATAAAACAGGATGCAGGATGTGTGGATGATGCAGACCAAGATCCAGAGCATGCACCAGAGGACACTAAGTCGATTGTTGGTATATCTTCATCGAGGAGACCTGTAATTCTGGAGAGGTTGATGGTGACAAAAGCGTCTCTCCATCAGTGGCTGCAACGCAGAAAGTAGCTGATCCTGACTGGTACATAACTAATCATCTTTATCTTCTATGCAAAATTCAAACTAAATTGCAGAAAAGAATGAGGAAATTTGTATTTTCTCTCGATGCACATTGTGTACCTTCTAAATAAACAAGAGTTTTCGTTTTTCTTTCTCCTCTGTATCTAAAAAGTTTATCAGCTGAAAGCTATCTTCCCGGTTCTGTGTAGATTCAAACAATAAACTAAAACCAAATTCCAATATCTCTGCAATAATTCACATCCGAGTAAACAGGGAATTACATGATCAGAAAACTCGAAATTTGTAGCATACACTTGTTGGTCTCTAATTGAACAGAAAGACAAGCAGCCTGACGATCAGAGCCAGTCCTGCTGCTGCAGTTTCAGGGGCAAGTAAACTTCTGTTAAATACTGGAAACCAAAAGAGCTCAACGCCTGAATCTCAGCCTTCTGCTTTGTCTTCACCATCAGATTAAGTTCCTCGACCCACCCGGGATTCTTCTTCACGAAATCCTCCTCTAGCATATCCTTCCCGGTCTTAATATCCTGCTCGGTCATTGGCAACCTACACTGCTCAGGTATCTTATACTTGTCCAAGTCACTTGGCCTGACTCCAAGCCACTTAATATCCGGCGTAGTCAAGTTTGCACTGTCGTACGACATGTTCTTCGACCCGCATCCATAAACAGACAAGATCTTCAACCCGTAAGGATCACTATCCACCAAGGCCAGCACCGGAAGCTTGAGCTCCATTTTCATCTTCCTCAAGAACAGCCTCGTGGCTACATCGGGCTGGCCTTTTGCAGTCACGATGATACAAGGGAACCGGTTGTAGAATCTGTCTTCTGCTAACCTCATGTAAGCTGCATCTTTCTCAACTAAGAGTATGAACATTGCATCACTCTGCATATCTCCAACCCGATCGATGTTTGGTGGAATGGCTTTCCCACCAATTCCCATCTTTGTGCAGTCTATCATGTCTTCATTGTCACTGAATATGAGCCTTCCCACCACCACACCTTTCTCTGATGCAATCACATTGAGGCTTGATCTTGTGCACCCGAGCATACACGACACATCGTCCAACACAGCATCACTCTGTGTCTGGTCCTGAAATTCATCAAGGTTGCAAATTTGTTCAAAACATTCCAAATCGAAATTTCACACTGAATCAGATTTAAGTTCCAAAGGTTTTACAAGAAATGGACCTAACAGTGACTATCATTTTCGATTCCATGAGAACAAAGTAAAACTGACTGAAAGCAAGAAACTTTACCTGGAAGAGCTTAACGTCGGTGTAGAAGAGATCACGCTTGGTGACGTGAATGTCCTTGAGGCAGAGTTGGTGGATAAGGGAGAGGATTCGTGTGGTGATGGTTGTTTTCCTGACAGAAGAAACCGAGGCAAAGGGACGGATGGTAGATTTGTCTTTTAAAACTATGCGGTCGAGCTCTGGGACGTAGAGCTGGTTCGAGGCTGCGCGTGAGGGAACGCTGAAGGAGAATCCATCACCGGCGAGAATGGAGCGAGCGATCTGAACGATGACTGTCTCTATAGCTGTCTGCACGGAGGAGCGGGGGAGATCTGCAACTTCACGGCAGGAAGATGAGAGGGAGAGGTCAGCTAGGGTCAGTGGTTTCGATGAAGAGGAGGAGGATGCACCGTTTCCACCGGCGGCGGTAGTTAAAGCAGAGGAAATATAGGATTTGAGAACCTTCAGGATAACGTCGTCTGATTCCAGAATGCTTTTGAAAGGAAGATCCTCCGGCTGGTCATCTTTAGATCGCTTGCGCTTCTTCTTATCCGCCATTTGTAGACGGCGACGACGACGGAGACGCGGCGGCTGAGAGAGTACTTGTACTGACAATGGCGGGAAAATTAACACTTTAGGTCGTGGAGGACATTTCTAGGGCTAATTAAGCAATAAGAAAAATATTAAACATTTGTGTTAGCAAGTAGTAAAAAGACAAGAAGTCGATATGTCCGAGTGGTTAAGGAGATAGACTTGAAATCTATTGGGCTTTGCCCGCGCAGGTTCGAACCCTGCTGTCGACGAATCTTTCGTTTTTTAAATTGGGCTTCTATATAAAAAGCAAATTTTACGGCCCATATCTAGAGCCCAAGATCTATAGAATCTTTAAACGCCAGTCTCTTCCGCCAAAATCTAATCAACGATCCAGATGAGTTTAAACTCAACGTTTCATCTCTCTCTTTCACGTGTCAGTTCAAAAAGATCTAAGATCCGCCACTAGCCTCCGGAACTACTGTTTTTGATATTGTCCACGTCAGCAATCCTTGCCAATGCGTGATGTGGAAATATCCGATCTGACGTGGATCTTATCGGACGTTCGGGACCTCTAGTTTTGTCCATGTCAGATAATTCAATATTTTATTTCAATTTGTTTTCCGCGAACAATCTCTCTAATATCTATCTATCTCCGGAAAATAAAAATTCGGTGGCTTATGGTCGTCTCCGATTTCCACTCTCTGGGAGACAGAAAAACCTCATAATCAAATTATCCACTTTCTTTTGTATTTCTTCTTTTCTGAAGCAGAGAAGCTTCGAATTTTATTTGCTATCCTTTCCTAAATCTGCTCTTTTTGTAGATTATATGTTTCTCTTTCCCAATCGTTAACTGCTTTGTGCTTGATCCAATTTTCTGGCTGCTGAGGTGATTGATGCAACTTTTGGAGCTGGATTCTTCGTTGTAGGATTTGATTATTGTAAGATCAGTTCCCTCTTTGAATTCAGATTCCTTTGATTGGTTTTGATGTTGACGTCATTGGTCGAGATTTGGTTTTTCGATTTGATGATTTTCAAAAACTTACTTAATTTGCTTGGTTGTATTCAACTCTTTGTTCTGTTAACCAGAGTTATCGTTCGATTATAAATCCTCTAGCTTTTGCATTTATCGAAATTAGGGTTGATATTTTGATCATTTGAACTCAGCGAAGCAGATTTGGTGTGATGAATGTTGACGGTGAGGGTTCGCGTTACCCAATCACTGATCGAAAGACCGGAGAAGACAAAGCAGCGAATGGAATCACAATGGATGTGAGAAATGGGAGTGCAGGAGCTGGACTGCAACTTCCACAGTCGCAGCAAACAGCAGCGACTGTTTGTTGGGAAAGGTTTCTTCATGTGAGAACCATAAGAGTTCTGCTAGTGGAAAACGATGACTGCACTCGTTATATCGTTACTGCGCTTCTTCGTAACTGTAGCTATGAAGGTCAGTTTTTGAGTCTGATCTATAACTTATTTTGTTTTCCTTTGGTTTTGTGATTGATTATCAACTCTGTGATGGCAGTTGTTGAGGTAGCAAATGGTGTACAAGCATGGAAGGTGTTAGAAGATCTTAACAATCACATTGATATTGTGTTAACGGAGGTAGTCATGCCTTACTTATCTGGTGTCGGCCTCTTATGCAAGATTCTGAATCACAAGTCTCGTCGGAACATCCCTGTCATCAGTGAGTTTTTGCTCTCTGGTCGTTGTTGTAACATCGAGCTCTTCGTTTAAAGTAGATACACGCTTTTGTTGATTCGTCTCTAGCTTCCGTTGGACGTGGATGCTATTAACTGCATACCCCTGTGAGATTTGTGTTGCAGTGATGTCATCTCATGATTCAATGGGGCTGGTCTTTAAGTGTTTATCAAAAGGGGCAGTTGACTTTCTTGTTAAGCCGATTAGAAAAAACGAGCTTAAGATCCTTTGGCAACATGTTTGGAGAAGATGTCAGAGTGTAAGTCCCTTGCTCGTATTTGGAAAACGGGTGGAATTTGTTGTATCGATTTGATGTCCAATTAGTGATAAAGTCATGGTTATACTTGTGGATTTGGTATCTACTTTTTTTGGTTTCTCATGCGTGTTTCTTGTTCACAGTCTAGCGGCAGTGGGAGTGAAAGTGGAACACATCAAACTCAAAAGTCTGTGAAATCAAAGAGTGTTAGAAAATCTGACAACGATTCAGGAAGCAGTGGTGAGAATGAAAATGGGAGCATTGGACTGAATGCTAGTGATGGAAGTAGTGATGGGAGTGGCGCTCAGGTGACTTTCTGATTCCTATGTTTTATTTTGCAAAGAGATGGTTTATTTTCAAAAACTTAAGACTTATTTTGATTTATCTTTTCTTCAGAGCTCCTGGACGAAAAAAGCTGTGGAGGTTGAAGACAGTCCACGAACAGTGTCTCCATGGGATCGCGTTGATAGCACTTGCGCACAGGTGGTACATTCCAACCCTGAGGTCCCCAATAATCACTTGGTTGGAGCGCCTACCGAGAAGGAGACTCAAGAACAGGATGAGAAATCTGGTAAAGAAAGGATGCTTGTGATCTCTCAGTTTCTTCCACTCTCTTCTTATACCGAAACTTAAAAAACATGGTATTCAATGTTTTTTTCCCCATTATTTCTGCAGAAGATGACACAATGGGTAAAGACCTGGAGATTAGTATTCGTAGAAGTTGTGATCTGGCGCTGGAGCCAAAAGATGAACCCCTAACTAAAACTACTGGCGTTATGAGACAGGACAATTCATTCGAAAAGAGCTCTAGTAAATGGAAAGTGAAAGTTGGAAAAGGACCAATGGACCTCACCAGCGAAAGCCCTTCAAGTAAACAAATGCGTGAAGATGGAGGCTCGGGTTTCAAAGCTATGTCCATCCACCTTCAAGATAACAGAGAAGCCGAGGCCCCTAACACGCACTGCAAAACTTTAGATACCAGTGAAGCTGCCGTTAAAAAATCCGAAGATCTAATGCATGTGGATCATAGTTCAAAGAGGCATAGAGGAGTTAAAGATGATGGGACAATAGTTAGAGATGACCGCAATGTGCTGAGGCGTTCAGAGGGTTCTGCTTTCTCAAGGTACTCCTTTAAAATCTCTTACAAATCCTAAAAATTATGTTTTTTTTCCTTTTATATAACAGTTACGACGTATTGAAGAAGTATTAACAAAACCATTGTTGGACTTGTACAGGTATAATCCAGCTTCAAATGCCAATAAGCTTTCTGGTGGGAACTTGGGAACCAATTCTCTTCATGACAAGAAAAGCCAAGATCTGATGAAAAAGACTGAAGCGGCATGTGACTGTAACTCAAACATGAACGAGAGTCTCCCCAATACTCATCACTCACGCGTAGGTAGCAATAACTTTGAAATGAGTTCCACAACTGAGACCAACGCTTTCACAAAGCCAGGAGCCCCAAAAGTAAGCTCAGCGGGATCTTCATCTGTCAAGCATTCATCGTTCCAGCCTCTACCCTGTGATCATCATCACTCCTCCTATAATCGTGTTCAAGTTGCTGAGCGGAAGCTACCGCCACAATGCGGATCCTCAAATGTGTACAACGAGGCGATTGAAGGTAACAACAACAACAACAACACAGTGAATTACAGTGTGAATGGAAGTGGATCAGGTAGTGGTCATGGAAGCAATGGCCCATATGGAAGCAGCAATGGTATGAATGCTGGAGGGATGAACATGGGAAGTGATAATGGTGCCGGGAAAAGCGGAAGCGGCGATGGTAATGGTAGCGGAAGTGGGAGTGGAAGCGGGAACTTGGCGGATGAAAATAAGATCTCTCAAAGAGAAGCTGCTTTGACAAAGTTCCGTCAGAAGAGAAAAGAGAGGTGCTTCAGAAAGAAGGTAAGATCTGAATCAACCTGAGGCTTTTGATTGTTTCAAACTTCAAAATATTTGGTTTCTGTTCTTAATGTTTGTATCCTCAGGTACGGTACCAAAGCCGGAAGAAGCTAGCGGAACAACGTCCACGTGTCCGTGGCCAATTCGTCCGTAAAACAGCCACAGCAACGGACGATAACGACATAAAAAACGGCGAGGATAGCTAACGGAAAAGTCAACAAAGCCAACTCTTCTCAGCCAGAAAACAAAAATAGTAACGTTCTCAGTTCTCACTATCTTTGGTGAGATCTATCAAATCTATCTTATCACGTGTTTTTAACAATTTTTCATTTCACCTCAAAGTCTGATTCTTTGATACTACACTACTATTCCACGAAAGATAGACAAGACACTACGGCATTTGATTGTTTGTTATTGTCGTTGTAATGGTCTGGTTTGTGGGTTTAGGACAAAGGATTTGGATGTAGTTGTAGTATATGCTGTAAACCTGTAAAACAATAACCACTTGTTTGTATATCTTTGTATAAGATTGCTTTTGGACCCCAGTAGTCCAGTACCATACGGTGTCGTATACGATTTGCTTATCACTTTAAGAAGAAAGTAAAATTTCATGAGTAGTTGACACTTTGCTAGAATTTAATTTCCATTAGTCAAAAGTCAAACCCGTTTACACACTAATTTGAATCACAAAAACTAAATTTAAATTAGAAATGTTTATTATTTAACCAACTCTGGAAAAAAAAATACTAAAAAAATCCAAAAATCCAGCGATTGTCGTGCTCTTTAACATTTCTTTCCATTTCAAAGTCCTTGAGCTTCTTCTCTCTCTCTCTCTCTCTCTCTCTCTCTCTGGCTTTCGAGATCATCGAACGCATTCAAAACGAAGAATCATTTGGAAGAGGATCGACAGGCTAATGGGTTGGATCCCTTGTTCTGGGAAATCGAGTGGGAGGACTAAAACAGGGAGGAACAGTGAAGAAAAGCTCAACAGGAATTGCTCTGTCTCTACTTCAGGTATGATGTGTTCAGCTGCATCCTTGAGCCTTCTTTTACAAATTTTTGGAAATTTTTAAGTTTTTATCATAATTGACGCTGTCTGATTCCGGTGAGCCACCGTTTGCTAATGCTATTAGGGTTTTTGACTTTTTTTCTTAGATACTTTTATGTTCCTTCGATTTCAGTAGCTTTAGACTGCTTTGACTTATGCTCTGACTCACTTGTGTTACATTTTAGAAGAATCTTTACTTAAATGATGTGTTATTGAATGGTTCTTTCCGATTTATTGTTACATCATCATAGATTATTCTCCAGTGAAATAGTCTTTGTTGGAAATTTTGTATTTAAAGCTATTTTGATGATTTTTTAATAGAAAGAAAAGCTGAAATCCTGGATTTTTACTAATCTAGTAATCACATGTTGCTTACTTCTTGAGCTCATTTTTGGTAGTTTAAGTGCAAATGCCTGAATGGGACTGTTACTATTTCAGGCCTTTGTTTCTTATTATATTCATGTACTTTGATCTTTGATTTGTTGATCCTGTTGTGACGTTAAAGCTCTGTTCTTGAGACATTAGTGCTCAGCTTGTGATGATTAATTCATTTCTTCTTCTTACTTTATCTTTGGTAGAGAAATCTAAGGCCAAATCGTCAGTGAGTGAATCCAAAAGCAGAGGGTCTGATAACATTGTGGCACAAACGTTTACATTCTCGGAGTTAGCTACAGCCACTAGAAACTTCAGAAAAGAATGCCTTATAGGGGAAGGAGGATTTGGTCGAGTTTACAAGGGATACTTAGCCAATACAAGCCAGGTTCGTCTCTTTAAACGTTGTAAACCATTTTGGCAGTGAGAGCTCACTGACATAGTTCTTGACTTGTAGACAGCAGCTATCAAGCAACTTGATCACAATGGTTTACAAGGAAACAGAGAGTTCCTCGTTGAGGTTCTCATGTTGAGTCTTCTTCACCACCCAAACCTTGTTAACTTAATCGGATATTGTGCTGATGGAGATCAAAGGCTCCTGGTCTATGAGTACATGGCTCTAGGGTCTCTGGAAGATCATTTGCACGGTATGCGCTTCTAAGATCACATCCCTATGAATTACATTTGGATGATCTTTAAAAGGCAATACTTTTTGCTCTCCAGACATATCACCTGGTAATCAGCCACTTGATTGGAACACGAGGATGAAAATAGCTGCAGGTGCTGCAAAAGGGTTGGAGTATCTGCATGACAAGACCATGCCTCCTGTGATTTACCGGGACTTGAAATGCTCCAATATCTTGCTCGGAGACGACTACTATCCGAAGCTATCTGACTTCGGTTTGGCTAAACTTGGCCCGGTGGGTGACAAGTCTCATGTGTCCACTCGTGTTATGGGCACATACGGATACTGCGCTCCAGAGTATGCAATGACAGGACAACTAACACTAAAATCAGACGTGTATAGCTATGGGGTTGTTCTTTTGGAGATTATAACCGGTAGGAAAGCGATAGACAGTTCAAGATCCACTGGAGAGCAGAATCTAGTCGCATGGGTAAGAAAAGGATTAGAAAGAAACAAACTTTGTTTTTGTTTTTCTCTGTGAAAATTCTTCTTCACTCTAATTTGGAATGCTCTGTTTTCAGGCAAGGCCTCTGTTTAAAGACAGGAGGAAATTCTGTCAAATGGCTGATCCAATGCTTCAAGGTCAGTACCCTCCGCGAGGACTGTACCAAGCACTCGCTGTAGCGGCGATGTGCGTGCAAGAGCAGCCGAATCTAAGACCTCTCATTGCTGATGTTGTCACTGCGCTCACTTACCTCGCCTCTCAAAAGTTTGATCCTTTGGCTCAGCCAGTCCAAGGCTCCCTTTTCGCTCCCGGGACTCCACCTAGATCAAAGAGGCTTTGAGAACCGCAATGCCGTGTGAGTTATATTTACCCTTAGACCCATCCCGAGCTGTCTTTTTTCCTATTGGGATGGGTTTCAAACTAAGTTGTATTGCTTAAGAATATGCATGTAGATATGTGTAAGAAGAGAAGAGAAAGAGAGAGATTCATATAGAGGGCGGTTTATAATGTTGTTTTAGGAGATGGTCTTTCACATGTAATGTTATGTAACATTTGATTTGAAATGTGACAATATCTCTTTGTATGGTATTGAGTCTCTGTTTTCATTCCAGAATCATTGTATTATTATAAAACTATTAATGTTTTGAGATTTTGATTGTGTTATGAATATGATATATCATTTGTGTTAATACTTCTAAATATAGGCGTTAAAAATTGAAACTTGGTGCGAGCGAAGCTGGACGACTTTCTACAACAGACTATAAATGAAACAAAACTTGAGATTTCCAAAAACAGAACTCAAAAAAACATCACTACAATAGTTGACAGAATCTTTTGAGAGAAAACAACAAAATTTTAGTATCGTATGTATACTAAAAAGAAAGTGAGAATTTTGAATTTTCTCACAAAAGTTTATAAAATTCCAAGCATGATTAAAGTAAGAGAAAAGAAAAAGAATTTATGGAAACTCAAAGAGTTCCAACATTGACCAAACACATCATAAACAAGACAACACTCCTTTGTCGCCGAGCCATGGAGTCAACAAGCAGAGCTTTTCCGATCAAAATCAAATACTAATTAATTTAGTTTCTCGAGAAACAGAGAAAGAGAGAAGCTAATCACTCATGGCAAGCCTTGGCTGCGACGCCCATGGCGACTTGAACGACGCAGAGTTTAGCAAACCCATGCCTTCAATCGGTCTATACGTAGCCGTAGCTTCACTCATCTGCGGACTAGCCATGGCCGCCGATCTTCTCCACGGCTTCCGTCACCGGAAATTCTGGTTCCCCTGCAAGTTCTTCTCCCTCAACGCGACTTCCCTGACTTTCATCGCCGTCGGGATCAAACTCTCCGTCGACCTCAACACATCGATGCCGAGTCGCCACGACCAGCTCTCCAAACTCAGCAGCAGCGTCTTCGTCTGCACCGTGATGGGAAATTCGATGCCTTCTCTCGGTATAATGGAGAACGAAGACCTCCTCATGAATCTCATGGCCTTAGGGATTCTCGTAGTCACCGACGTCGTCAACATCTGTATCCAGCTAGGCACTGGAGCCATCTACGTCTTCAAAGAAGAACACTTTCTCGTCGTCCTTCTCATGCTTCTCATGCTAACGATCTTGAGCTTCTCGGCGACGACAGTCCCCACCACGAAACGGATCTTGGAAACCAAATACAAGAAGAAGTATGAGGTTGCGTTGAAGTGTCCTTTGGCTACAGAGAGAACAACAGTGGCTAAGAAGATTCAGCAAGATTTGTCAAAGTTTTGGATGATGGCTCACACGAGCAGCCCTCAGTTCGTGATGGCTCGTTCCGTCACTTGCACTGCCTCTGGCTTCTTCTGTCTTTTGAGCGCTGTTACGTTAGGTGAAGCCATGGTTAGGTCTTACTTGTTGACACCGAGGTCTCTCTGGTTCTGTAATGGTGATTCTGATTACAAATGGTCGACCTCTCTGGTTCTTGTTTGCCAGACTGGTGCAGTAACTATAGGAACCGTTGCTCCTGCGATAAGATGGTTCACCGCTGTGAATTTCCGGTGTCCGATAAGAGGGAAGAAGTATTACAGAGACGAGTTTAGAGTGGAGAGTTACTGGACAAACTGGTTCTCTGAGAAGAAGCAACGTCCTTCAAGCCTAACGATCCTCAAAGATCGGAGATGCAGGAAGATTGCACACGATGGTAAGCGATGGATGTTGGATGTGTGTATAGGGACACAGTGTGTGATAGTGTTTGCAAGCAAGATCATCCGTTACATATCTGTCTACTGTGTGAGTAGGATCTTGATCTGCTGTTACTTCGCCATCAGAAGAAGTGGTACAGTCTCTCACGGTGAGTCGGATTCGTCCGGCTCGAGGCAGGAGCTTGCGAGTTTCGTCCTGCATCTTGAAGGAGAGGACGAGCTTGTGGATTTGATGGTGAGGAGCAACCGCGAGGCCACGGATCATTGGGTCAAGAACGGGAGGAAGAAGCAGCCTTTGGATTTGATAGAGCTTTTGGAAGCAACAACACACGTTTCGAGAGGTTTTGAAGGGATTAAAGAGTTTGATAGTAACGAGGTGGCTTCTCTTGCTGCATCTGGAGAGCCACCGAATTGCTGGGCGCTTCCGCTTGTAACACTCGCAAGCGTCGCTGTTGCTCTTCCTAATGTGAAGCCTGGCTCTATCAAGAAGCTGCTCAATGCTGTCAATGAGGCATTAGACTCTGTCAACAAGTTTGAGAACGTTTTAGATAGTGGAGGAGAGTTGACTAACTTGAGGAAAGCTGCTGAGGTTGTTTGGTTAGGAGTTGATCTTTATCATAAGTGGTTCGATGTGGATCTTCGGAAACTATCTAAGCAAGAAAGAAGTACGGAAGAGACGCTTAGGGAGCTTGTGGAAACCGCGAAGAGAGAGTTTTCAGAGTCGTGGCAGATGAATCTGATGGTGTGCATGAAGCACAAGCCTTCTCGTTGGCCTGTCAAGACTCTGGCGGCCAACTCCATGTACAGAATCTGTCAAACCATTCTGCAGAGTTACGAATCGAGAGACTACGGAACAGGAGAAGATCTGTTGAGGAAGATTGAGAGCATAATCTCGGACATAGTTTCAGGTTGTTTCTGCAACGTGGCGCAGGTGATATCCGCTAAATGTTTGGTGACGGCTGTAGAAGTGAGGGAAGAGTCGGTGAGAGCAGCGGCTCTGCATCTCGGAAGAACAGAGAAGATTCTTGAGATTGTGGAGAGAAGATGCTTACCAGATTTGAGATGTGATAAGATGAAGAACATCGATGAATGGAGAGCTTTCTACAAGTTGAACTCTTCTGAATGTAATAAGAACAAGACTGTTTCTCTCAACTCGAATGAGCTGTGCATCATTGTTGACTAGTTTGCAGAGAGCCTGTTTGTGTAAGAAGAGAGAGAGCTTCGTATAGAGAACGGTTTACAATGTTGGTATAGGTGATGTAATGTTATAGCACTTGCTTTGAAATGTGACACTACTTGTATTGATAGACAAGAATGTGAATGGAGAGTGTTACTATTGATTATTGATTAACAGTAAAATACAGATCAAGCGGTTGCTGAATATAAGTCTACAGTACACATCTTATTGCATTCAAGCGGTTCTTACTTCATATCCAAAGACCATATGGTTTTGGTCCGATAGACTTTACTGCTTAGTGCTTCGTTACTGCAAAGAATAAAACCAGAATAAGATCCAGATTTGGTATCAACTGGTTAGCCGGAAAATATCTAACAAATCCTGGAATTTAGAATTTACCATGAACTTTCTCTTGAAAATCTCCAGAATCTCCTTGGGATCGATTTTGGTTTGTGCATAGCCATCAGTCTTGTTCATCTCCTGAAAGCGTAACATCAATCAGTTTAATTAGTACCAATCCCTAATGAAGAGAAGTATAATCATTTTCTGACTTCATGAAAGATTGCTTATATGTATGTATACCTGGATCCAAGCCGATAGTTTGGGACGATCTGCAGTAATGTCACACTTGAACAATTCACTGAGTACGATTTGAAACCTTTCAATGAACGGGATATAGGCAATATCAACCTGAAAGAAACGAAGAAACTCAAACAATCAACTCAAGACGAACAAAAGGAGAAACATAGGAACTCACAAAAAGGCCATTACCAAGCTAAGCTGTCCGAGGAAGAATGACCCATCATCGAACATGTGCAGAGCGTTTTCCAGATAATCTAACACTGGTGCTGCAGCAAGAACATGAAATTTTCCAGTCATTATCTTTTTACCCACTTAAAAAAGTCTGAAACTTTTGAAAGAGTTTAGAGAGTAAGTCTCACCAGTTTCCTTAAAGGGGTCTCCTTTGAGGGACGCATACATAGTTTTAATGAATGTATCAGTGTATTTCAACAAATCGTTGCCATACTCTCTCTTTGCATGATCCTAGAGACATATATAACAATGAATTAGAAGAATGAGAGCGTAAGGAATGGGAAACAAAAGACGGTACGGTCTTACTGTTACCTCGGGGTAAAGCGAAGGCCCTTCGAAAGTGGTGTCGAGATATAAGATCAAATCGAGACTCTCCCCAATGATTTTGCCATTGTGCTCAAGCGCTGGCACCTTGTTCTCTGGATATACTTTCTCCTTGTACCAAGCAGGCCTATTCCCAAGATCCAAAGGAACAAGTTTTATCTTTTCTTGCAGCCCCTACGATCCAAAACAAAAGACCAAATCTTGTTTTAGGAAATCAAATTGTTAGTGAAGGTGAGACTTGGAGAAGCTGTTTGTTATACCTTGACGTTTCTGGTGATCCAAACACGTTGAGCAAATGGGCAAACATAGCTTGTGTACAATCTTTAGTCGTTGGTTCAATGAGAAACACAAAAACAATTAAAGAGAAAGATCAGACCAACAATAAGCAGCTATAGAAGTAAGTGATTTCAAAATCTTAAGAACAAGTAAATCTAGAAAACCGTAAGAAGGAAATGAAGAGTAACCTTGTGGTTCCATCGAACAGAGTTGGTGGATCGGCTGTAGCATCGAGCGAAGCTGGACGATCTTCTAAAACTCTGTATCAAAAAGTAAGTAAGCCAAACAAAATCACTGAAAATTCCAAAACCTGATCCAGTAGTGAAAAGTGTGAGGAAAAAAAAATGAAAACATTTTATCAGAATCCCTAAATCGAGCAAACTCATTAGAAAGTCCCAATTTCGGGATAAGAAATCGAAATGATATCAGCCGGGAAAAACAAAATTATTACTGGGAAAATAACTGAATATTCTTACGAAGGAGAAGCCATTTGGACGAAATGTATTACAGAGCCCTCCCCTTTCGAAGATCGAAGCTTTAGGAAATAAGAATTTGATCATGCAAAACAAAACAACAGTCGTAATTAATGTCGATGAAAGACACGTGGCAGTTTTGAGGATCTTTGTCGGTAACTCGATATCACACATTGGGCCCTATGTAGACATTTAAATAAAAGCCCAAACATGTTTTCTTCCGAATGTATATACTGTATATAGGGGTGTTTTGGTGGGTATTACCCAATGGGTTTACCCATGCCCAAGTTGTTTGGTATGCTTTTAATATCCAATAAAAAAAGAGTGGGTTACTGATGGGTGGGTATTTTTGCCTGTGGACTTACGTGGGTTGATCATAGGCTTTCCATGGTTTTTCTTTTTTTTTAGAATCTTGCTAAACGACGTCGTTTTATGTAAAGGGAAAATGGGAAAATCCCAAATCGAGTTTTCTGTCTTCTCCAACATCACGAACCCTAAAAAATTCTGAAAATCCCCAAATCAACATTGCTTTCTCTTCTCCAACATCGTGTATCTCCTTGGTAATTTCTTAATTCAGCTCATGGGTTTTGTCTCAGAGATGCCGTGAAGAACGCAGAAGCCGATTCACAAAGAACACTGTAAAAAATCTCTTTCTTTGGTCCTTACTCCTTAAGGTTCTCGATTCAGTGAAAATTTGCGATTTCAATTTTTAATTTCAGGGTTTTGTGTTTTTGTTAGGTACCCGTATGTTACTGGAACTTCAATTGTTGCAATCAAGTACAACGATGGACGGAGATGAGCACGTCGAGGTTCATAAAGTGTGTGACGGTCGGTGATGGTGCCGTCGGAAAAACCTGCATGCTGATTTCTTACACCAGCAACACTTTCCCCACAGTAATTTCACTTTTCTTCTCTTTCCAATTTCTATTTTTGTTTTGTGACTCGTTTCAAGAGCTTCCTGGGAATTGGATTTTGGAGATATCATCTTAGATTTACATTCGACCATGATTACTATAAGTTGATCACTTTAAATTTGGTGATTCAGAGCTTGTAGTATTCTTATTTGTTTTCACATTCATAGGATTGATCTTGTAGCTAATGTAAATTTGTGGCTTGTTATTTGGTTTTTCAGGATTACGTTCCAACTGTTTTCGACAACTTCAGTGCTAATGTGAAACTGTTCTAAATCAACCTCGATTAAATATGTATGTGGCTTAACATTTAGGCATGCAACTGCTTTCTTACTATCAATGAGTCTGCTTTGATTTGATGTGATTAACGAATGAGTGGTCCTCTTTCATATGCAGATAAAGAAGAGGAATTTAGCAAACTTGTAGTTGAGAAACTATTCTCGGACAACTGAGAAACTGTGTGATTTACGGCAAACTGGATACATAGAGCGAGAAGAAGTGAGTCCTCTTAATCGTTTATTTGCTTTCTTTATAACAAGTTAAACTGTTTTTGGTTCATTTTCTTTAAACATGAATACTTTTATGTTTTCAGTTTTCACATAAGACTTTTTTTTGTTATATTTTCAGAATGGATTCACAGACCATACGATATCTAGCACAACTTGATGCTGAGGATGAACAAAGAGAAACTGATGAGATCATTGAGGAGAGTGAAGCAGAAAATCAAGAAGCAGCAGAAAGTGAGACTAGAACTCAATCAATTCAACCGACTCTCACGGTATTTCAATCTAACAAATGCTTAAAGGCTAATGTTTGGAAAGAGTATATACCAGTAGGTGATAGGGAAGATGGAAAGAAAATGGGTCGTTGCATGCATTGCCAGAAGAAATTCTGTATAGAGATTAGTCAAGGAACATCTGCTGTTACACGTCATTTAGAAGTTTGTCCAATGAGAGGTGAAAAGAGTGAAGTTGCTAGGAAGTATGATCCAAAGGTAGATCGTGATATGATTAATGAAATTATAATCTATCATGATCTGCCTTTCAAGTATGTGGAATATGAGAAAGTAAGAGCTAGGGACATATACTTGAATCCGGATTGTCACCATATCTGTAGACAGACAGCTGGGGCAGATGTTCTTAAGAGATTTGAGCTGGAAAAGGTTAAGTTGAGAAAGATTTTTGCTAATCACAAAGGTAGAGTGTGTTTTACATCTGATATGTGGTCAGCTAGAACAACAATGAGGAGTTATATCTGCTTGACTGCTCACTTCGTTGATGATAGCTGGAGATTGCACAACAAAATTTTAGCTTTCTGTGAGTTTGAAGCTCCACATACTGGTGAGGAAATAGCTACAAAAGTTTTGGATTGTTTGAAGGAGTGGGGTTTAGAGCAGAAAGTTTTCTCGTTCACCCTGGATAATGCTACCAGTAATACTAGCATGCTTGGTATTCTTAAGAATCGTCTTACATTGGCTAATAGATTGCCCTGCGATGGAAAGTTTTACATGTGAGATGCTCTGCTCATATATTGAATCTTATAGTGAAGGAAGGATTGCTTCTGATTGGTGATCTTTTGGAGAATATCAGAAACAGTGTAAAGTTTGTGAAAGCATCTGGAGCAAGGATAGATTCGTTTGCAGCTTATAGTAAGAGTTTAAAGATAGATATGAAGGCTGGGTTGTCTTTAGATGTTCCTACTCGCTGGAATTCAACATATCTTATGCTTGCCAGAGCTTTAAAGTATCGTAAGGCATTTATAAGTCTGCAACTGTGTGATAGGAACTACAAGACACTTCCTTCAGAGGCTGAATGGGAGCGTGGAGAGAAGATCCGTGATCTGTTGAAACCTTTTAACACCATCACCACTTACTTTTCAGGCGTGAAGTATCCTACAGCCAATATTTACTTCATGCAGGTGTGGAAGATAGAATTGCTGCTAAAGAAATTTTCAGTTTGTGATGATATTGATGTGAGGTTAATGGCTTTGAAGATGAAAAACAAGTTTGCTAAGTATTGGGATGAATATAGTGTCGTTTTAGCAATGGCAGCTGTCTTAGATCCAAGGTTCAAGACTCAAATACTCCAACAAGCTTATGACAGTCTGTATATGTTCATCACATACGTAGAGCACGAGTAGCTAGCTATTGATCAAGCATTGGATACGACACGAAGCCTATATATCTAGCGGTAATTCCCGTTTTCAGGCGAACCTCCATTTTTTAATTATCAGATGTCGTATTACAATAAGGCCAGGGTATTGTTAATTAATTTTATTAAGGATAATTAAGTACTCTCGCATATTTATCACAACTCCTTCAAATTTTTGGAATCTGAAAATAACCGTCCTCGAACGTTGCTAGGAGTTGTATATAAATATGCATGGTAGGGTAGAAGAGTCATTCATAACTCGTATTTACCTAACGTAAGCTATTTGAGACGTGTTGCGTAATAAACACAAAACACAAATAAACCTAAAACATCTGCAAATCATAGTTATCATGGGGAACAGGCGAGAGAGACGGGGACGCCGTCGTAGAAACCCTAGGCACCGCAAAAACCAACGAAGAAGAGGTGCAGATTTCATCAGCTCTATGCCAGATGAGATGCTCCACCATATCATATCATTTATCCCCACCGATTTGGCCATGAGAACTTCCGTCTTGTCCAAGCGATGGAGGCATGTATGGCGCGAGACACCCTCTCTCAACATCAGTGAGTTTCAACTCAGGGCTGAAGGGATAAACCAAACCCTAGCTTCCTACACGGCTCCCAAAATCAAGAGTTTCAGTCTTCGCAGGAGCCTTGATAACGCTGGACCCCAGATTGATAGCTGGATCGAGTTCGCTATCTCCCGCAACGTGGAGGAACTGTCTGTGAGCATCCTTGATTTTCAATTCCGCAAGAGTTTCAGTTTTCCGGATTTCTTCTACCTCAGTTCTTCTGTAAAGCAACTCATCTTGCAACTGGACTATTGTGATATGATTCCCAGATGCACAGTGTCTTGGAAATCCCTGAGGAACTTGTCACTAAGGAGATGTGAACTTGGAGATGAATCTTTTGCTAATATTCTCTCTGGCTGTCCAGTTCTCGAAAGCTTGAGATTTTTTGAATGCCGTTTCCTTGAGCGTCTTCGTCTTGATCTGAGTAAATCACTGAGTCTGAGGATATTGGAGATAGATCGTGTATCTTCAGGACCGATTGAGATTGTAGCGCCACACATCCATTATCTGAGATTGAGAGTATTCTCTGACAGACAATGCACTCTAGTGAATGTCTCCTCTTTAACCGAAGCAAACCTTGACATTATACGCTGTCGCTCTGAGGGTGATCTTTTTCAAACCATGGCGCTAGAGATGCTAGCAAAAGCGCACAGCGTAGACAGGCTCACTCTTGGGACATTCCTTCTTCAGGTATATATAAAACTTGCCATGACTCTAGCTAGGTAGAGTTACTATTATTACTTGGTTTCTTTTATTAGCCTGACCTTTTCATGATTGTTTTGTTAGGGTCTAACCCTCGCCGAGCTCCGTGGTGTTGCTTTCCCAACACTCAAGGCCCAAACTTTGATTGTTGAAACGGAGTTTGCTCGAGCTGTTATTCCTGGTATACAAAGTTTACTACGTAATTCACCTAAGTTGAAGAAGCTAGCAGTGCACACCGTGCACAGCGACAAGAAAATGGAATTTATACGATTCATATTTTTATCTTTTCGAATCACTAATGATTAGTTTGCTTTGGGATAACTTGTTTTTACCTTTTATTGTTCGATCTACAGGATATGCGTCTTGACAAAATTTCGGATTCACAAGGACTGAATCCGGATAGATGGTGTAGATCAACATATGAGGTCTTTCCCACCACAAAGGAGATCTGGTCGATGTTGGGTTGTAATGATGCAACGTCGAAACTCTTGGCTTCGGTCATGGAATTGGTGCTGAGAAACGCCAAGACACTCGAGACGATGGTTTTATGGTTGGGAGGTGTTTACTTTAAGGATGCACAACGGTTTAAAAAGCTGCTACGGATGGTTGCAACACTTTCGCGCAAGAATAATGTCTCCATTGTGCTTAAACGAAGCAATTCCTAAAATTGTTTGTATCATTGTCTCTGTGAAGAAGTTTGAACACATGCTCAGTGACAATTTCAGAACAGCTGATTACAAAAGACAAACTTACAAATCGCCAACAGTTTCAATTTTGGAAACATTAGAAATGTTTCTTAAATTGAGCCCATTTTATTACTAATATACAGTATTGATCTTGTACAATCTCAGAACGATCAAATCTTTCTTTATTAAAGTGAAACAATAAGCAAATCCAGAAACTTATAGCATTCTTACGTATAGTAAATTAGTAACACGTTATCACGATCTTCTTCAAAAGCCAGCATGGCCGATGAGGCAATGTAAATTTATTACTTTACTGCAAAAGAACAATTGTAATCCGTTAGTTTTTAGATTTGCAATTTGAGGAAAACTGTTTTTATTTACTTGAAGAACTTATTAAAACTGAAAAAAAAAAAAAAAAAATCAAGAGGATTTAGGTTAACATCAGTCTTGGTTACGACTACGGTTAGATATATAAGAAAAAAATGAAACCAAGTCATATTATTTCCTCCGGTTAGGTTACGTTTCATGGAAAGGTTTAGTTCATTTAAACGAAATAGTTTTCATGTGTTTCGATCTCAAAAAATGCGATTTTGGTTTTGTAGTAATCTAGAAACTCTTACCATGAACTTCTTGAAGAAATTGATGATATATTCCGAGTCCGTTTTCGACTGCGTATATGCAACCATCTTATCCATTTCCTGTGTGCATGAGATACATTGGGCTTAATCACATTAATCATATATTAAAGCTAAAAGCCTTAATTCCGTATTTAAGTGTACCTCAATCCAAGCAGCCAGTTTTGGACGTCCAGCAGTAATATCGTACTTGAAAACTTCTCCAAGGAAGACTTGAAACCGTTGGATGAACGTGATATATGCGACATCAACCTAAAAAGATCAAGAAAAGTTTTCTCCATTCTGAAACTAAACGTTCACATTTTGCATCTATTAAGAAAAAAAAAAAGAGAGGGCGTTTATATACCAAGCTAAGCTCGCCGAGGAAGAACGGACCATCGTCAAACTTCTGTAGAGCATTTTCCACGTGGTCGAAGACCGATGCTGCATCAAAACACACAAAAATGTTCATTACGGAGCTGCAAGTTTACTTTAATAACTTAGTTTTAAACGGTATATGCATAAACAACCGGTCGACGCCTTATAAAATTAACGAGACATATGGAAATCAATCTTACCGGTATCTTTAGCCGGATCACCTTTGAAAGAGGCAAACACGATTTTAACTAATGTTGTATCAACATATTTCAACAAGTCTTCACCAAATTCTCTCTTTTCAGGATCCTTAACAATAAAAAAGATTCCAAGGAAGGATTGTTACATAACATGACAAGAACAAGCTCTACAACATCAAATGCGTACGTGAAGGAAATCCGAACCTCGGGGTAAAGTGAAGGACCGTCAAAATTGCTATCAACATATTTGATCAAATCTATACTCTCCCCAATGATTGTGCCATTGTGCTCGAGTGCAGGAACCTACATCGATTCTTACAATATTAAACTCTTCTATTGTACGTCACTTATGAAGGAACCGGATTCATATAGAGGTAGATTAAAATGATTATTGAATAGTTATACTTATACCTTGTTTGCAGGATTTACTTTCTCCTTGAACCAAGCTGGCCTATTAGGAAGATCTATAGGAACCAGTTTGATCTTCTCTTGCAGACCCTATAACTCACCAACATCAACAAGATTAGACCAATCTTGCTTTAAAAATTTCATATCAACCATATAAGGCAACAACATATCATGTACCTTGAGATTTCTGGTAATCCAAACACGTTGCGCAAATGGGCAGGTGTAGCTTATGTACAATCTTATTTTTGTTTCGATTTTTGAGGATTTAGTAAACGAAAGACATATCAATCCATCAAAAGCTCATTAACAAAAAAAAATAATCATTTTGAAGTTAAAATTAATTCTAATTTATAAAAACCTTGTGGTTCCGTCGAACACACCAGGTGGATCGGAGGTAGCATCAAGCGGAACTTGACGATCTTCAACCAAACTTTTTTCAAGATAAAGAAATAAGATTTAACATGAAATTTCGACTTTATATAAACCTCACAAAGTAAATAATAAAGCATCTTACAGTGGAGATGAAGCCATAGAGAGGATTTCAGATGATTATTACAGAGATGTTTTCTTCACAGGAATTATTATTGATCAAACACATTAAGTCACGTATATTATATATATATATATATATATATGCTTAGCAGAAACTGGAAGAGCATGGGTCATGCATATTGCGATCAACAGTGTCATTCAACAGAAAAAAGGTAAAATGTCAGCGTTTGATGATCTCTGCCGTTGACTTTTTCAATTTTCCTTGTGAATGTCAAAGATTTTGAACTAATCATCTGGTTAATTTGTTTGGATAATATTTATTAAAAATTATGATGACAAGTGAACTGCTGACCATGAATAAAATAAGGAATAAGATGGCGGTCGACGTTATCCACGCCTTTTTACGCTACATCACCGAATCACCTATGCTCGATTTCGTATCAATACATTTTTATCATCGAGATATATAATAAAAATCAAATTATTGCAGATATATTCGTACTCCATGTCAATAGCTGCATGCTTCCTTTGGTTGCAAACGTAATTTAATGTGTTTTGTTCGAACAATTTATCAAGATTCATATATTTTTTTTTTTACAGATTCATATTTGACAGATTCTCCCGCGTTTTATCGTTTACCCATGTACAATTTATCCGACTACTTGTAAAAATCAAGTGTGTAGACGGAATTACCCCTCCTTTCGAAATAACTAATGGGCCGGGCTATTTGATCCGATTCGATCTGGTCCATAAGAATCAAGTTTTAATTTGACGATACTACCCCTTCGTTTTGAGGGCTTTAACATCACCGAGACCGGACTTTTCGACTTGACCTTACTGACGAAATCTCAAAAGAAACCATCTCACGAAGCTCTCTCTCGCTCACCCTAGGCGCGTATTTTGAACGGAGCTTCGATTCAATGGCGAGCAACGGAGTTAAGGTCACTGCTACAATGGAGAATGGCGGAGGAATTTCTGCTGGTGAGAACCCAAAGATAATCGTAGACCTCAACACTGCGGAGACGGATGACATTCTCGACGGAGAAGTCAAGGGATTTTCGGAATCCGATGAAGTTTCTGGTGAGAAGAAGGACGATGCCGACTCTAAGGCTATTGGATCGGCCGATTCTGGGGATGCATCTCCGGTCGATGATATTCAGAAGAAGATTCGACGTGCTGAGAGGTTTGGAGTTTCTGTGAAGCTAACCGAAGAGGAGAAGCGCAATTCGCGTGCTGAGAGGTAAATTTCCTTCCTTTATTCGTCGATTTCTGTCGGATTTGGGGATTTTCAAAATTAGGGTTACGAAGCGATTTTTCATTGAACTTTTTCGGAATTGATCAATCTTATTGAACACATCGGTGGATTCTCATTTGCTGTGTTCACATATCTTCAAAGGTCAAACCTATGTCGGTGAGACTGAAACGTATTTCACTCTCAATACAGGTTTGGAACTGTAGCAGTTGGGAATGGCTCAGCGGGAGCGAAGAAAGGAGAGGAATTGAAGCGAAAAGCTAGAGCTGACAGGTTTTTCACGATACTCTCTTTGTGCTTAGTAGTAGTGTATACCATTACCATTGTATGTTTGGTTTTATAAGAAAAGGAGTTTCTTACTCTCTTTATATCATACAGATTTGGCGTTCCTGCATCATCCCCTGCCACTGATAACACTGAGGAAGATGCAAAGAAGAAAGCTAGGCTCGCTCGTTTTGGGAAAGATACCAAAGCTGATACTAAAGTTGATTCGGCTGAAGAAGATAAACGCAAAGCAAGGGCCTTAAGGTACTTGTTTATGCATCCCAAATGTGTTAGCACCTGAATGATGAAGTACTGTGCGATGAACTTATTTTGTTGTTTGTGAATTGACCATAATTAGGTTCTCCAAAACTTCTTCCGATTCATCTTCAGATTTACCTGTGAAGCAAATTGGCAAGGTAAACCTCTTTTAAAATGTTTTTCCTCCCATCTATTAGCATTAAAGGATTAATATAATAGCTAACATTACATATTGTTCAACTCTTTGTTTCATCAGGAGGCAGCTGTATCAGGAAACGCTGCCTTGGCTTCCTGAATAAAATTTCTTCTATCTTTGTAGTTAGGTGAGTTTCACTTCATACTTCTGATTGCTATTGTAGAATTTAGTGGTGCCTGTTTTCGTTCTCGTATCTAACTCCATAACTTTTGGTTTTGGCAGGTAGTGTGTGATTCCCTTTCTGGCCGCTTCGTTTTCTCTTTATTTCGCAAGTAGAAGTCCCAGTGTGTAGTATCATATTAAGGTCAAAGTTCGGTTGTGGAGCAAGGTTTGGTGGTCGTGCGATGATTCTCTCAGATGGATGGAAGCTAAGTTGTCACCAGATGAGATCATTGGAAATCAATAAGTAACCTATAGTTCTGATTGTCTTGAGATGCAAAATGATAAATGTGTTAGGACTTAGGAGTTCTGAAGTGGCTGGTGTTGACGTTTTCCATGTTGCAGGTGCTTTAAGTGGTAAGTATAGGTTAGGGTTATGACTTTATTTCATTAAACTGTTTGGGAATGTGGATGGTCCTTTTTAACTGCATATTTGTGTCAAGCACAGGCAGCAGCAATAGAAAATTCGTAAAAAATATTTTGAATTATGAAAGGAAAGAGAGAATTTTTCGCTGTTTTGAACATGGTGTTTCCTAAGCTGGTTAGAGATTAGAAGTGTCGATTGCTGGTTATCTTTATATTGGTTAGTAAAGTAAGCTGGTTTACTGCTGTTCTGTGCTTGATTGCGAATATTGCATGCAAAATGGATCCCATAAACATGTGTTGTTCTTTGGTTTACTTATTGATATGACCTCTCAAGCCACTACTACTTCAGAATTCCTTTGTCATGTTTAGACATTATTAGAACTATAGAGGTACTTGTTGGTTTCCACTTCTCTGGTCTCTACGGCAGCTGAAGGAAAGTGAGCCTGTTCGTGGAACTTGGACTTCTGATGCTACGCAGTCTCTATGTTTATGTAATAGAATTTTAGATAAACTTTGTTGATACTTCCTTTCTTATAACTTCGGATCAAGCGCCAGAAAACTTTTTTCAAGGGAATGTAATGTTTTTAGTTTCAATGGTTGTGTGTTTCTTCATATCGTATCTGTTGGTAATGTTCTGTTTTGTGCCTAAATGCTAATATGTTGTTGAAAATGCATGCAACAAGTACCCTCGTGTATAATTTGCATACAGGGGTACATTTTGAATTTATGTTTTTCTTAAAAACAACATATCAAAGGTCTCGAAATTTAATATTGTTCTAGCTATACTAGTTGTGGTTCTCGCTCCTGGTTCCAATTCTTTTGCCTTTAGGCATTACACAGGAAGATTTGTTCATGATGTCTAATGCATACTGTTGCCACCTCTTATCGACAGTGGAGATGCCCAACCATTGGTTTTCACCATTTGGGAATTGAGATAGACGACAATAATGGTGATATCGTCATGGAAATGCCTTCTAACACCAGGATGGATCTCTTTCAGGTCTGAGTATCTCATCTCTCTTTTCTTCGCTGCTTCCTTCAATGCAGCTTTGAGTAGTCTCCTTGCTATCCCCTGTGAATGTCAATGTATCAGCAAACAGCTCTCGTTTGCAAAACTGTACAACATACATTACTAGGATAATATGACTTAGGAGTCAGAACTTACTTGGCGTGGAGAGCTATGTACAATATCAACAGCTTCTTGGTTGCTAAGATGCTCCCAAAGCCCATCTGAAGCAAGAATCATAAACTCGTCTCCTTGTTTAAGCCTGGTGACCGTGACTGATGGATCCGCGCTGAGGATTGGCTTGGTGAAATGTTCCTCTAGTCTGAATTTGGGCAGCAACGGCTCTCTGTTGAACTCTGCTCTCTTGAGGTATGCATCACCTATGGACTTTGTGACCTGGATGATGCCTTTGACACGCCACATCCGGTGCTTCATGACAAGAATGCTGGGGTCATTAGGATGCATTGACCAAAGCTCTTGCCTCGCAGACTCTACGTTGGCATTGTGCTCTACTGATAGCTGAACAGCTCTGACACCACCACCTCTCTCAGATCTTCCCAACACAGCCCTTGAATCTCCTGCGTTTGCAATATACACCAATCCGTTGCATACCACTCCTGCCAAGCAACATGACCCAACTGATGCCATCTGTGGGTTCGTGCGCCATTGCTTCTTCACTGCCATGAGAAACTCTCTGTCTGTCTCTGCAAATGCTTTCTTGATCACCTGCTCTGAAACCTCTCCATCCTCAGAGGCAAACTCTGTTGATGTATGAAAAAAACATGAGTGTTAGTGTGCCTGACAGATTTAAGAATAAGGAAATGAAGAATGAGAAAAAAGATGTAACTTACTCTTTAAATTGGGGAAGATGTTGTCTGCAATGAACCTGGAAGCCTCTGGACCTCCATGGCCATCGTACACTCCAACAAACGTGCCTTGTACTGCCGGATTGTTGAATGTCAATGGACCTGATTCGATCTGGCACTGATCCTCCATCACACTGTTGGCTTGGATCATGGCCATTGAAAACTCTCCAGAAGCGTGAAGACCAAGATCGTTATACCATGTCAAGCCATCATTCTTTGTGGGGTTGATCTTACTTCTCTCGGCACCTATTCTCCAAAAGGGTTTAACCATTTTCCAGGTATGTAATGAATCCTCGAGCAATAATGTAGTATATACAAAACTAAAGATTAGATTGATGGGGGAGTGATGGTTGTGAATTATGAGTTTCAAGTGTCACATATATATATATAGCCGTGGAAGCCCTAGAGAGTAAATAGAAGGTGTTGGAAACTAGTGAAAGAGGTCGAAAAAGGTATGGGTCAAATTAAATGACTCTGAGAGTTAAGACAAGAGGGCAGTAGTTTAAAGTGGATATTCAGAGATTCTTTTCTTTACTGTTCGATGTTGATTCTCTGCCTTAGTAGGGTTAAAAAGCTGTCATATTCTCCTTTCTGCTATATTTAATTCATGAAATGAAATGCTCTTCCCTCTACAATTAATAGAGGATAATCTTGTAAAGTAAGGAAGCAAGAATGTTCACAGCCAGAATAGTGGTTTGATTATATTATATGTCTTGTTAACTATGTTCCGAGTCTAAATAACCCTGTGGTTAGCACCACCCTTCATATTAGGAGACTAAATGAAACTAAATGAAACAAATTGATTAGGATCAGCTGGCTTCATATGAAGAAATTATGTGATTCTGATGAGTTATGTGGAGTACCACCACGTAGTAGTGATATCTTTGTTTTCACTTTCCACAGTGGTGGTGGTGACTTAGTGTGTCATCTTGTTAAATTTGTGTGTCTGTTTTTATTGGTTTTGCAGTTGGGTAATTTGTGGGGGAGAAAATGGATAGAAAAGGAAAGGTCATAGGATGCATGTGTGAGGGAGAAGAGGGCGTGGGTTTGGAATGGAGCATTGAACTTGGAACCATTTAAGATTTTTGAGAGAGCTGAGAAAGACTTGAGAGTGATGAGAGAAAATGTTTTGTGGGGCGACTGAGGAACACTCTTAGCTGTCTTAACCCTTACTGCTTTTGCCCTTTTCTATTCAATCTCTTTGTCTTTTCCTTTTTTCACTTTTTATTTATGAAAAGATCTATCTTTTTGCTACTGAGATTTAGATCGAAATTCATTTCATGGATTATGGGGTTGAAATGAATTTTCCAAAAAGGATGGATCTTTTTGGTCTTTTTCCCAAGTTCCAACTTGCAATGGCCTTCTTCTTCTTGTTCTTCCTCCATGCATGACAGTCATTGGCCTTCTCTGTCTCTTCTCGTTTTATGTTTTATAAGAATCCACACATTGATGTTACGCCAGAGAGACACACTGTCGTGTGTTGATCGATATTTTACATTGATGACTAGTTGTTGTAATTCTAATATTATCTCTATAATAAAAAAATGGCGTAGCTAGCTTGAATTTTCGTTTTTCGTCCTCTATACCTTTTTGTTGTGCTTCGAAGTTAGGAATTCCACAAGTGGGTTAAACAACTTGGAAACGAATATATGATGATTATTTCATTTTGTAGTAAACACACACACAACACAACATTTGTTAATGGGGCTCATATTTCATTCATTGCTGATACTTGATTAAGCATACGACGGTTCCACTAGCTAGTTAGATAAGGCCAATCTCATCAAATTGGTGTCGGCTAGATCGTGTGACTTGACGCATAATTTGGTTTAAAATAAAAATGATGCTATAGATCTAAAGTCGAATCAAACAGTAAGAAAACCACGTGTATATAGTCTAGTACAAATAGAAGAATGGTCCAAATACATTCTCTCTAAGCATATATCAAATAACTTTCATAGATGGACCGATTAAATATTGAACATGTGGCCTTTGAAAGAGTCTTTGAATGCACTATATATTACAGTACATTGTATCATCATGTGCTCTCCATCCATGATTAAATACCTATCATCCTATTACAAAATTAAACAAACTAAGACTCGTTTTGATTTATAAATAATGTAAGAAGAATATTTATAAATTTATCAAGTAGAAAGTAAAAACAAGTTTCCTACATATAAAAAGAAAGAAAGAGTTGTGGTGACAGCTGGGCCATTGATGCTCTGTGCGTTTTGTCTTTTGGTTGAGGGAGCATGGATGTCAGTCTATCTCTTTAGCTTCTTACTTCGCTTTGTTTTTTTCTTTTTGGGTTTTAACTTTTAACATTGGCTGTGTTCAACATTTATGAACTTGTTCTTTTTTAGTTACTTTGAATTTAGTATATAGTATGAAATGTACTCTCCATATCAAGAAATGCAACTACAACTGTTCAGAAACCTCTCGAAGAAATTGATTTAGACTCAATATAGTACGATGAGTCGATGACCTATCCACGAACTTAGTTTGAAGCATTAGCGTTTTACTACTTCTAAATATCAGTTAATATATGAATAAGCTAGTAGATATAGGTACATCTAGAAAAATTTAATATAAAATAAGATTATTGTATGCCTCGCAAGCATCGACACTCTCTCCAATTTTGAAAATCTTTCCGATGATATCAATTTAGTTTGACAGCATTTAAGCCTACTATAGTATTAGCTAACCGAATCTAGCTTTAGAAAAACAGAGGAGCCATAATAATTAGCCTACACATAATAATTTCGTTATAAAAAGTTTGATTAGTCACAAATAAGAAAATGAAGAAAGCTGGAGACGTGGGCACGTAGAGAAAGGAAGAGTAAATAGAATGCATGGCATGCAGGAAACATGAGACAGACATCGTGAAGGTCCCATATTGTCTGGTCGAACCAAACCTTGACATTTTATCACAACACTATCTATCTAGTAACTAGTGTTCTTCGTATTGTCGTAGTACTTTATTATCTATATTCGTAATACACTTAACTAAATTCATATAATATTAGATTTTTGTTTTGTTATCTAGCTCACTTCTTCGCAATTGTATCTGGACGTACGTACTATTATCACTTTGGTTTCGTACTTTTTAAATGATTAGATCTCTCATCTCATCTTGCAACTTACTACTCCATCATCATCGTTTTCTGCAATTATTTTGTTGTGCATTAATTAGTTGCTGCATTAGAATCTATTTACATCGCTTCATCCCCTACACATTCTGCATATATGTCTGCAACTGCGACTACAACCACGTCAATTTTGAAACTCTGCTACACAAATTTGATGTAATATTTTCAAAACTACACATGAAAATATATTCGTTACGACTTAAGAGACAAGTTTGTGTAGTTAGCAAATCATCCTTATATTATAGTATATGCTAAATTCGTGATTTTTCGAGATGGAATAAATGCACATGACTATGCTTACTTAGTCAAATAGTTGATCAAATTATATTATTTTCAGTACAAAAACAAATATAGCTTTATTGACGGCAATATAATTACCAAGTGGAATATATTTTTATTATTTATAAAAAATAATATTGGGCACAGCCCGTAATGAATGAGAGGCCCGTCAAAAGTCAAAACCCTACAGCAAAATACTTCCAAATTGAAAACCATAGGAGTATAAAATTTGCATTAGTTGCGACAGGCCCATTTATCAAATAGCTCAAAATTATAAATAGGCCCATCCATTTTTCGGATTAGGAGAAGAGCACTCTTTAATTCAGAGAAAGCCGAATCATTAACAACGTAGCATTATAGTTGGAAAAGAAATCATTATTTCAATAAAATATACGAAATGCGTCGTTGTATTGATCTTTGTTTGATAACAAGAAAATTCGTCATGAGCCTGTAACCACAAGTGTCATCATCAAAAGAAAAAAGCTAACATCAAAATTCTAATAGACCACATTCCTATCTGTAAGACGGTAACAGTACTTTGACGTATCTAAAAATAGATAACGATGTACACGCTTCTTACACATGCACATTCATCACCACAAGCTAAGATCACGCCACGTGTAACTCGGTGGTCTTGACGAGTACCTCCCATAGCCGTTGGATCTCGGAGAAGACATCGTCGGTGGGAAGTTGAAACCTACAGGAAGGACACGTGTTCTTCTTACTAAGCCACGGCAATATACACTTCCAATGAAACAGATGCTGACATGGCATTTCACAAACATCTCTTCCTTCGCTCATTTCTTCCTTGCATATCACGCATTCTACTTCTCCGGCGTCGAACACTTCAACCGCTCTTAACGCCACCACGGCCGCTCTAGCCGCCGGAATTTCACAGCTCTCTTTCTCTCCTCCTCTGCGAAGATGGTTATAGCCTCCCATTATGTCGACGAATCTTTTGCATCTAACTAGGGTTTCTATGAAAGGCATCAAGATTCCGGCGTCGCAAGTCCAAAGACCGGAGATATTACTTAACATGGTATCAGCGCACATGTTACCGAGAATTTCCCGCCAGTTATCAGCGGAAGCTTCTAGGACATCTGGATCGAGTTGGTGGGTTTCGCAGAGAAAGAGGAGGAGGACCACGGCGTCGAGGTCCCGGAGCTTCATTGCGGAGGCGGAGAATGAGAGAGAGTGGTTGTTACGGTGGAGGAGAAGAGGGCGGAGGAGAGAGAGGAGATGAGTGGCGATGAGGAGGGTTTTCTGAGGAAGGGAGAGAGAGAGGAGGTGGCGGAGAGTGAGAGAGAACAGAGTCGGAGAAGAGAGGACGGCCGCGAGACGACGGCGATGGTGGTGGGTGAGAGAGAGAACGGAATGAGTGATATTTGAGAGGTGTGAAGGAGATAGAGTAGAGAGTGACGCCATGATGATTGTTGTGTTTTCGTCTTCCATATCGGATCTTGCGTGCTTCGTTTTCTCAATCCTGTTGACACTTTCACTTTTTTGATGAATCTTTTTGCTTATATATATGGATTAAGTCATTGGGAATTTGGTGGCAGTAATAATAAAATATTGCGACCCCTTTTTTTATTAGGGAGAAAACAAAAGGTTGTGGTACAAAAGAGATTATTGTCGGCTTTGCTTGTTTGGGTTTTGGTTTAATTGATTGATGTCAATACGGAATTGGAGAATAAAGTTGAAGAAGCAATGAATGGAGAAGAGTTGGCAAAAGTTTAACTCTTTAGCCTAGGAACTATTGGTGACAGACATAATTAGCTTGCAGACTTTAGTGGATTGAAAATGTTCATTACGCTTAAACCCAAATCTTGGAAATAGGTAAATGTTGTATAAGAACAATAGACGTGTTCAGAAGCTAAAGAAACCATATTCTAACCATCATCGTAGATCTAGCTCCACAATCGAGACCAATCTTTTAGAGCACATATTTACCATGATTCATAAGAGCTTGATCATGTGGAGTTAGTGGGACCAGACAAAATTGTGTGGAGTAGGGTAAGAACTTGGATAGACTCGTTTATATAAATCTACTTGTCCTTGTGGAACTTGTCTACTTTCACAGCACAAATCACACAAAGCATAAACCTAAAAACCCATCATTCGTACCAAATGATCCGATAAGATTATTTACCAAACTCATTTTGTAGTTTAGGACAAAGAGATCTTTCTGTTAGTGTATATTACAAAAACAAAAGCAAGACAACAAGAGGAAGATTGTCAAAAGTCAAAAACTGTACAGAGATATCAAGAACAAAAGGTTTGGCTAAAATCCAGTGGTTTCTTCTACTTTCTTAATGTTGTCTTCAAGAAACAGTGTTGAAAGATTACTAATCCACATGACCACACCATTCTATAACTCTAGTCTCTATGCATTTGTCCCGGTGTGTTGTCTATACTTTCACTAACTCTGATGTCTCTCAAATCCCATAACAATATTTCAGTGGATATCAAAAAGTCTTCAATAACTTTTTGACAGTTTTACCCCTTACTGCAAATACAACTTACGAATCTAACAAAGGTAAGCTCACAAATTTGATCCACAGCTTTGAGTTTATCGAAAATACCAATCATAAGCATATCAAAAGTCTATATTGAACTATGTGTTAGAACTATCAGATCTTATACACAACCTATGGAGCTCATGACGGAAGATCTAAACACGTCAGAAGATATGATAGCGAGATGCTTCAATTACAAGTAAAGATGACCCAATAGAGAAAAAAGCAAGTGAACAATAAAAAAACTCATAATATTATTCTACTGTGCTCGATTTCTATGGCCATGAGTGAAAAGTGTGCCCCCACCAAACCCTTATAGTACAAAGTTATTCACTTTCTAAAAGCAAGATGAATCGCTTCATCACATGGGCATCCAAAGATAACAGCTTTAGTCAATATACAAGAAAGAAAGAAAAACATCAAATAGTTGAAAGCTGCTTATATGAGACTTTCTTTTTATACTTAGAAACCCGGATTTTCTTTATTCGTGAACTTCAAACTTAACCAGAGGAAAGAGACGACAACAACTGTTATTTCAAAGTCATGGAGTTTGCAGATAGACAAGTTGATATCAAATTGACCTAGAACATCCAAACAGGAAAGACACAAAAAAATGTGCTTCAGATCTCTTACCACATGAGAATGGAAAGGGAACTAAAGGATTACTGCAGAACTTGCAAGGCGATTCGTTGGTTGAGAAGGAAGTTCCTGTTCTTCGTAATGTATGCGTTCATTGCCTGCGTCTGTGATGTGAAACGGACCAATGCCACCCTCTTAGGATATCCGAGTGCTTGACTGCATGGTAAAAGAAGGCACTTAGATATATTTGTATTGTCCTTATTTTTTCAGTAAAATTACTTTAAACACAATTTTAAAGCACAAAGATCAAACAAGTATAACCATACAGGAACAGAGCACTGAGTTTGCAAGACTAATAGCTAATTGAAAAATCAAGCATTGGCCAAAAGAAGGGTAAGAAACAACAGAATTAGTCAACCAAAAAGTTACTAACATGGTGAGGAACTGGATGGATCCAGGATGATATAGACAGCCGGATAAGAACCTATCAATGTCATCGATAATAGCATTCGGCGGAATCCCGTGTAGTGCAACCTAAACAATATAAAGTCTCATCAAATTAGCTCTGACCAGACCAATTGTTTGAACACAGGATCTCGAAAGAACAAACAGAATTATAAAGCGTACCACTTTCCCGTCATAAGGAACAATGGGATCCCACTGAGAATGAGTAGCCTAACCATTGACAAAGAATCATCAAGCTCTGGATTAAACAGTCAGATGAACATAAATAAAGACTCTATAGTTTGTCAAAAGGATTACCCTTTCTAATCTGTATAGCCTTCCTTTCTTCGCGATTGCCCGCATTGCGTTATCATATGAAGAGCGGGAAGGGAACTGCACATAACTGTTATACCAACATTGTTAAAGGATTGAAATGTCTTAGCTTGGAATCGAATTTCACAGTTACACAACGAGGAGGATTGATCAAAGCTAATACTCACACTGCCGCGGGATTTAAGTTTCCAGTACGCATATAGCTGAATCTGAGATCCTCTGGTGTCACATTGCATCCCTCAAGTACGTTCATGACATCAGTCTTCAGCGTGTGTTTTGAGAAGCCTGAAAATTTCCCATACAACCTCCCTGAAAGAATCAAAATGTTACGATCACGGACTATCAGATACCAAACAGATAAAGACGACAACTATGTTGCATACTTCATAATGAGCTCTAACAATCTAGAATCCTTCAACGCTCTGTACCAATAAACATAACAAACAAAGTTTCCTTTTTTCACTCAACATTTCGAGGAAAAAGTGAAATTAAGCCTCTACGATTGAGCTCAGAAACGAAGAATTTCAGCATCGTTAACTTCAGATATATTTCGATCAAAGCAAATAGAACTCTGCAATTTATGATCTAGGATTTTGGCCCCACGAATTGAAGAAACACTAGAGACATGGAAGAAAAAAAGAGGAAAAAACCTTCTCCAGAACCAGAAGGTCTATTTAATCCGTCGATCGGAGAGCCTCCCGGAGACGGCGGCGGCGGTAAAGGAGAGGAAGGAGGCTGCTCGGTGGCGGTAGATAGACATTTCCTCCACTCCTGAAGAAATGGAAGAGAGCTGCGACTGATCGCCGGATCAAATGGCCGGAGACACAAACTCGATTTGATCGCGCTACGGATAATACTCATCTCTCTCACCGGAAAATGTTAGGGTTTTTCTCTACACTACAAATGTCAGTGACGAACACGATGAAGATTCGAAATTAGCCCACATTTTGCTTGTTTAAACGACAGCGTTTCACATACTTAGAACAACAAAGCCCACATAAGCTATTACAAGACCCAGGACCAGACCCATTAATTCGTTAAAATAGTACGATCCACGTTACATTATTAGGAGATTCACGGGAAATAACACATAATAAGACTCAAATTTTCCTTCACCATTGAAGGGAAAGAAAAAAACACTTGTTTCATTTAAATTGTAGGAACAATTAGTAAAAAAAAAAAAGAAAAAAAACGGTAATCTTGTATAAATTTGATTACATGTAGGCTAATCAAAAGGAGTTTCGCCTTCGAAATTTCCACTAGGTGCATACTCGCAAACCACTAAAAAGCCAAGATTGTTGTTGCACTTGGTACGTGCACATCCAACGGTTGTGGTTGTACGCCATATGATCTGTGTATAATGACCGCACATCTTGCCAGGCGCACATGTGTTGGTGACCCGATTGTAGTTCACATTTTCTTCCACCCATTTCGTTACAACTTTTCTCGGCGGCCAGTTCATGCCATTTTGGTACCAAAATATGTTTTCTCCGTAGGGCCCATCTGAATGTGTCATTTTACAGTCTGACATACGTTGTTTTGCCCAGTTGCTTGCGTAACGGGCTAGGTCTAGGTCCCATTTGAGATTCGTCGCGCCTGAAGCTACACGGGCTATGTTGTGCGCGTTTAAGAACTCCATCAATTGTTTATTCCTTCTTCTTATGTTCACCGCACGTGTAGCACCTCTAGATATAGCACCTCTAGCTGCGCCAGCTCTAGATGCACCACCTCTAGATGCACCACCTTTAGATGCGCCACCTTTAGATGCGCCAGCTTTAGATGCGCCAGCTTTAGATGCGCCAGGTCTACATGCGGCAGCTCTACATGGGACAGTTTTAGGTGTGGCAGGTCTAGATGCGACGGCTTTAGATGGAGCAACTTTAGGTACGTTTGGCGAGACAGTTACAGCGACGGAGAGAACGTCGCCGGAGAAATGAAGGAGGAGCAAGATGAGAGAGGATAGGAAGAGACAAAAGGGATGATACAACGAAGACGACGACATCTCCCTTCGTCGTCTTCGTGTCTCTCACTCTCAATCCTTTTGTTTCTCAAGTTTTGTTTTTCTTTGGAGATTCATTATTTAGTTAGTATTTGCCATTTTTATGGGGAAGTTTGACAGATTTTCTCATCTGTTAGTGTTGAAGTTTTTTTCTTAATTTGTTGAAAAGGAAACGGCCTTACAGAACATATGTAAGTTGACTTTTGTTCGGTTTCACAGTAAACTAAAAAAAGAAAATCAAATTTTAGTTTAGTTTATTCGATAAAATGTTATATAACTCTAAAGCTAAAAATAGCCATGACTTTATTAGGGAAAACACCCAAAAAATTCTTGAACTTCATAAAATTTCACGTTTTATTCCCTAACTCTTGATTGCACAAATAATTCCTCAAAGTATGGTTGACTTTAACAAATTGGGTTTCAATTAGTCAACATTTAACATGGAAATTGATTCATTTAAATTTGTAACATTAACCTTTATTAGGGGTTTTTAGATGTTTTAAACTTTTTTTTTTTTGGTATGAATGTTAAGATTATACCATTTTTTTTTAGATGTTTTAAACTTGAAAATGCAAGTCTAATATGTATTTGTCTTTGTGGATTGTTTTGACGACCGTTGCGAGTTCTGGTGTGTATGGAATGTGCAACTGATCAGAGAGAGAGAGTTTAGACTTTTAGAGAATGTGCGTGAGACACACGTGTCATTGTGGATCTCTCTCCCTTTTTTTTCTCTCTAGCTTTCTTCTTCTTCCTATGTTTCATTCACAGAAAACAAACAGGAGAATCAAACAAAAATAAATCCAGAAAAGTAAATAAAAAATGTCGTATCAATATTCATTGATCTGGAGAAATCTTCTTTTCTGGTCAATCATCCACATGTGGATTTCAGGTATAACATACATAAATTTACACAAATAGTTTTCCAAAAACTTCAAAACAGCTAGTTTCGTTTAAATTTGTTTGATCTGCTCAAGGATTGATGTCTTCATGATTTTCTTGATTCCATAGATCCATGGGAAAAAAGAAAACGTTGAAGTTTTTTCAAAAAAAAATATGTTAAAAAAAATTTCGTCGACAGCAGGATTCGAACCTGCGCGGGCAAAGCCCAATTGATTTCGAGTCAATCTCCTTAACCACTCGGACATATCGACTTGTATGTTTAATGGTAGCTTATTGTCGTAAATATCCCGTTTTGGTTATTCAAAATTGCAGGATTTGCAAGAGCGCAGTTTATCACACTAGAATCCATTGAGATATTCACAAAGCACGACTGGTTCAAGCTCAAACACACAGTCTACTTTCAATGCAAAGGAGAGAACAAAACTGTTCTTCCCGATGTCGTCAAAACTGGTATCGTGTACACTTTTCGCGGTCAAGAATCATGGCAGGTTCGTCACAAAACTCTTACACATCCGTTTATTAATAATAAGAACCAAGATTGTAAGAACTTATATGTTTCGTTTCTCTAATGCTTATTACACAGCCTATGACCGAAATCGGTGGCGAGAAGTGTAAGCGATGCGGAATCTATGAACAAGGCAGCCTTGTATCAGACAAAGAGTTTGATGAATGGGAGCTTTGTCCTTCTGATTTCTCTGCTAGCCAAATCTATATGCACTCTAAAGAAAAGGAGATGAATGCTACTTTTGTTTGCCACGGTTGCGCCAAGCTCGATTCCGGTGAGTAAAAACTTAGATTCTGCCTTTGTGTTTTCCTGTAAAACAAAAAGAGCCAATGATACGATGATCAGAAGTAAGTAACATATATGAATTGAAATACAACAATGTGTAACAGTGTCTGCTGAAGCAACAACGGGTTCTAGTTCAAAAGAGGAAGGAGATAATAGGTCAACGGTAGCGATAGCGATAGTGGCAGGAGTCATGTGTGCAAGTCTTGTTGTGTTTGGGGGCGTTTATATGTTCAGGCACTCAAAGAGGATGAAGCTGCAGCGAGATCAAGCTCGGTTCATGAAGCTGTTTGAGGAAAGTGATGAACCTGAAGATGAGCTTGGACTTGAACCTGTAGTTTGATCTATGGTTTTGTCCACAATTTATTTGCTCAGAGACTTTTGGTGTTTCATGAAATTTTGCTGCTTATATTAGGGAAGAAACCTTAGTTTTTTGTATAAGCTTCTCTTCCTCATAATTTAGAAATCAAGCATTAACGGAAATTTTACAAGAAAGAAGTGAATCTTAACCTGCTTTTGAGTTCATGTGACTGTTAACTTGAGCTCGGAGTACTTCTGATGGCACGGTTGAAGTTATCTAACTCTTTGGAATCAGAGCCGTATATGGTCTTAATGGTATCAACGCAGCAGCTGAAAACGTAGAATACAATAATCAGTTTCTTCTCACACCTTAGTTTTCCACATTGTTGTATTTAACAAGGAAGCATTGGTCTTTTTGTCATTAATGTTACCTGCAAGCTTCCTTGTTGAATTTCTTTTCTTCGATTCCGTAGAGAGTCTTGAAAACCTCTGGCTCAACCCGGCAGAAGTACGGACGATCTGAAGTCGGAAAAGGAATGAAAACATTCAAAAATTTAAAAACATTTTAGTGTTCAAGTTCACACGGAGATTTTGGGTACAAATGTTCATCATTCAAAGTTTCAGTCATTAATCAGATGTTATCAGAGAGACTAATTTGATAGCAAAATATTACCAGCATAAATCGAGCATTTGCGTGTAGCTTTGTCGTATTTTGTGCACCATCCATCATCTCCGATCATGCTTCGGTACAGCTACATTAAGCCATAAGTTCATAACATAATATCAACGTCATGAAGATTTAACACCGACACAGGAATTTCGTCGAACAAGTGGTGGGTGAAAAGAAACAGACCTCAACATCATCAGGGTCGTCGAAGATTTCGTCAGGGGTGACGAAAGCGAAGTCCTTCGCAAGCTTACAGCAAGCGCCGCAACCTTCTACGCACTTCCACGTCAATTCCTTCGTCGTTCTGCCGGAGAAACCGCTCGTCGACGTCGTCGTTGGCCGCTTACTCTCCGGCTTGGTTTTCTTTGCATTAAGTTGCGAAACTTGGGAACGCCTCGTCGCAGAGACAATCGTGGTCGTCATTGGTACCGTTGATAACGCAAGAGAAAGAAACATTTTTGGTGCGAAATCAGAAAGAGAGAGTGTGTCCTCAAGAGATAAGAAGGAGAAGCTTTTAAAGAAGCAAAACAGAGTGTCTTTTTGTATTTGTATATAAAAAACAGAGCAAGTCATAGAGTGAAGTATACAAACACACACAAATCCATTACATGTCTGTAAAAAGAACCTAATACAAGTCTTATAAAAACATCAAATTGTCGAAGAGTTTTCTTCACTCTTTGTGAATCGTCCTAAGCTTTTAAGGACTGGCTTCGTCTCTGGGAGTGTGGTCTAGTCCATTGGTTGCATCACCGTTATCTTGACCTTTCGGGCTTAGACCATTGTTCTCAAGCATTGGACTGTCTTCAACCGGACTTGAGCTACGCTTCATGTCCTTGATGGGAGGAGAGTTATGGACCGTTGGTTCAGGGCTTCCGCTCCTGGCGGCTGGTTCAGGAGATCGGTCCTTTTCAGTCCTAACCGGGGATCTTGAGCGACTAGGAACAACATTGAGAAAGAAAACAAAGTGTGAGACTAGTGATGCGTAATTGAGAACTAGTGATGATGATAATGTGTTGAAATATTGACCTGTAGCTTCTGCTTCGGCTTCTGCTTCTGCTGCGGTTTCTTCTACGACGAGGAGGAGATCGAGACCTAACAGGTGATCTCGAGTAACTTTGGTCCCGCCTGGATAAACAACAAGAAGAAGGATCAAAAGACTGAAAAAAACAACAAAAAGTATTTGTCTGAAGTGTGAAATGGGGAGGTGTGTGTACTTGAGCTTCTTGGGACTGTTGTTGCAATTCCTCTCAATGTGACCTCTATCGCCACATCGATAGCATTTGTTCTTCCAGTCACCAGCAGTGCAGTCTCTAGCCCAGTGTCCATCAAGACCACAGTTGAAGCAACGCCCACTTCCTGGAGGTGGTCCTCTGCTTGAAGATATTTCTCGGGAACCGGAACCAGAACCAGAACTACGCGGTGTCTATATGACAAACAAACAAGTTAAAAAAACACTTTTTAACTTGTTCACAATCAGTTAGTATTAGTAGTACCCCTTTTGCAAACTCCACAACAATGCGGCTGCCATCAAAGTCCCTTCCATCTAAGCGGTATCTCGCATCATCAGCATCACGTGGATCGCTAAAATCCTGTTATCAAAACGTAAGAGAAGACCAAACAAAAGAGACATCCATGGGGATTGACATAGAGTACGTTGTAAACGCGAAGAGGTTATTCAGGTAATCAAGTGAGAACTACTTACGACAAAGGCAAAGTCACGCTTCATATCCACATCTCGTACTCTGCGGAAATTGTTTGGCAGAAACAGTAAGGCCATCATCATCATCATTACTTTTCTAAGTGTAGTGCTACTTCACCAACCATCACAGTCATTTTGAGTTTTTTGTAGCCAGTTTTCACCAATAAAACACGCAACAACCAACAGACAAGAAACAGAGAGAACCGCCAAAAGTCCGTTTATACACCCATCAAAGAATTTCCACCAACGAGACCCTCTCACCATTAAACACCTCTCCAGGTGAAGGCAATATAGCCAAGAAAACCTTCAACAACATTATCCATGTTAAAATTATGCTAAAGTTTTGACCGTCTATGTAATTTAACAAGTAACAGAGTATTCATGTACACATTCTGTCTCGATTTTGATCCTGGAAGATTGTCAAACAATAACATCTTATTTTAGAAAGTAATGAACTTGCATTCACAATTCCGAAGGAAATAAGTGCTCACCCACAAAGATAGAAAGCAAACAAAAAAGGCAAAGATAATTAAGAGACTGAAGATAACAGATAAGAAAACACAATCCGATTGATTGGAGATACTTCAAATAAAGAAACTTTGCAACCACAAAAAAAACTAGCTTTGTTTTACAAAGTGCGCTCTGAGAAAGATATAAAAAAAGTCGAAGAGGACTGGAGATAAGAAAAGGAACACAATCCTATGTATTGGATATACATGTATATATATCCAATCAACTAAAATGAAATCTAATTTCATGTAAAGTGAAATCAGATAAATTACCTTCCATATTTGCTAAAGAGACGTTCAACATCACGCGTCCGTGTTCGAGAGGAAAGGTGGCCAACATAGAGTCGTGTGCTTCCGTGACGATCGTCATAACGAGGCATCTTCAAGCTGTAATATAAAGATCGAACCATAGTTACAAGAAATCCGATTTATGACTTCAGTCTACTTAATTGATATAGGAACTGTGAATTAGTGAGATCTCTCACTCAACAGAAGGTTGGCATCAAAGTTATAACCTTTATCCCCAAATCAAATAAGCTGGACTACCAGTTTTGTAATCATTTCATCGAAACGAGAGATCAACAAGACAAAACCCATAAAGTATCAAATGTATCACTGTCAGATTATTGCCGAAACACACAGATCAATGACGAACAAAGATTATTACTCAACGAATTACATAACAACAGAAACGCCACCTTTCACTAAGAAGATTAAATCAAAACAATCGAATTCAAGAGAACTCAAACCAATCCACAATTCGATATAGAATCGTAATCATACCTTCAGATCCGAGAGAGTTCACCGACGCTTTGACTTTTCCTTTATGTTTCTTCTTTTACAACTCTGCATCGTCGTCTCTCGGATCTAGGAAAAATAAGGAAACATCTAACGGTCAGTATTCGCTTATTTCGAACCAACGGCTTAGATCCTATCATATATTTATATATTTTCCTTTTTCGTGCCAAAGATAAAACAATCATACGTCAGACGTGGACCAACTATATATCTATCTTATCCTGATTCAGCAATCGGCACCAAACTACCAACTAACTAACTAGTAACTACAAATTGTACCGCCACAAAATATAATGCAAAAAGTTTACGTTACATTTTTTTGTAAATAGTTCATTAGTAAAATGGTCTACTGAGAACAGCAAACCACAATATGTAACGTTTAGTACAAGGAGAACCGACTGAGAAACGCCTATTTTTGAGGTTTTACAACTCGTACACATGCATATTACCAAATTTGAGTGCGTTTAATGATACAATAGAATCACTGAATTGCATAATCATTCTGTTATTCTACCGTGTTGCGTACTACCAATAACTTATCATTTTTAAAGGAAAAAAAACATCCACAGTACAGTTTAATCACACCTAATCATGACAACTTATTCTCAATAAGTACTAAATATTGCTTTGATTTCTAATACAAAAAGAAGTCATTAGCCACCCCCACCAGGTACCATCAATTGTCAAAAGTATTTATCACTTTTTTGCCACTCTCTCTTCGATGGAAGTAAAATAATTAATATCCCTCCATTCCTTAATCATTCTCTCTTAACATTTGTCCTTGAATTCCACTTATCTTTCCTTCAAATCTAAGCTTCACTTATTCCTCCACGTCTCTAAACTTTTTTTTTTAAAAACTTGAAAACCCATATGGCCATATATATATGACACGTTCAAAAAACAGAATCACAGAAGGAAAAAATAATATCACAAATCACAGAAAAAAAAAAAAAAAAAAAAAAAAGAACTAGAGATATGAACTCGGTGTGTATCTCTAGCTGCATCAACGACGCACAAGACACGCGCGTGCCGGTTCGTGCCACGTACGCGAACCTCTATAAGTGGCCTGAATCCGATGCCGAGTTTGTCCGCTCCTCCGTCCGACGTGGAGGCGGCGTACCGGCGGTGCGTGTAGTCGATAGCATCTCTTGCCGGCAGATGTATCTCCGGAGCTACACGTTCTCTCGGGAAGATGACGATAAGAGCAAATCGGAGTTGGAGAAAGTGACGTCAACGAAGCAGGCGTCGTGTCTAGGGAGGGTTAAGGAAACCGCGTCCTTCCGGTGGGGGAATAAGGAGGAAAGGGACGTCATCGTTGAGAGGAGGAAACGTCATCGTCGTGAGAAGATGAGAGATAGAAAGAAAATGAGAGAACAAGCTTGTTCTGTTATGTTCAGGTTCTTTCAAAGGTTACTGTTTTGTGCTACCGTAGATGTTGTTGATCCAATCTAGTGTTAAATCAAGTTATATAATCTTTTGTGTTAAATTTATAATTAATATTTGAGGTTTACTAAAAAAAGTTAATATTTGTGTTAATTACTCTTTCATGTCCATGGGTTTACTAGAGGTGTAAACCAAAGTTGTTCGACACTCTTGCTAAAGAAGGATCATAGCGAAAAACAGATCTTGTTTGATTTTTATAAATTCTTATATCTTTCAAAATTGCTACTTACTAGATACGTGACCACATAAATGTGTCACTACTCATTACTAATCTTTTTGGTGTTTGAAATTTTTACATTGATAATACTATAATTTCCATTTTTCGGTAGGAAATGAATAAACTAGATAAAATATCTTGTGAACGGGCACGTTGAGCCGACAAATCAACGTCCGTCGTATTACAAACCGCATTATAGCTTCACCTTACACAATATACTAATTATATTATTCTTATAAAAAAATCAATCTATGGAATTATAATGATATATAGCATGTGACATTATGAATGTTTCTTTATTGCATGATAAATAGTTTAGTGGAATAATACTGGGATTTAAAAATGAAGGAGTTGCCAAGACACGCATGTCACACTGGGTACTTAATGAACAACACATAATCACGACCACACAAAAAACAATTAACTTTTTATTGTGTCGTGAGTTTTTTTTTTCCTATACAATTTATGTGAAAGATATCCAAACGAATTATTTCGTCATACTGGGAACATTTTACCGACTGAGTGAATGATAAACTAATTTTATCAACAAAAAAAGAACGATAAACTAAGAAGTTCGTTTTATCAAGAATAGTTTTCGTTAACATATATTTAATTAATACTACAAAACTATGAATAAATATATTTTGACAGACATGGACAATGTCAAGAAGGTTGAAACTCAGGATTAAGCGAGATGTGACCAAATAATTATATAAAAGGTTGAAATCTAGAACAATTTATGTATTTTTTTTTTTTGTCGAAAACAAAAAAACATAATGGAAACTAGCGAAGGCAGACTTAAAATGGTCTAGCACGGTGAGCACGACCAAATAATAAGCATGGTCGAAACTATGTTTATTTGGATTGAGAATCTGGAAGGAATGGTCCAACAAAAACTTGCTATTTTGGATTCCATGCTGCTCAAGACTGAAAACTCAAGGATGAGACTTGTGGAAAGTCTAACCAAACTTTCCACATTTGACTTCAGGCGCGTCCTTCATCTATCACCGATTTCAAGAAACCAACCATGTGACATGTTACATGAAGGCGTTGAAGTTGATTGAGGAACTCTATGTGCATAACATGTTCACATAAAATCTATACAACCTGAAGAACTTGAGGAGCATCTTGTAGGTGAACACGGAGAAGGGTTTTCCAGAAAAGAAAAATGCCACAAAATGCTGCTCAACACCCATTTCTTTTATTTCATATTATATTTTATAAGTTTTACTAGAGCACCTCTTCCATCTTCGACATAGTTTTTCATATCAATGATATTAACTATCATGAATATCTTTTTGAAGTCAAAGTTTAATTATTTCAAATATGACTCTAATTGCTTATTATCATATGATTCCCAAAATCTTTCTATCGCAAACGATCATTAAGTCTTTTTGACGATACTCTTCAAAAACTTCTTACAATACACATAACAATAATGTATTCTGAAAATAACACCAACTATGAATTACATTTTAAGTTCATTGTTTAAAAAAATATGTACGTATTGTCAACAAAAGTTTTCATTGAATTGATTCTAACACAGACGTGGACAATAATGTCACGAAGTTTATTTTTGAGTTTTAACTTGTACCGAATAAGAGAGCACTAATCTTTACATTAGTTATTATCTGATACAAACTGAAAATACTTAAGGCGGGAAAAGAGAAGGTTTCGTGTCAAACTGTTTTAGAGCTCAGGCTCTTCTTCCTTAAGGGCAATTTCTGCTGCTGCTTCTTCTTCCTCATCAACACCAAAATACTCTTTCCTCGCCGTTGGTCTGAACATATAAAACATCAATATATAAAACGCGAGACTTGCAATTTCCTCAGCTGCATTGCTCACCCACTCATACTTATAGTCTGCAATCACCTTCAACGCAAACACACCAATCCTCGTGAAAAACAAATACGCAATGACCAAAACGTAGAATCCCCTAAAACGTGTCAACTTGGCCAATGCCTCTGTTTTCGATGACTTTCTTAAAGAACAACACATCCACCAAACCATTGCGAATATAATCGCACAACAGCAAATTATATCGGCGAGCAAGAAGATCTGGTTCCAAATCACCCAATATTCGCTGAAAGGTCCAGTTTCTCCGATCACAACCGAAGCAATGTTGGCTAAAACCTGAAGCGGGATTACGATCATCAACAACTTCTTCTTCGTCTTCTTTTCTTGTAGCTTCGGTTTCAAGAAAGACCAGCCCGTTCCGATTAGCACGATCACCGTGAAGAGCAAAACGACTGTGGTGGATCGGAAAACGTAGAAAAGAACGTTCCAGCCATGAGATGTGCCTGTGACTTTGACGTAGTGTTTAAGCCCGGCGGCACAAATAAGATCGAGGGTTTTCGCAAGAAGCAGAGCCGCCATAAAAAGGTGAATCCTTTGAACGATTTGCTTATTGTTGCGGCAGAGATAGACCCAGAGACCGAGGAAGGTTAAGTAGCAGAGGGAGAAGATGAAATACAAAGCGGGTAACTGGGTTGACCCGGCTGCGGAGTAATCCTTAGACCCGTTCCGATCTAGATTGTACATCTCCGTTCGGATCTTCATCGAGACCTTGGTTTCAGGTACGCAATTCACGAAGAAGAGAGAGTATTCGTCTGGGTGAGTTACCGGATAGGTTTGATTGAATTGGGAGCGAGGAGGCGGAGAGAGATCGCGGAAACTGAATAGATGGACGACGTAGTGTGAATCCAGGATGCACAAGTATAGGTCTTGCTGAAATTCTCGGACTACCTGGGGAAGCAATTCATCCGATATAAGGATGAACCCTAATCTCGACGAGTCCGGTGTCGGAGAATATGAAGGAGACGACACTGATACAGAGGAAGCTGAGACAGTTACATGGCCCATCCTCGAAAACCCGAATTTCTGGAACAGAATCACCGCCTGGGAATCATCGGATAGAGTGATAGACTTAATCTCCGCCACCGTCAGAGTAGAAAAGAGAAGAACGAAGAAGACAAGGAAGGCGGGAAGGGGTGATCTCGTCATTTCTGGTGTCTTGTTTGTTTGGTTTTTGCTCTACTAGTGCTCGAAAATGGCGGTTTTATTGAATAGCAATCTTTGTTTCCGTTGACGTTGACTCGGGTCAAAGTCTAAATTCATTATACTCCACAAGATTTATCATACAGATTGATAGGATTTAAGAGAATTTCAAAGAAATGTTGTTCACTCAATTTATGGTATTTTTTTTTTTCTGTACTAACGTACATAACTACATATCATGTAAGAAGTTTATACAAATGATTTCTTTTACACTATTATACATTTTTTACATATACAGAATCTACAAACATGAGAGGAGATTTTTTTTATTACTGGATACAAAGTCTCTCTGTTCTTCATGTGGATTCAACAACTAACTGCTCTTTTCCACAAGAATCAAACCGCATAAAGTTTCCGGTTATGCTTGTGATCAACCAACTCAGGATCTGACATCATCGAAGCTGGAGACGATTTAGAACCTTCAATCCGATTCGCAATCACCCAATAACACATAGTCCCAAGTGTTGAAACCATGATCAAACCTCCAATGGCGGTCACACCAATCGCCAAAGGCTTCTCTTTATCTCCGACAACAACGAAAGAGAGCGACAAGAAGGCGACAGAGATCATTATACAAGCCATCCACATGAGCTTGTTGATGATCGCCATCATTTGTTTCTTAGCTTTCCTCTCAATAACCACCACTGACGTCTGAACCACAACCACAGCTAATGAAATGAAGAGCGCGAAAGAATCAAACACAACGAAGATCAAGAACTCGGGTCTCGAAGCTGCTCTTGCTTCTCCGAGTGAGTACCCTTCAGGAACTTTTGCAGGATCGTCCGTGAACTGGCCTGGAACGTTGAAGATAGCTGCGAAAGCAACGGTTGCTATGAGAATGGCGACGACGGTGGTGGAGTTTATGGCGTTGTTGAGTCCTTCCGTGTGCATTTTGTTGACCCGTTTAGCGATTCCTTGGATCTCTCTTCTCGTTTTCCCGGTTTGTTCAAGCTGTGTATGCACCTCGTGGCCTATCTCGCTGACCGTCTCTTTCAGCTTCCTCGAAGAGCCTGATGCTTCCACTCTTGCAGCTGGCTTGATTGATCTTGCGTTCTGCATACCAATCTTCTGAAGAAGCTGCACAATCTCATGCAAACCGGTCTTCTCAGCAATATCAAGAGCTGTTTCACCTGACTTGTTAACCGCCACTCTACCGATTTCATCATACTTTAAAACTGTATGAACAATCTGCCAAAATAAAACAAGAAAGTTTCAAACTTTGATTTAAAAAGATTTGAAAGATTCAAACTTTGAAAACTAATATACCTCTACTCTGTTTTTACGGATTGCGATATGCAAAGGAGTGTTTCCTTTATTATCAGCTGCATTGATCAAAGAAGCATTTGCTTTCATCAACGCATCAACGATCTCGGTGTTCTGTCCTTTAACCGCCATGTGAAGTGCGGTTTGACCTTTCTTGTCGACTCTTGTGACCATTCCAATCTTTTTCTCGATCAGTTCCTTGACAATCTTTGTGTGCCCGTTCCTAGCCGCAGAGTGCAATGCGGTTTTACCGTTGCTTCTAGCTATAGCAGCTAAGTCCACACCTTTGTCCAACAGGAAACAAACGATCTCTCCGTGACCTTGTGAAGCAGCCGTGTGAAGCGCTGTCGTTTTGGATGAGTCAAATGTAAATGAAAGCTCTGGATTTGCCTCCATTAACACATCAAGCACCTCTACAAAGCAAGATGCAAATCCGTATCAACTACATTTTTCTAACGATTAGTCCATAAATTTATCAGGATTCACGTGAATCTTTCTCAATTAGCTTTTAAAGTAGATTTCAACTTCACCAAATATGTCCAGTTTTGCTAATTGTGTGCTCATTTGACTAAGATAGAAAAAATCACATGATTCCCAATAAATCCACATTTAGAAGCATTTTGCACATGATTAGCTTATAGATTTACAAGAATTACTGGGAATTTGGGTCAACTCACTTAGATTTCCGTTTTTGGCGGCGATGTGGAAGGCGTCGAAGCCGTTTTTGGCTTTGGTTCCGGCTAAAACAGAGTCGGAGTGTTTCATCAAGATCTTAACCATGTCGATGTGGCCGGACTCCGCCGCCAGGTATAAAGCCGTTTCTCCTGACTGGTTTTGCTCCGCCAGCAACTCTTTCAGCTCTACGCCGTCGTATTCGCCGATCATCTCTACCAGAAGCTCCGTTTGGCCTTCTCTAACCGCCGTGAGTAACGGCGTGTCGTCACGTCTCGCCGTTATCTGCTTCGTCATCGTCTTCTTATTATTGCCTTTCATGATGATGATTCTTGTTGAATCTTCGGGATTTTCAATTTAGGCTAAAAACCCCAGATCGAATTATGAGCTGTACATGAGAGATTTGAGGAAGAAGAGGAAGGAATAAATTCGACAAGAGTCACATGAATTCTGGAGAAGAAACAGAAATTGTTATTACCTCTGCTCGTGGTTTTGGCCTCTTGTGTTGTGTTATCATATCTTAAATCTTAATTATCTTATTACAATAACATGATCAAGCTTAGTGTCAACTAGAAACAGTACATGTTCACTGTATATAAAATAAAAAGTTCGGACCTTATTACAGTTTCATCTAAACTAAATTCGGCTTTATTTGTATGAATATGCTTTTTTAGTAACTCGATAATCAAAATTTTAACGACGACTGAACTGAAATTTGAAATTAAACAAAAATCTGAAGAAAACACTTTCAATATTTGTTTCCATTGTGGACAGTTTTACTTTTTACCAAACGTTTGACATACAAGTCAAAAACTTATCCAGTTTCTGACACCAAAAGTGAGGACTACCTTTTTCAGATATCGATTGTTAATCAGAGAAAATTATTGTATCCTATAGTTTATAGGAACGAGGAAGATGCCAACATTTACTTTTTCTTTAGCTTGCTAATCAAGAAGAACAACCTAGAACAAAGCATGTTATCAAAACAAACAGAATCACCTTTAAATAAATAGCTGGTGGAAAACAAAGAACTGAAAAGAAAAGACAATGTTCTCTTCTCTGTGCCACTGAATAAATTAGATAAGTAAAATTATTGTCATCGGAAAATGACACATGAAGATATTTATAAATGGAGCCACCATTATTGGTGTGAACGTGGAAAAATAACGGACAATGATATAAATCATTATGTTATGGGTATTTAATGAAGAAACTCCTAAATTTTGGTTCAAACGTTGAAAAAACTACTTATTTTTTGTTGAAAGTTGGGTTGAAACTTGAAAGTCCTAAATTGTTTTTCATGTTTGGTTGGACCTAGAGGAGTAAAACAATGATCTACAAATGGATAGAAGAAAGTCAGAGAAACATTAACTCAACAAGACCGCATAGCGCAGTGGATTAGCGCGTTTGACTTCGGATCAAAAGGTCGTGGGTTCGACTCCCACTGTGGTCGTTGTTTTTAGTTCTTTGTATGTCCAGTTACTAGTCTGTATCCTCTCTTCTTTTTATCATTTGCGAGTTGGAACTGTGTTTCTCTTCCTGGATGAAGTACGAAATTTTGAAAAATAATTCTCAACATTCCAGGGTGCTAAATTGGATAGACGCATTAAGTAATCAATCGTAGACGAAAAGCGACTATGTAAACTATATATTGAACAATGTGTCTTATAACAGATATTTCTACACACAAACTTGTTCATTTCTAGTATGTTTTACTTTTGAGTCCGTAAGTGAAAACCATAGATGAACGACACTAACCCAACTGAACTGTTGCAATTTGTTTCTCTTTTAAAAGATAACGAAACAAAACCGAGATTAGAGAGCAAGATTTGGCTGTTTGATTAAGAAAATTTCAGTAATAGGTGGACAAAAAGGGAGAATACATAAGCGAATAATGAAAAGCTGAATCATTTCTACAAGAAAAGCTGAGAGAGCGAAACTAAGCTTTAATAGCATACTTTCTCAGTGGGAAATACATTGCCTTCTTCTTCTCACGCTCCGTCTTCAACGAAGACTGTTAACACAAAACCAACACATACCAAAGTCATGATCTTTCTCTAATCAAATAAGGATAACTTACGCAGTCATGTATTACTATTCAATTATGTACGAAGCTAGAAATGTTAGAAAGTAATGAGGATTCAGACCTGATGCTTGGTAAGACGTCTACGGATAGCACGTGTCTTCTTGGGACGTAGATCGAGAGGCAAGAACTTCTTGTTCTTGTATGCTTCCCTTAGCGCAAATTTCTGTTTCTGGGAGATCACTGTCAACACCTGAGCAATTGATTTCCTCACCACCTTGCTAAACATCATATTACAGAAATTTAATCAATTGAATTGTCCAATTGGAAACCCACAAAATCAAACGTGTTATGAACAACAATTTCGACACTCGCATCATAAGATTTTAGATACAAGGCAATTGCTTATATACACTACACATTATGTATTGAATATTTGATGGAATCCGATAAAAATGCAAATCCGAAACAGAGCAGCATATGAACACATCCACTCAATTCTCCAAATACATATTCGAAACAGAGTAGCATATGCTTACTACCTCCAAAATCCGTATCTTCGCTAACAATAACGCCAATACAATACCTCGAAATGACAAATATCCTAATCAGAAAGTGGAGTACGTACATTTTGGAGAGCTTGTTAGGGGCACCTCCGGTGACTTTAGCGACACGGAGGAGGGCGAGCTCAGCCTTGAAATCGTTCAACTGGCTCTGAAGATCGGTCTTTGATTTCTCCCTCAGCTCGTGAACCTTAATCCTAGCTAAATTAAACAAAACCAAAATTGAATCTCAATCATAAATTACGCAAGTGACGAGTTAGATAACTGAATTTATAGGAATCTGTTCTTCGCCATACCCATCGTGAGCTTGCCGGAGTTGAAATGCTGTGCCGCTACTTTGCTAGTTTCTGGCTCCAAGAGTCGCAAACCCTAATTTTGAGGATGAAGGCCATTTATATACGATGCCTTTGTGAATCACAGTTTACAAAAACCCTCAAAACTCTTCTTCCACGTATAATGGGCCGTGAAAAGCCCAGCACTTTCATAAACTATGGGCTTTACTAAATAACGCTTAATTGGTCGTAAGACGAAAAGAGAAAAGGTGAGAGTTGTGAAAGCATTGAGGAATAAATTCGTCAATAATCCCCAAAGCATCAGATTCTGAATTTTTTTAGTTTGGTGTTTGTGAGAATTAGATTCGTTGTTATCAATAAGGCATGGCCAAAAATAGTTGGATTCAATTATATTACTTACAAATCTCTTTTCTTTTGTTGCTGTAACCCATCTTCTTCTTTCTTTATGTTCAAACAAAACCATCAAGTCATTCGAATCAAAGTAACAATCTCACACATTGGTTTGATAAGAATCCGAATAAAAATACACCTTTCTCTAAAGTCGATTCCATCAACCAAAAAAAAAATATATCTTTAACAGGAACCTAACATATACATTTAATTAATTTAATTTATATGTCACTACAGAAACCTCTTCTTTCCCGTTTTCAATTTTATACAACAACTAAAGACTTTCTCTTACAATTCTTGTCATCATAAGCAAAAATATCAAAAATGTTATGTGCTTCTCGAGCATCACCAACAACCATTTGCTCAACCATGGACCAAACCTCACAACCTTCTTCTTCAGCCACGGTCCGGCTCGGTGGTCGAGCCATCGACCGTCATAACCCAATCATACGTGACGGTCGAAGACTTACTCCTCCTCCTTCTCCAAACCCTAATTCTCCTTCTTCTTCTTCCTCTTCTACTTATCATACTCCTCTTAGGACTAGGTTAGGTCTAGAGAGCAGTGAGCAAAAACGTGTTGCCAAGAGGAAGAGCAAGAAAAGTGAACGTGACGGTGGTAAGTCGCCGATTGGTTGTTTTAGCAGTGACACTCCTCAAGGTTCTTCAAGGTACTTATTGAGCAACCCGGTTTTCTTTGATGGGTTTGTGGATTCTGACCCGATTCCATTACCTATTGAACCGGAGATAACCACAGCTGATGATGGTTTGGATAAAATTCATGAAGACAGACTCATAATAAACGCTTCCAAGTATCTTTCATCTTCGTTTTCTTTCTTGGAGAAGAAGCAACCCGATTTCTTCGACGGGTTCTTGGATCATGACCTGGTTATGTCTCCGGATAATCCTTTCTCTAAACCCACAAAAGCTTCTCCGACATCATCTCATAGCTCTTTTGAAGACAAAGATGGTTCGTCTCCGGATTTCAAATTCTCTCCTCCACAACCTCCACCTCCTCCTCCTCCCCTTTCCCCACCGCCACCGGAGAATAACACATCTTCCGATCAAGTAAATCAACTAACACAAACATTTTGTTATAGTCACGAATTTGTGTCTAAAATCAAACTTGACGATCTTTCTTTTTAAAGGTGGTTGTTTTGAGAGTGTCACTTCACTGCAAAGGCTGTGCAGGGAAAGTCAAGAAACATCTTTCGAAGTTGAAAGGTAACTACAAATTAGAGTATTTCTTTTCAAGATATTATATTTTGAATGAACTAATTGTTATTTTAGAGATAGATATCGTTAAGCTATAAAAAAATTAATTACTCTGTTTTGGTCCTTTGATCGTTTTGTGTAGGAGTAACGTCGTTTAACATAGACTTCGCTGCAAAGAAGGTTACCGTGACGGGAGATGTAACGCCGTTAACTGTGCTGGCGAGTATTTCAAAAGTTAAAAACGCACAGTTTTGGCCTGAGATTATTCAGAAGTAATCTCTTTCTTCTTACCTCTGTTGCTTGGAAGACAACTGGTAAAAAACGTTACTCTCTTTGGTTCGTCTATTTGTGTTGATAATGGCATGGTGAGAGTTTACACATTTCTTAAGCAACTGGTATTGCACAATGTTTATTATTTGTGAGATAATGTAAAAAACACGATGATTTCTAAGCATTCAACGCAATTTTACCACAATATTTCAAATCGATGATTACTTTTGAGGATAATGTAACATATCTAAGCATTCAACAAAATTCAAAACTTTGGAGTCAAAATTTCACCGATTCTTTGCGAAAAGCTTGTTAGTATTGAGCTCGTTGGCATCGAAATACTCTTTATACGGATGATTCTCAGGAACCAATCTTCGAAACTGCTCGAATTGCTTCTCTGCTTCGTCTTTCTTCTTCATCAACGTATATATCAAACCTTGACACAGATACGGCCTAAAATCTCTCGGCTCGTCCTTCACCAACTCCTGATAAACCCTAAGCGCTTCAATTGGATTCCCTTCTATCACCCTAATCTGCGCAATCAATAGCATGAAATCCCGAAAATCTTTCTTCTTATCCTCCTTCTTGCATTTCTCCATCGCTTCGCCGATTCTACTCTCGAGCTCTGATAATTTCGATTCCGATTCGGAGTAGGCCATTACCAATCCGTGATAAGCTTCGACACGAAACGGATCCTTAGCTAGAATCTCCTCGAATCCTTTTGTAGCTGAGTCGAAATCGCCACCGTAGGTTTGGACCTGAGCCTTTAGGATTCGCCACTCTTGCTCTTCCGGATCGATTTCGATCAGACGGTTTAGGATCTCTAATGCTTGCTCGAGATTCTTCGTCTGGAGTTTGATTTTCATCAGTGACTGAAGAGCTTCCAGGTCGGTTGGATGGCTAGCGAGATGCTTCTCCAGCGCCGCTTCTTCCACTTTTAGCAACGAGATTTGATCCGTTTCGCTGTATTCATCGGCGGCGAGATCTGCCGCTGTGGATGGCGGAGGACGAGCGACGGGAGCTGCGGTGTCTGGTTTCGCGGCGAGGTGTAGTGAAGCTGAGAAGAGAGCGGCAGCTGTGGTTAGCGTTACGCAGGTGGTTTTGAGCAGAGAGGATTTAGGGCTCGCCGATGAAGATGAAGACGAAGCTCTAATGGCGCGGGACGGAGTCGGCTTCTGTACGGTTAGGTATGAATTGAGTTTAGGTTGAAATCTATTTGGACCGTTAAGACGGAGGTGGAATGTTTGGTCACAGAAATGAAACTTGGCCAGAGATGCCATAGTTTGTTTCACCGGAGAAAAGCCCTCGCGACGGCGATGAGATTTGAGATAGAAGAAGATTACCAACGCAAAAAGTGTTAAAAGAGTATCAAACCGGAATCATACTCGTTTGGGCTTTTACCAGCTAAATCATTTGGTGCTTTTGTAGGCTTAATGGGCTCTGATAAATTTAGTGGGCTTAATTAATCAGCAGACCTAAATTGACAGAAACACAGGAGACCACTTTGTATTAATTTATTTCCAACTATCATAACAATGCACTATACAGATAACAGATAACAGATAACAGATTACAGACTCATTTTTATGATTCGGATAATGATCCTAAAGTGTCTTTAGGTTGAGTTGGATAATCTCAACTAATTTAATAAAAATCTGGTGGGGGTGGTGTTGTGGTGGCCAGTGTAAAATAGGAGTAGGCAAAGAAATCAAACAAAGTTGTAATTAGTGACAATGACACCATTTTTAACCACAAGTCTTCAAAGAATTAGGTCTGTCTTTTGTGTTTGAACAGAAGTTGTGCCTATAACTGTAAAAGCTCAACTACTCTTCCAAGTTGAACAGAGGATGAGATTTCTTGCAATATATAAACCCTTGGCCCATATCAACAAAGATAATTACAATTTTCAAACTAGTTATTAATTAGCGATGGCTAAACTCACTTTAGTTCTCATGATATCGTTTAGTGTCCTCCTCTTCACCGGTGTCCTTGATGCAACCAAGACTACTAACCTTCCACCTCAAACCAAGGGTCTGTACCGGTCAAGACCTTCTCCATGGAGTTCGGAAAATACACGTCAAGCTCCTCCAGCAGAAACCACCAAGGGTCTGGACCGGTCTGGACCTTCTCCAGGGAGCTCGGATAATCCACCTGGAGCTCCACCAGTAGCACGAACCACTAACCGTTTGCTTTTGTCTGTTGCAAAGCCACCAAGACCTGCACCTATAACCAAGACTTTGTTCTGAGTCTTTGTACTGCAGATATGCAAGTAAACAAACCGATGCATGTAATAGTCTCTGGTAATAAATCATACTCTCCAGCGATCTTTGTGTTTTATATAACCTTCTAAGTTTTCACCTTCGATCTATGAGCATTTTCAAGTATTAATAAAAGTTTTAACCTTTGACAAAATTATATCCCTTCTGATATTGGGCTTTTCTTAAATAAATAAACTCTTCGACTCTTAATAGGCTTAATAATATTAATGCGACTTAAAAGGATCATGAAACTAATATTATGTCCACACGGGAACTTTTGACTTCGATCTTGAGGGAGCATTTTTCATTGGTTTTATGTGTGTATGAAATGAAATATCTTAGATCACGAAAGAACCATCACTGAAAGAGTTGATATCATCATCAACCATTCAACCCCATTTGTTGTTATTCAGTGCTTTTATTAGTTTCGATTCTAATATACGAATACCTAATTGTCGTGACGTCTAAAAAGTTCTTCCTGATTATGTTACCGCTAGTGTGTGATATCAGCGTTACTCAAATACAAAACAAAAGTCATAATTGAACACAACAATAAAACAAAAATCTATCATTCGTTGATTTGTTCATTGGAACTCTGCCTCTTCTTATGCTCGTGATTCGTGAACTTGTGGCTACCAAATTTTTGATCCTTCCTTTCCATATGAGTGATTAGTGAATACTGTCCGATTGACCAAAACGAGACGTTAACGTTACATGAAGTATATGCGAAGGTTACGCAAACAAACTGGACCGTTGGAAAGTTTTTTAAAATAACAAACAAAAAATAAAGTAATTGAAACTGCATGCCAAGGAGCTTGGAACTACATGACATTCACGTTCTCGTTGATATTGCCAAAGTACGTTGTCGTTTTAAGCATTTCGTTTTCTTGTTTGCTCTTTTTCTTATTTGTGTTGTTGGCATTTTTTTCTTCTTGCTTTCTCTTTAACTAAAATTTGCGTTTTGCAACGTTTGGGGATAAAAGAAAGTGTTCGAATAAGAATCTATTTTGAAGAAACAAGGTTGATCGACTTTCATGTTTCAGTACTTGTTTGTTCTTTTAAATTTGGCAAGCTGTGTAAAGGAGAATAAACTTTCGCAGAGCTTTATCCCTTGAAAACTAAATTGCTAAAAAAACAATTGCAATAGTGTCTTGTAAAGCAGCGTGTTATGCTTTAAAAAAAACAAAGATGAGTGTACAGACTACTGAGTACTCTTCACCAAACCGACCAAAGTTTGCTTCAATTTGATGAAAACAAAACAAGAAAACAGAAAAAGCCGCCGGAGTTTAGCGCAGTCATCACTAAATCCTAGCACGCAATCCTATGCAATGACGAAATTTCCAACGTGCCTCCACGTGCCTTCCACGTGGCTTCTCCACTATTTGATGTCTGTCCAACACTTTTTCGCATTGTTTTTTCTTTTTATTTTTTATGCATTTTTTTTTCTTAACACGAAGTTAAAGATTTTTATCACAATTTATTCACGCTAACCCGTCAAACTAATTCTATGTTCTTGCTAAACGTTAAATTAATTTTAAAATGTCAAATTGTTCTGAACCGTTATTGGAAAAGAGGTTGTTCACTCGAAAAACATAACGTTGTAACGGTTGTAACAAGTACATGATGAATAACCTTTAGTTATGGATTAATTAATTAACCACATATTATTTGAAATATTTAAAATTCTGAAAGATAAGGTACATGATGAATGTCGTGTGTATGAGATAGAAACAAGTTCGAAACTAATCATAATTTAATTTGTTGGATATCCTTATTAATTGTTGCAAGCGAAATAATAGAGTCATAATTTGGGTATACTGATTTTTGTTTGACCTTCATATACATATATTTTTTAAAAATAAACTACATAAATACATTATACTATATTTATACCCATGATATGAATCAAAGACAATCATATTCCATTCGAATAACAAATGCGAGACCTTAAAATGTCAATATTTAAACTGGAAACATGCAAGTAACTTATGTCGTAAAGAAGACGGTGACAAAAGCCGATGAAAAAATAGGAGAGATTTTTCCATTGGTGAAATTATTCATCGCTAATGAAAATTCTAATACATATGTCTAAAAGGTAAATATGGAATCGGTTCATACAAACATACATATATACATAGACATGCATATATGTATGCAAGTAAGTAGGTGGTGTCGTGATCTTAGATTGTCGTTCGAGAAAGCAAATCTTGAATGATTCGAGCCGTCTCTTTCTCGGTCGGTATGTTATCTCTTCTTCTCTCATATGCCTCGAAGAACTCTTTGTTCTCTTTCTCTAGCTCCTTCCACACTACAAAATCAATCAATTCTCAACTGCTGATCTTATATATATGCATATACATGTGTGTGTTTATGTATATGTGTACCTGTGGAAGTGATGATAGGCTTGATATTAGCATGCTTGAGCAGAGCATCCATACACTCTTCTCTGCCCATGTTGAACACTATACACTTTTCTATCAAATGATGAACCTGCATCCCATAATTCAATGTGAAAAATGATAATATATCGCAGATCATATGATCAGCTTCGCAGCTTCAGAGAGAAAATATCAAGATCGTCAGAGTTTTTTTTTTTTCAAGAAATAGAAGAAGGTTAGATTGAAACGTACGAAATGGATGTAAGATGCTTGTGAGCTATTATGATCACCCATGCTAATAAGGATCAAAGAGCAGATTGCTTGATTGCTTCTTCTTGTTTTTTGCAACTAATTGCTATATAGAGAGAAATTTGAGAGGCTGCAATTTGCGAAGGAGGGGAAGAAATATAAAACACTACCAGAACAAGGAAAGAATGGAGGGGCGTTAATATATTTATAGGACAACAAATATCTATGAAATAAAATATTTTCTTTGACCTAAAAAAGAGTTTGTTTTATTGGTTTTATTCATTTATATTTTTTGCAGAAGGGTTTAATTTTATTGGTTTGGCCGTTTTCAGGTATTTTTGAAATCACATCAATATATGACTGTTACTTTTTGTTTTTGTAAAAAATTGACATGTTTGTGTTTGCAAGTGTGTTCATGGAAACGTTTTATCCGTGAGAACTGATACTTAGAAGAAAAATGAACAAAAGGTAAATATAAACTGAAACAGCATTTTAGAAGAAAGGTTAAAAATGAATGAGATATTCGTAAAATATAAATATTTTAATCGATAAAATATGTTATCCTTAATCTAAACGACATGCTGGGATTCTGCTAGTATCAGCTGCTGACATGTAATACTGGGGTAGTGATGGGGCCCATAAACCCACGTGGGCTTTAGCTTATGATTGGCTGTGAGGAGATTACAAGAGATTTTACGAGACGGGAATGCAGTGCATAACTAGTAAAGCTTGCGTGACGATGGGCCCCATTATCACGTGAACTAGGACCCATCTTTATAGTTAATTGTAAATATTCGACCGTAACCATGATCGATTAGCATTTTTTATACTGATGTGGATTGTGATTAACTTTTTAATATTTGAACTTTGCTCCACCTTATTCCAATTTCATAACTACTCCTACTGATTACCAACCAGATCGATAATTCGACATGGTTTCTTGTTGAAAATTTTACATGTTTTTGTTGAAACCAACGACCGACAATATCGTTATATAATTGAGATGTTTTAAAACATGATAGTTTTTCTTCCAGAACACAATTTTGAACACAAAACTTCACAATTTTCAAAACCAATCAACTTGAAAAATGTTTCTTTTCAATTTTATTCACTTTCACTGACAAAAAAATACTGTAACTTAGCATTTATACCCCAAAAAAAACCGTATTTGTACCATACTAAACTCTTTAGCATGTTTTTATTTATCCCTCCTAAGTCAAACACTTAATGGGATTTGGACTTATTAGAATACCAAACCATATTGTAGGTAAGTCTTAATTAGCATGTAACGGCTCAATTCGCTCAACCGAATGGAACTAACCTAATCAGATAAGGAATCTGAGCTGATAGCCAATCAAAACAAAAGGATATCGATTAGCTTAGTGAGAGCCAATAGTAAGCAGTACAGTTATTTTGCATGTATTATCTTGCTTGGGGTTGGTTAATAATGGTAGACAAAAACATTGCTTTAGAAAAAACAGGGTCCTTTTTAAATATTAGGTGTATAATTAAGAATTTGGATAAATTTGATTAAAGTATTCAATGTTAACAATAATGATGTCGTTTTTATCATAGAAAAATCAAAAGCCACCCACAACTTTTCCAAACGAGCCAAACAACAAGTGTGTATAGATAATAGATGGAGATACATCTAATTTGTTTATTAGACAAGCATGGTTAGAGATAGAGCAATGTTCATTAGGAGTGAGTGTGGATATCCGGAAAATCAGAGCCATATGAACAGACCTAGTTATCAACTTTATCTTCCACCCCGTGATTACATTCCATCAATATTATCACATTCTTTACATTACAAATCAAATAAACAAAACAAAAACATGCCAATATATGTTCCAACTTCCTTAGTTCCTTTTGGTGTACTTCAAAAGCAGGAAGGAGTTCGATGTACTTAGGAGTTTCCCCACATCTTGGGAAGAGGCTTTTGTTGGATTCTCGAACCTTTTGGGGGACCATCATATCGAGTTTGGCAACGGTTAATGTCCAAGTACTCATTAGCTGTTACAAAGTTTCCATCATCAAAAGTTCACAAAATCACTTATACCATAATGTATTCTGTATACAAACTCATCCATCAGCTGGTACCAGTTTCACACCAAACACTTTGGATGTGAAAAACAAATAGAAAAAAACATTACAAGTTTACTGGCGTGTGCCAGAACTATTTCCAACTATACTTAAATTATATGGACCAAGGCCCAATCAAGCCCATATAAACCCCCGACTTATGTGCAACGCAAAATCCTAGCCGTGGGTTAGTATGATAACAGTTTAACATCCACGATCAAAAACATGACACGTATGTGATCCGCGTCATATGTAAGAATCCAATCAGAATCATTCCACGAAACATATATATAGATGAAATCGATACCTTTTTTATGATCAAATCTTTCATTCCCCAGAAGTATTATTCATCGTTTAATCTCTTTCAAAGTTTGTCGAATCGAATCGAATCGTTTTCAATGGCGCCCAAGGCAGAGAAGAAACCGGCAGAGAGAGCGCCGGCGGAGAAAGCCCCGAAGGTGGAGAAGAAGATCACGAAGGAAGGAGGGAGCGAGAAGAAGAAGAAGAAGACGAAGAAGAGCACGGAGACGTACAAGATCTACATCTTCAAGGTGTTGAAACAGGTCCATCCAGATATCGGCATCTCCGGGAAAGCGATGGGGATCATGAACAGTTTCATCAACGACATCTTCGAGAAACTCGCTCAGGAATCGTCGCGTCTCGCTAGGTACAATAAGAAACCGACCATCACCTCCCGTGAAATCCAAACCGCCGTGCGTCTCGTCTTGCCCGGTGAATTGGCTAAGCACGCCGTCTCCGAAGGAACCAAAGCCGTCACCAAATTTACCAGCTCTTGATCTGCTTTTGTCGAGTTTCTCGAAATTTTAGATTGTTGATTTTGTCTTTTGATTATACATTCTCATCTCTGATCCAACTCATGAATAATACAATACAATACATTGTTCATATCATCTATTTGCAATTCGTTTCTTCTGATTTGAGAGACCAATTTTGGTGCTATCTATTTGGTATGATGATCTGATATAAGATATGAAACGTAACGTACCATCTCTTATTTCATAACAGGACATTGTCTCAATTCACAGCGACAATCTGAACATTACACAACTGATGAACAAGTAAGAGGTGTTATGTTTTTACAGACCAACATACAGAAACAGAGAGGGAAGAGATTACAAGTTATACAGAGAGTAAGAAGAAATGCGAGTAATTAAGAACTATGCCTTCTTAGGGGATTTGGTAGCTTTTGATGGTGACTTGGGCAGTTTTGGAGATGAAGCTGCTTTCTCAGACTTCTTTGGGAGGAGAATTGGGTTTATGTTCGGTAAGACTCCACCGTGTGCGATGGTTACGCCTTTGAGTAGGTTCCCTAGCTCCTCGTCGTTCCTTACAGCTAACAGAACATGTCGTGGTATGATTCGGTTCTTTTTGTTGTCTCTTGCAGCGTTACCCGCAAGCTCAAGAACCTTAATTGAGAGAAGAGAGATGTAAATGATTTAGTTTTGGTCTTGCAACGTTTTGCACATCTTAGTTTATTCAGAGATTTGCAAGTAACACAAACTTCGATTCAAAAAGATGATATCATATCTAAGTTTGTGTTACATGCAAATCTCTGAATAAACTAAGATGTGCATTTATCCAAGTTATTATTCAGATATTTGCAATGAAACATGTCAATTCTCATAACTCTGTTCTATGATTCCTAAATGATCTCCTCAGTGTAGTTTACTTGCATTGCATGTCAATATCTCTGGATAATCAATGGGGAATTGAGAAATCGTTTTCGATTCTATTTGTTTACTAAGCCAAACACTTTACCCTAAAAAACCAGACAAGGACATCCTAAATTAAACCTAGGTGGTCAATGAATCATTATTATTACCTTATAACAGAGCAAAAGCACAAATTCCACAATAATTCGAGTCAAAATCGACGAAAACTACGATAATTCAGAGGAGTTAGATAGCTGATCTGAAAATAAAAGGACCTCAGAGATTTTGATTACCTCAGCTGCAAGATACTCGAGAACCGCGGCGAGGTAAACCGGAGCTCCGCTTCCAACACGCTTAGAATAGCGACCTTTCTTAAGATACCGACCGATTCTACCGACAGGAAACTGTAGACCGGCTTTAACCGACCGGGAAACCGGTTTATTTTTCGGGCCTCCACCTCTTCTTCCCGCTGCTCCCTTCTTCACTTTCGTTGCAGAATCCATGGCTGCCTTACTTCGGAGCTGAGAGATTTTGATTTTGATCTGTCGGAATCTGCAACAGAGGAGATAGCTTTGGCCTTTGGCGAAGGAAGTTGGTTGGTTTTTCAGTTGAAGGATGTTAGCCTTCGGATTAAAAATGAATCAATGGCTCTGATTTGCTGATTTGGCATCTCGGGAATTGCATTTTTTTTCTTCAACGTTTTCCTCAAATCTCGAATTCAGGTTTAGAAAATGATTAGTCAATAGTTAGGATATTAGTACAACATCAAATTGGTATGATCATGCCTTTCTATGACTTCCTTGTTTTACAAATCGACTGACTCCATATTTTATCTTCTTTAAATTCTACCTTTTTCGAAAATAAAATCACTTCTACTGTCTAGTCAGCATATGTTTGTAAAATCATAAAAATCAATCTTATCTATTCAGAGTTTCAGACACGTATAAATCGATCCAGACACAGAAAATTGAATAGTACATGTTTGCCTACGTGTCGTATAGCTCTATGAGACTAACATCATGAAACTGACATCTCCTCACATGGGGGAGAAATGTTTGTCTTTGTCCTCTATATCTATACAGGAAAAAGAAATGGAAAAATTAAATGGTGGGTTCTCTTTATACATGTTCTTAGTCTATAATGTTGAAAAAGCTTATCAGAAGTTTTTAATATCTGTCAGACCTATTATAAGTACATGTTCTCATCAAATGCAATGAACTTTTTGCTTTCACTAAATGCAATGAACTTTGAAGGTTTTTGGAGTAGTTTACATTTATAATTACCTTTTTCAGCGTTAACATTTAGGAAGAGATTGCAGGTGACTATTCAGGTACAACGTATGGTATGGATTCAACTTACTTTATCCTAATACAAATCTTAAATACATAATAGTAGAATTTACTTGTCAATCTTAAATTATAGAGTTACCTAACTAAAGGTGAACTGAAACAAGATCTGAAACCATTTGACCATGTACCGAACTTAAATGGTATGAAACCATTGGACACACTTTCGAAACCGTTTATGTACAGAGTTAGCTTTTGGAAAGAAGAAATATATTCACATAATTAGAAAGATTTTCTTTTACTGTAAAAAAATGATTTACATCCAAAACAACACAAAATTTATATCACAGAGATTTTAGTGTATCAGACAAGTTATCTTACATTGTTTACATTTTTACCATATAAAACAAGCTGTCTCATACGGCCATACGCTGTAACAAACAGGATGATATAACATTCGCGTAATTTCTTTCTACAAAACATAAATCTATGCAAATTTCTTCAAGATATAGTGAACTCTATGACATATTCAGAGTCATATTGCATTTAATTTTATCATATTCTATGATTTTTTAAATATTCAAGAACTTTACCGACTCATGCTCTCAATTCGGATAATTAATATCTACCTAACCATATCTGTTTTTACTTTTCACCCTCTTTATATAAACAGTCTCTCTCTCCCGAATCTCATCATCACTCAGACGACATCTCTCTTTCTCTCTCTCTCTGTCTCTCTCTCTTCCCAGTCCTTCTCATATAAATCTGAACCAATCATGTCGGAGAGACCAAGCCGTCACCAGAGAAGACCTTCTCAGAGCGTTTTTCCAATCTCCCTCGAGGATCTTTCCGACATCTCTCTCACAGCAAATCCTCCCTCCTCAATCCCTTCTCAGCCGCCGCGCCATCAGATCCCTCCGCCATCTCCGGCGGGTACTCCGGCAGATCGTAGCAGCAATGATGACAATGCGAACAAGGATCACAAAGGGAACGCATCTGCTAATTGATTTCGCTTTTTCATTTGTTTATAATAATGTTTCAGCCTCTTTAATTATCGTATAAGTCTTTAATATTTTCTTTTTTATTTTGTCTTTTTCATATATCCAATCTTGATAATCTTATTTGTAATCTTATATGATAATGAATCAATCTTAGTTTATTTCGTATTGAAATATCTTAATTAGTTACGGGCTTCTGGTGATCTTGAATGGAGTAAACAAAGGAAAAAAGTAAAGGGACTTCAATTTACTTTGTAACAAAACCTGGATTCAAAGAATTGCTAAATTTTGACAAAAATGGCTGAACCAAATCTTCAAAAAAATAACGATATTGAAAAAATAAATCTCTGACCTTTATACGTATGTGTTATAGTTGACGTTGACCGAGAGATTCGTGGGTCTTCTATATTGAATATTGAAATATATGAAAAGGTTTTTGAAGTACGAAAACAATAATATTAAAATATCAACAGAGACGCAGATTCAATAGGGTTAGTAAAAATATAAACACGGTTGTCTTAAAGGACTACACAAACTACGTAATAACTTAATTCTTCTTATGTGTAAATGTTCCTCATTTTTCCTTTCTTTCTGCCTTTAGATGTATGTTTTTCAAATTACTGATAACTAAAAAATTTATATTGGTTTGACTAAATAGTCAACATAATTTGTTGGTCTCTAAGTTGATAATATAAATTTTGACTGATATTATTGTTCGAATTTATACGTATAATCGTTAATCACTAGGAAAAAGTGGATCCAATTTTCTCGGGAGAAGACGAGCAAAGTAGCAAATGCATGGGACAAGATTCCGTCGTTGTTCCCAACGACAAATCAAACAAATAAAAAGTGCGAAAAAAGATCGATGGCAATAATATTAATCTTGGAGATCAATAACAAATTATTGTAACTTGTAATTGAGTCAGACTTGTTCAGTCTCTAATTTGAAGAAGTCATTTCCAAATAGTAGAGCTTTAAACATAAAAAGAGTGAGTGGGTACTTCTCTGCAAGGAATCACGTTTTTGCTTGAGCCCATGTTTGTAATGGGCCCGGCCCAAATAACACCGTTACAGAATGTCGTTAAAAAGCACATAAACTGTCAAAAGTATTTTGACCGTTTGAGGAATGCAACGGTCATAGATAAAGTATCAGGATTTAACTCTTCTCTTTCTTGTTTTCAGCTCTTAGGTTAGAAAAAGTGATCATCCATGGAAGAATAAAGTGATGAGGTGGAGCAACCCTTTTTAATTGCCCATATAATGAAAAGATAAACACGGTTACATATTCACTCCATAAAACGTTTTTGGCACAATACCATATCATAGGGTGGAACGAAATAAGGTTACATCGCATCCCAATCTCTATTTCTTCTTCTTCTTCTTCTTCTTCTTTGATATTGGTTCATCATTAAGTAGTGTCCTCGAAACCCAGGTAGTTCTTTTTAGAAACAGAGTTGATGAGCTTAACGCTGAAATCCCAGAGTTTCTGTGCCAAAGTCTCATCTCTAGCAAGTTTGCTTGGAATGACTTCATTACAGTCTGCAAAGTACTTTCCTGTTACTCCCTTCACACGTGGTTGCAGAGCAACGTAACATGTTGTTGCTGCTCCCTGTCAACATCAAAACAGAGTATAGTATCACAATGGTGTTTTTACATAGTCATTAAATCTGGCTAAGTCTTTGACATTCTGCTAGTATAGTACCTGAGGTATGTTTTTCCACAAGTAAAAGCTGAAGAACTTCAAGAACCCTGTCATAAAAGGGGGTTTGGAATTAGTGACAGTAAAAAAGTGAATAATTTGAAGAAAAAACAGAGAAAGAAAATTTACTCATGAGAACAGCAGTGTGTTGGAAGAGATTGGTGAGGATGAGACCTGGGTGGACTGAGTTCACTGTTATGTTCACTCCCTCTTCCTACGAAACAAAACATTATCTTGAGTTTTTTTGTTTTTTTCTTCCTAAAGTGTTGTGAATCTGTGATCTCTATGACATTTAATAAGTACTCAAGTGTTGTGTTTTCGTGTGTGTGTGAAGGCGACCTGAAGTTGACGGGAGAGCTCATTCGCGTGCAAGATATTTGCTAGTTTTGATTGTCCGTAAGCTCTTTTATCCGAGTAACTGTAATGTGAAAGATAACAATGGTTAATATTGAAAAAAGTTCAAGATTAATCTGAGTTTGGGATCAAAACTAAAGGACTTTTACCTGCATATGTCATTGATGCTGTCGAAACTGATTCCTTCTTTGTAAGTATAGATATGAGCTATGGATGATACATTCAGAATTCTTCCTTCAACGCCACTGCTTTTGGCTGTGCTCTTCATTGTGTCTAGGAGCAAGTTTGTCAACAGAAAATGACCTATTTACATATGTACAGTATAGTTATTACTTATTAGTCAACAACTCAACATCAAAACTTTATATGATTTGGCTTATTTTATATTAATATTATTACATATAAAAATACAAATTTACCAATGTGATTTGTAGCAAACTGCAATTCAATTCCATCTTCTGAGAGTTGGTATGGGCAGAACATTACTCCTGCATTGTTTCTGCAAACACCAATTTTTTATTAAAATAATATCCAAAACTGACGTTGTCTTTTTATTCAAACAACAGAGGAAAAAGCTGAATAACTCATGTTGCATGCTGTTAATTATTTTTTACTGGTGTGCAGTAAAATAATAGAAGATGAATGGTAACAAAAACAGCGTTAATGTGGATAACATTCAAAAATCAAAACCATGTAAAAATATATCAATGATCCAAACGATAAAAAGGCGGTCTAAACGCTTTTGAAGGGTAAAGAAGAGTTTACATGAGAAGATTGAGAGGAAGACGGAGGGCGTGAAAGTCACGAGCAAAGGCCTTGATGGATTTGAAAGAAGAGAGATCTAAGTGGAGCAGGGTCACACGTGCGTTTGCGTTTTGTCTGAGAATCTCAATTTTGGCGTTTTCTGCAGCTCCCATGTTACGGGCACCAATCACAACATGAGCACCTCTCTTCGCCATTACCTTCGCTGTCTCCATCCCTATCCCTCCTGTCCCTCCTTTTACAACAATAATCCCACATATAAAACCAAAATGAATTATGTTGGTTTTAGATAATTTGAATTATGTTGAATATAGCGGTTTGATTTAGTTTTGCGGTTGCGGTTGAAATGCTCTGTTTTTAAGATACATCTTTTAAACCGAAACACAAATAAATCATCAAAACTTGAAACAGATGGATTCCGCAAAAGCCAAACAACCACAAAAATGCTTCTATTAATAATGATTTGATGATATCTTTTTTTTTTTGTTACTAACATTTACCATCTTAAGACTGATGAAAATCACGCGTGAGGCTTTCTGCCTAAATCGTGTATCAATGCATGTGAAAGTGTAAGTATGTATGTGTACCTGTGATGATTGCAGTGAGATGAGATGCATCAATTCCTTGAGTAACTTCTTCAGCTGTTGAAGCTGAACCAAACCCACTTGGTCCTTTTCTCCCTGTGATTAGTGAAAATAGTCCCATTTTTTTCTTCTTCCTAGATTGACCACCTCCCTAGAGAACCAATATGATGATAGAAAGAGAAATGGAGAGAGAGAGAGAGAGAAAGTGAGAGAGAGACAAAAAGAAGAAGTAGAAGAAGGTCGGTTTGAGAGAATAATATGGTACTATGAGAGAATCATATTTATAAGTGGCAGAGAGTTTCATTGATGCCTTTTATTGGTTCTTTCTAGTTTCATCTACATTATTATGTGAATCCACCTATGAATAGTAAATACACATCACAGTCATACACTCATACGCATCCACACCAATCTTAATATATATCATAAAAAATATTAAATCTTTTTGGCGGTTGATAGTATTTGCGTTTCAAATCAAAGTACGAATATGGTTTATATTTCTCTTTCGAGAGAGAAACACTTGCCGCTTGCCGTTTGTCAATTTAAACATGTTTCTTTCTCAAGAAGACTTTTTGTTTTTCTTCTTGTTTCAAATCAAGGATGATTATTTCCCTAATCATTTCGTAACGAATTGTGGTTAAGGTCGAATTCTTAGTCAATTTCATCTTGATAACCATGCAATTGGGTTCTAAATTGCCGACAATGCATGCCAATGATATATGTTTAATATTCATATTTTCATTTGCATTTTGCTATCAAACAAGTTATACTTTGTAATTTTGCTTATGTTATTGTCCTGAACTGTTAGTAGTGTCCCCTCCTTTTTTTCGGGATTAATGTCCCCTCGTTTCTCCACAACAAGACTGTATGATTTCTGTTTTCGTGTATAAAAAAATGAACATAGTGGAAAGTAAACGTAACATTTGGGGATTGATAATTAATCCTAATTCTTTAAGAATTGGTGGGTATTAACTGTGACTAAACTATTGAACAACTAACTGTTGAATCAAAATTGGGCTGAACAAACTATTAATGAAGGGTTGGTGAGAAGTCGTTGGTTATACTATACAGGTTTTCATCTACTTGACATACTTCTTTCTTCACATGTTTCCAGTGAGTGTATTACCACTTACCCAAATCCTTCCTAATATAGGCTGGTTTCATTTAATTAACCATTTCTTCTTTTGCATTTTTCTTAGAATTTATGGAGACATTGCGAAATCAGTGTGCTTTGGGTTTGCTTCTTAATGTTGAAGGAAATCCAACATTTCTATGACCTAAGTTTTATTTGTTTTCTTTTTGTTGCTTTTCCAATCGTAACTAGTTTTGACTTTTATCAAATTAGTATTCGTTTCGTTATTATGACCAAAATAATTAGATATGTTACTGTGTAAGAATCATGCATTTTTCTCAAGAATAGATCTAAGTACATTCACTGTTTGTCTTTAGTTATGAGTCCATTAACCTTGACAGCTACATTATACCGTTTTTTAGTTATAAGTCCAAGGACCAATATCACCCGAGTGCAAAAAAACGTATAAAGAAAATTCATTCAACTTTACTCCAACTTTACTCAAGAAAGTTTTTGACGGGCAGTTAAAAAGAGTGTTTTTAGATAAAGCAATTATACAGAATGTATTTATTAATTCATAGCCCATGCTCATAAGTGTTCCTTTCACATCCCGTTTCCAAAGTTCAGAGAATCCAACTAACAAATTTGGATTTATTCATTTTTTTGCCTTCGAAAATTTATTGTTGAAAGATTGATAATGACATAGTTAGGTGGTAGATTTACTCAAAAGCACACACACCACTATCGAGATCAATGCCATATTTATTAAATTGCTTCCAATGTAGCTAATTTTATACTATTTCGAGCTGATCAGAACATTTAAAACTATGATCTAAAAACAGATAGTTCAACAACTTGAATTGGTAGTTGAGACTTGAGAGTATTACTTTTCGAAGTTTATGATAAGATATTTGGCGTTTTAAAAAAAAATGTAATATATTGGGCGATTAATCTAAGAAGTTTGATGAATTCACAAATCAATTTTGTTGTGTACCGAGTTAAGATTTGGGTGAAGTGTAAGTTTATTACACTTACCATGACACTAAGATTAGTACCGAGTTAAGATTAGGAATGATACTATACTACGTTTCTATGGATTTTTTTATTGATAACAAAAACTACGAACCAATGGCCACCCCTAATTGCAACCACATGCGAGCATGCAAATTGTATAGTCCTCTCGAACCGAATAGCAACAATTTATATTCTTTGGTTGCCCTGCAACGAAATGAGGCTAATAGCTAACCAATAGACTGAACCAGCCTACATTTATAACTGCTTCAGTTTTTTTTAAAGAAAAAAAAAAAAAAAAAAGAGAACAACTGATTATATCGCGCGCGCTAGATCTGTCTTCAACCTATCAAACGATAGTCTAATATGAAAAGAATAATCTGAAGGCATTTACTATTTTCAGCGTTTCATGGCATGGGAACGTGAAGTAACCATCAGACCATGTGACACCGCTAAAACCATGGACTACTAGTATATTTCCTTATTTAAAAACTAATGTTGATACTGAAAAAATGGTAAGGAATAATAATATTTCATTGATTAGTAATATGCATACGAATAAAAAAGATAATACATACATACAGTGCCCATACAGGTAAAGCGTGTGGTCACATGGCCTATGCACATCTTTGATTTTGACAATAGCCCGAGATTAAAGGGAGATATACATAGATACATTCACAGAACGAACGTAGGACAGATTTAAGTGGATGATGGGGATCGATCTCATTTAATTGGCTTATCAACAAGTCAAGTGTGTCTCTTTACCCCAAAAGTAAGCGTGGCATGTATCGTAATTCTCCCCAATACCACGTACGGACGGAGACGTAAAATTTAAGCAATGAAAGGACTTGGAACCATAAATAAATCTAAAGCCATAATTTCTAACCTAACTAAACCATTGTCATGTTGATAAGCAATGAAATCAAGGATGATGGATTTCTTTTGTATATTTGGATTTCTGTTAAATAGAAGGCCCCCCAAATTTAGGCCCGTTTATATTGATGGCTCTCGTAGGCCCATTAATATCTTAAGAGTTTAGGGCCCGTGTATATCTTGTAATCCTCTCTCTCTCTCGCTCTCTCCCTCTCCGGATCGTTGTTTTCCTCTTCATTTACTCACTGCAATAAAACCCTAGCTGCTTTCTTCTTCCTTGTCGATCTCTGAAGCAGATAAAGATCCGGCGAAGATGTCAGGTGGCTTGGATATGTCACTTGATGATATCATCAAATCTAATCGAAAACCTACGGGATCTCGTGGCCGAGGCAACGGTGGGAGTAGTAGCGGTGGTCGCGTATTCGGTGGTACCGGTTCCGGTCCGTCTCGCCGATTTGCTAACCGCGTAGGAAACAGAGCGGCTCCGTACTCAAGGGTCAGCCACTGATTTTATCTCCTTTACATCTTCCTTCCAGATCAGAGAAATTCCTTAGGGTTTTTACAAACAAAAAAGCTGAGATCTCTTTTCGTTTCTTCTCTGAGGAACAAACAGCCGGTACAACAACAAGCTCATGACGCCATGTGGCAGAACGACGTTTTCGCGACTGACGCGTCTGTGGCGGCGGCTTTTGGGCATCAATCGGCAGGCATTGGCGGTTCCTCAATCGAGACTGGAACTAAGCTCTACATTTCCAACTTGGATTACGGTGTCTCCAACGAGGATATCAAGGTTTTTCCTCAGTCTTTATCTCATTCTCTGCGGTGATAAATAGTTGCAGCATTAGTTAGGAGAAACACTGTGGCCTTTCTATAATTTCTAGCTGGTTTTGTTTGTAGGAGCTCTTCTCTGAGGTTGGGGACCTTAAGCGATACGGGATTCACTACGATAGGAGTGGACGATCCAAGGTATTTTGATAAGCTTTCTACTGATTTAGAAATTTGATATCAAATTGCCTAGTACTGATTGAACGATAAATTGAGGCTTTCAGGGTACTGCTGAGGTTGTTTATTCACGGCGTGGTGATGCTTTGGCTGCTGTGAAGCGTTACAACAATGTTCAATTGGATGGAAAGCTGATGAAGATAGAGATTGTTGGAACTAATCTTTCAGCTCCGGCACCTCCAATTCTTGCTACAGCTCAGATTCCTTTCCCTACTAATGGGATCCTTGGGAACTTTACTGAGAACTACAATGGCAACTTCAATGGGAATTTCAACGGAAACTTCAGGTTTGTGATGTTTTCAGTTAGGATCTTGATGAGATGCCTTATTAATTAGACTCCGTTAGGTTGGTTACATGAACCCTTTTACTCCTATTAAATGTTTTGGATAAACTCTTATGCAACAGAGGAAGAGGAAGAGGCGGTTTTATGGGACGGCCTCGTGGTGGTTTCGGCGGTGGTAACTTCAGAGGTGGTAGGGGAGCTAGAGGCGGAGGAGGTGGTGGTCGTGGCAGTGGAAGAGGACGTGATGAAAAGGTATCTGCAGACGACCTTGATGCTGAACTGGACAAGTACCACAAAGAGGCAATGGAAACAAGTTGAAAGAGTTATTGCATTCCTCCATGTATTCCTTTCTTCAGCGCATGATATGCTTTTGTACGAGTATGATAATTTAATTAGATTGATGTCATCGGGTCTGACACTATCGGGGTTTAGCCTTTTTTTTTTCTTTCTTTGTATTCGCTTTGTGAGCTTTTTAGTTATTGCAGTTGAGCAAGTTCGTTGATACAAGCATTGTGTGTACCGTAGAACTCAATCTCTTTTAATGTGTTTCTTCAAAACACAATTCCATCTTCTACCGTCTCTTACTAGTTTTTAAGCATATGAAAGAAACTGGTTAAGTCTTTAAATCATTGCACTCAGTGATAGAGGAGAAGTGCACTCAAAAGATAGGTCGAACGCAAAATCAAAAGATAACTTGGCTACAACAAATCCTAAAGAGTTGTAAGCGTCTATGCCCTAATTAGTAGTTACCAAAGAACGTTGAAGTTGTTTATTTGATTTTCATCTTCTTGCCTTCCGAGAATCCGATTGACTTTCTTCCTGTAAAGAAGAGAAAGACGAAAAAAAAAGTATTATATTGGAGGTGTTCTTTTCTCGAAAGTCGAAACAGTTAAAAGACTATGTTCAAAGAAACAAACCTTTTGATGAAGTGGAGTTAGTCTCATGACCTTCCTTTACTTGGGTAAGATTCCGATCCTGCAAAACAAAACCAGAAACATGTATAAAGACTCTGTTCTCATGGTTGGTGAAGTTAGTCTTATTCAAGAATCATTTCACAAACCACATCATAAACAGGGATTTGGTCGCGCCAAAACTCCAGTGGTGACACAAGCACCCTTCCTGCAATATCAAACGAAAACCATCTTTTTACTAAATGCTCTCAACGGAGCCTTTGAAAGTGAACAAGTTTGACTCTCTATTAACCTGATCTAGACCGTTTCTGTCCTACTGAATCAGTAGACACCGTAATGGTCTTCTGCATCTTCTCTTCTCTATCCGGTGTTACCTTTCGCATTACATAACAATGAGAGATATCAACTACTATAAACCACCACTACCAGAATGTGAGATGTAACAAAAGAGGAAGTAGTTACCTCCACATCAAAGTCAATCTTCCTCTTCGTTTTTTCCACTGACAAAGTCTCTACAGCTTCTTTAACTTTGGACCTCGAGTAATTCATAGGTTGTACTGCATTTTTGAGGGTCTTGCCACTTTTCTTTGATTTTCCTTTCTTTCCAGGCTTGCTACTCTTGTCTAAGTCTTTCAACGTTGAACTTGGAGATGCTCTTGTTACCTTAAGTTGACGCTGTTCTGAAGTCCGTGATTCTCCTGTAGCACTCGTACTTGTCACATGGTCAACATTATCTGCACATCCATCCGCTGGCGGTATCACTTCAATACTGATAGCCTTATCCAAACCCTCACTTCCATGATCTCCATCATCAGTATTGATAGCTTCATCGAGTTTCCTTCCTATGTCTTCAATATCGATAGTCTCACAATCATCATTCTCTACATCACGGCTCTTACCCTTATCCAAACCTTCACTACCATCACTAGTACCATTCTGGACTTTACTCGATTCGAGTTTACTTTTGTGACCAGAACTTGACTGCAGACGAAGTGACTTCCTCCTCGCAGTTTTTTTATCTCCGCCACTGCGGCCATTATCTTTATCATTGATCTCTGCCATGTTCTTCTCAGTGACAGTGCTTTTATCTCTGCTCTCGGCTGGACTATCCTGTAGATTCCCTTTCGTGTTCTTACATGGTGATAAAATGGGCAACGAAGCTGAATAGTAATGACAAGAGAAGGATATTTAAACACACAGAAAAGATGTATCAGAAAACACAGAAAAGATGTTGCTTCAAGTCCTAACCTTTATGGCTTATCGGAGAGATGGTCTTGATATCTCTAAAGCAACTGTTACAGATTTGTTCCCAGGAAGGAGGAAAACCGAAGATGAATTCACGGGAAATCTAATCTCAGGGCCAGACCACAACATGAAAGGGAAAGTAGAAATCATGTTAGCTCAAATAGCTCAAATTTCAAAATGGCATTGTTTCTACCTTCCTTTAGCTCTTTAATAGCTCAAATTTCAATTTCAATTGATGAGAAGAAGAAGAAGAGAAAGATTATACCTCAGCGAGGAATCCACTTTTAACAAGGCGGTCTTTGTTAAGAAATCCTCGGAGGGTGATGCAGATTCCATCAGACGCTTGGATTGTGAAAACATCAAAGGCTTTGATGATTGGGGAAGATGTAAACACACGCTTTGCTCGTGACCTACATTATTGTGCAAACCAACTAACTAGTGATGAACAAAATCGAAATTCCAAAACTAATCGGAAAAATCCTTCGTTTATGTATCACTCACTCGACGGAAGCTGCAATTTCGGTTCCAGAAACACCAAATCGTTTTCCCTCGAATTCATTTGGACATTTGATCAACCACCAATCGCTCAGTATCACCTTCACACATAAACCCAGAACAAAAAAAGAGGTTAATTAAGTAGGCTGAAACTCGAGACGAGACGAGATGCGTTAAAAGCCCACTCACTCACCGTTTTCTGGAAAGACGAACAGTCACTCGCACCATCTCCGTCGAGATTCGGTTGGCGATAATCAGCCATGGAGCAGATTTAACTGTAGGGGAATCGTCAGAATTACTTCGAGTTCGAGAATCGGAAAAGTAGGGTTCAGCAGTAAATTGCTTTGGCGGGGAGATAAAGGCGCGTAAAAGGGAATCCGGTTTAGGTTTTATTTGGTATTTTGGTTTATCAATTTTCCTTTTTGAAAAAAAAATTCTCACTGTGCTTTGCAAACGATAGATATTGGCGTTTAAATCGTTCAAACAAAAGAGGCGTTTAACAGACTCCAACGGATTCACAAATAGTTTCCGAAGAAGATAAGACTCAAAAGACTTGGAAATTTGTTCTGAAGCTATGGAGATTCACAAGTCGCCTGTTATATATGTGTAGTAAACAGTCATGTGCTTTTAGTAAACGTCTGGAGGCAAGTTCCCAGAGAAAGAAGTCTGTTGTTGCTGTTGTTGCTGTTGTTGCTGTGACCTTTGAAGATGGAGTTCCATGGCGTAGTTGTTTAGCTGATAAATAATATCCACAAACGAAAACGAAAGAAACTCAGTTAACCGTTGACTGATTGCTCGATCAACAAGATTTGATGTTTCGAGATAGTTAGTTACCTCTAGCTTATGAACTTGTTCTTGGTATTGCCCCACCACGCCTTTCAAATGCTGCACTTCTTTGGCCTTCTCTTCGTTTTCAGAGATCCGCTGGTGTTGATTCGCCACGACCCGTTTTAAGATTTGGTTGTCATTGACCAAACTCTGTAGATTCTCTTTTAACGACGCATATTCAAGCTGCAAAGAATGAGCGCTCCGTTTGTTATCATCTATCAACTCTGTAAGTTCTATCAATGTCATCGTTTACTTTACCTTGTCTGAGACATTGGAGTTGTGCTTTATGTTTCTCTCTAACGCTTCTAAGATCACCACAATACGTCGCCTCATATCATCAATGTCTATCGCCTTTGCCATCTCGGAGACAAGTCTATCAACCCATTTAGCTCCATCGATCATATCCTCATTTCTCCAGTTTTCCACAGCTCCATCAAAAGCGTTAACTTCGCCGTTGAACGAGATGGAGCGTAAGCTCTCTTTTGCATCTTCAAACACGTTGTTCTTGTTGCTAAGAACCTTTCTCACAAACTAATTCAAAATCCCACCAAATACAAAGCCAATATTAGCAAAATCCCAAATTCATAATTCCATAACACAAAATAACAGAGACTAGTGTAGTAATGGTTCAAGTTTCTCTGCAAGTAAGGGACTATGGTTATGGTATTATGTTTATCGAAGATTTCTCCTTTAGCTTCGATAATTGAACACTTGACCACAAAACTGTCACTTATGGAAGCTAAAGGAGAAATCTAGATCATTTCACGAAGGAACTATGTGACTCCACACAAAAATCAATACATAACAAAACAAATTTGAAATTTTTGAAATCTAGATCACTTCATCAAGTTATATTCCTTAGTTAAAAAGGGAAACTGTATAACGAACCTCAGGATCTATAGTAGGGAACATATGGACCAAGGATGCAACCGGGTCATCGGATCCAGACCCGATTTCGGATGATCGGAGCGGCGATCCGAAGCTTGACCACTTAGATCTCTTATTCGTCGGGGAGGAGGAAGACCCGAAGTAATCGTCGTATCCGACCCGTTTACCGCAAACTCCTGTAGACATCTGTAACAGCAAATGAATTATCCTAAAACCCCCAAGTATTTGACTTTTCAATTAAAAAGACAAATCCTTAAATCTGAAGTTACTGGTAAAACATTTTCAAGTTAGTTAGGGAACTTTTTAAAGTGATTTTGAAGGGGAGACGATGGATTATCTAGGGTTTTAAGTTGGGGATAAGATGAAGGGACGAGAGTGTATTATACGTTCCTCCTAGATGCGGTATAATATGAAACAGTTTCTTTCTACCATTGTTAAAGTATCGAAGTGAAGAAGAAGGAGAAGAAGGATGAGACAGTTATCATAAATGTACATTTATAATTAAGGTAGATGTGTAGCAACAAAGTGGCTGTAGTATAGTGGTTAGTATCCCGCGTTGTGGCCGTGGAGACCCGAGCTCGAATCTCGGCAGCCACATCTTTTAACCTTTTTCCAAATTAAATACCATATCTTAATATAGAATTATTATTAACATAGATGTCTATCAACAAAGTGGCTGTAGTATAGAATTTTTAGTTTTTACTCTGTATTCCAAATTAAACGGTGTCGTATTAATTATCCCTTTTGACTGAAAAAACGACGCGATTTCGTGCCAACCTCCTCCTTGAGGGCCTTAACCAGTCTTCTCTTGTCGTTTACGATCTGCTCTCTTCGTTAACTCAAGAGGGAATAATCGAATACGAAGAGGAAAGTCTGTCTCTACGCTCTCGAAGGTAAAAAGCTCAGAGATTTACATTTCAGTTTTTATATTTTCCTCAAAAATGTCTTCTTCGGATGGTTGGAATCTGTTGATCTATTGCATTTGATCAATTATTGTAGAGATCTGATGACACTCTTTCTTTGTTTACTGCTGTGAGAGTCGATCATTTTCGTTTTTTGGGATTCCATGGTTGATATCTCTGATTCACACATCATTTGGCTTGTATGGATTTCGAATTCTCGATCTTGTCTTCTCAAAAACGGATTTAGTTATTCTCCATCCTAATTTTTCTTTAGAAACTCGTTCTGGATTTATCTTGAATTATGATCCTAACGTTTTGAGCTATTCAGTAGAACTTGTATTTCTATAAAGTAAGGGAGTGTTAAAAGTGTTGATTCGTGGGTGTGATTTGTTAATTGTGATGTTACAGATGTTTGACGACCAAGACCTGGGCTTCTTTGCCAATTTTCTTGGGATTTTCATCTTCATACTGGTGATTGCTTACCATTTCGTGGTGGCGGACCCAAAATTCGAATGAAAAAAAATGAGGTTTTATCTTTGTTGCTTTCTACAAAACCATTGTCGAAATCAATATATGCCTTTAGCATTCCATAGGTCGACATGTTTCGCCAGTAATGTATTTTGACAATGTGGTTTTGAATAGATAAAGACTTGTTTTCGTAGTGCAAGTTACATATTTGAAGCATATATCATATCGAGTACCTGGTTTCCTAATTGTTCATGTTTTCTCTCTGGCTTCGTTGCTTCTATCATAGTTTCGTCAAGTTCTTCCATTTTGGTGGTATGAGTGGGTTTAGACTTTATACTTATGCGTAAACACAATTAACCTTATGACATGTAAGAGCTAAAATGAATTTCATTCGCGTTAGAGTATGTACACCTTTGGGCATTATGTTATGTTCTACAGTACATTACGAATTCATACTAAGGTAACTCTGAAGATTTTGGCTGGTTTGATCACCTCTGCTGTGATACTTACTGTTTATTGCATCAATCTTCTACAACAAAACCCAGCACACTATTGAAATACAGAGCAGAATCACTTTTAAAATTGTCGGTTATGACAAATGATGTGGTTTAGCTCCTTGATAGTAGTACTTAGGATATGTTTTTGGAAGTCATCACTGAGAGAGTGAAAAAGTTAACCCAAAGGCTGCTTTTGTTGTGTGGGCGTAATCAGATTGTAGGCTCTCTTTCGGCTTCTGTAGTGGGGGCATCATGCATATTCTTCTACAAAACATCTAGTAAATTCGGAAAAGTTTTTGAAGGGTTCGATCTGACAAAAAGCGAACCTGATTGGCTCTAAATGGCAAACAAATTGCAAAATCTCCCAAACATATTCCTCTAGTCTTAACTCTTAAGTGACAAACTCCTTTTGTCTGACACATTGTATAAAGCGTGATTTATTACATCATTCTCTAGATTCTTGTCGCATAAAAGTTAGATACCTCAAACTCTCCGGATGTATGAGATAGATAGCCTTCGTAATTGGACTAACTCAGTGTGAAAAGAGAAGTGATGGCACAAGCAAAGCCACATTAAATGGTAGGTACGTGACATTCTTGATAAGCACAGTTCGTTGAAGGAGAAACCTAAAATCATATGGGATCAAATACATTTTATAAACACGTTGATAACTGAACCGTGGTAGGCTCTCCTCTATCTGATTGATAAACAAAAAGGCTGTTCAAAACTTAAATCAAAATAAGTTTGATATTAACAAACAAAATGAAAATAGGAAATTGATTTCGCAAAATGAATTGCCCCAAACGTACAGTACTAGTAGACGACCCGCACAAACGCGCGGTGTGATGTTGCGGTTTTGTGAAGAAAATCTAAATCTTAACCCGAGTCCGACCCATAAACCCTAATCAAAATTTTTAAAAACCCTATCCTTTTTAATATGTTTAAACCCGAAAATCCTGAACCGAATAAAAAAAATCGAAACTTTTTCACCCGAAACCCAAACCCGACCTAAAAACCCTAATAAAAATTAAAATACCAAAAAAAATTAATATGTCTAAACCCTAAAACCCGAAATCCAAAAAATTCGGAAACCTTGAACTAAACCCAAAAATGCTCGAACCCAAAACCGAACAAAATTTTCAAAAAAACCGGGACATAAATCCACAATTTGATTTAAATTAGACGTATTTCTATTTCACTATTGGAAATTTTGCAAATATTATTCGATCATATTCTATTGATTTGGTATTATCGATAGATTGTGTTAATATTTTTTTTTTGCAGATTTTTTAAGAGCTGGAAAACAGGAAGTTTTCTAAACCATCGGTTTGTTTTAAGTTATTATTCTTGTATCCAAACAATTTTTTCCATTTATTTTTCTATCCAAATAGATTTTTCTCTTATTTCTATATCCAAACAATTTTTTTTTTCCATTTATTATTCTATCCAAATAGATATTTCTCTTATTCTTGTATCCAAACATTAGAATGTACTTCTCAATTAATATATAAAGATATGAATAGATTTATTTTATTTGGCAAAAAGGATATCTTTTCATTATTGTAAGAAATAAAAGGAAACAATATCACCGAAATCCCTAATATTAATGTAACAAACAAATAAGGTCTTTTTCAATTCGTTTTTTTCTCATTCGGCAAGAAATAATAGTTTTTCATTATTGTCAAGAAAAGATCAGGAAAAATATCTCACCGAACTCCCCTAATTAACATCTTCAAATAAGGAAAATTAAGATCCGCATATTTAGGAAGATCATATCATAATACAACTTGCACGTGGAAGAGAGACCATACGCTTCCCCACACTGTAACCTATAGGTTACTCACGAACCAATCAAAACAGTATAAAACGCCAACGTGTGCAAATTAGGGTTTTACCTCACAGCCACCGAACATTCTCGAAACTTTTTAAACAGCCTGGCGCCTTAGATCTGAACTCTCATTAAACAACTTGTGACCGTCAGATCAAACCCAAGCCTCAGGCCACAAGTCTATATAAACATACTTCTTCTCCATTGCTGTTTCCTTACAAACAAACCCTAGCCGCCTCCTCGTCTCCTTCGTTCTCTCTTTCAGTCTCTGTTTCTTCAATCTCATTGTAGTTTTAAATCTTCCGATAAAAAATGTCGGGTAAAGGAGAAGGTCCAGCGATCGGAATCGATCTCGGTACTACTTACTCGTGTGTTGGTGTATGGCAACACGATCGTGTTGAGATCATTGCCAATGACCAGGGTAACAGGACCACCCCTTCCTACGTCGCTTTCACCGACTCCGAGAGGTTGATCGGTGATGCCGCTAAGAACCAGGTCGCCATGAACCCCATTAACACCGTTTTCGGTACGTATCTCGTTTCCTTACCTCTTCCAATATCTGAATCTAGATCTCGCGAATCATAGTGCTTAGTTAGATCTGAGCTTTAGATAGCAATCGATTATGAATGATGTAGCGTTTTCATGAGTAGATCTGACTGGTGAAAGGTTTTTGTTCACATAGATCCTATTGTTATTCATTCAAGTTACGTGAACTGCTTACTTCGAATTCGATTTACTTGTTTGCTCAACTGAAGTTGTTAGTTTGAAATTTGAAATTGGTTTATATCTTTGATAAACTGTTTGAGATTTTGAGATTTATAACTTAGCTACACTTGCTGCTGTTGAATTGCTTGTTGACTTATTTTGTATGAGTTCTTAATTGCTGATTTATGGAATGTTTGCTTACTGAATTAATCTTTGTGTGTTGCAGATGCTAAGAGGTTGATTGGTCGACGATTCAGTGACAGCTCAGTCCAGAGCGACATGAAGTTGTGGCCATTCAAGATCATCCCAGGACCAGCCGACAAGCCAATGATCATCGTTAGCTACAAGGGTGAAGAGAAACAGTTTGCCGCTGAAGAGATTTCCTCTATGGTTCTCATCAAGATGCGTGAGATCGCCGAGGCTTACCTTGGTGTCTCTATCAAGAACGCCGTCGTCACCGTCCCTGCTTACTTCAACGACTCCCAGCGTCAGGCCACAAAGGACGCCGGAGTCATTGCTGGCTTGAACGTCATGAGAATCATCAACGAGCCTACCGCCGCAGCTATTGCCTACGGTCTTGACAAAAAGGCGACCAGCGTTGGAGAGAAGAACGTGTTGATCTTCGATCTCGGTGGCGGTACCTTCGATGTCTCTCTTCTCACCATTGAAGAGGGTATCTTCGAGGTCAAGGCCACAGCCGGAGACACTCATCTTGGTGGGGAGGATTTCGATAACAGAATGGTCAACCACTTCGTCCAAGAGTTCAAGAGGAAGAGCAAGAAGGACATCACCGGTAACCCAAGAGCTCTTAGGAGGTTGAGAACTTCCTGCGAGAGAGCGAAGAGGACTCTTTCCTCCACTGCTCAGACCACCATCGAGATTGACTCTCTCTACGAGGGTATCGACTTCTACTCCACCATCACCCGTGCCAGATTCGAGGAGCTCAACATGGACCTCTTCAGAAAGTGTATGGAGCCAGTCGAGAAGTGTCTCCGTGATGCCAAGATGGACAAGAGCACCGTCCACGATGTTGTCCTTGTTGGTGGTTCCACCCGTATCCCCAAGGTCCAGCAATTGCTTCAGGACTTCTTCAACGGCAAAGAGCTTTGCAAGTCCATCAACCCTGATGAGGCCGTTGCTTACGGTGCTGCCGTCCAGGGAGCTATCCTCAGCGGTGAAGGAAACGAGAAGGTTCAGGATCTTCTCTTGCTCGATGTCACTCCTCTCTCCCTTGGTCTTGAGACCGCCGGTGGTGTCATGACCACTTTGATCCCAAGAAACACCACCATCCCCACCAAGAAGGAGCAAGTCTTCTCCACCTACTCCGACAACCAGCCCGGTGTGTTGATCCAGGTGTACGAAGGAGAGAGAGCCAGGACCAAGGACAACAACCTTCTCGGAAAGTTCGAGCTATCCGGAATCCCTCCAGCTCCACGTGGTGTCCCCCAGATCACTGTCTGCTTCGACATTGACGCCAATGGTATCCTCAACGTCTCTGCTGAGGACAAGACCACCGGACAGAAGAACAAGATCACCATCACCAACGATAAGGGTCGTTTGTCCAAGGACGAGATCGAGAAGATGGTCCAGGAGGCTGAGAAGTACAAGTCGGAGGATGAGGAGCACAAGAAGAAGGTTGAGGCCAAGAACGCTCTTGAGAACTACGCCTACAACATGAGGAACACCATCCAGGACGAGAAGATCGGTGAGAAGCTCCCTGCGGCTGACAAGAAGAAGATCGAGGACTCGATTGAGCAGGCGATTCAGTGGCTAGAGGGTAACCAGTTGGCCGAGGCTGATGAGTTCGAAGACAAGATGAAGGAGTTGGAGAGCATCTGCAACCCAATCATTGCCAAGATGTACCAAGGAGCTGGCGGTGAAGCTGGTCCAGGTGCCGGTGGAATGGACGACGATGCTCCTCCTGCCTCAGGCGGTGCTGGCCCTAAGATCGAGGAGGTCGACTAATCTGTCGATTGTTGGCCTCTTCTCTTATCACTCTTATCTCTTTACTGCTTTTTTTTTTGGATCACTAAGACTTTTGTGCTGGGCTCTTTTAATGGAGCCCGTTTTGCGGTTATTTTTATTAGAACTTTTTTGAAATCTGGATGTTATGTCCAGCTATGATGACGGATAAGTAAAAGTTGCAACTTTTTACATTACCGTTTACAATATCACTTAACATCAGCGAAATTAGTTATTTCATCAAATCTCTTTCCTCTTTACGAAGAAAATAGCTTTTATCTTTGATAAACCTGGAAAGAATATTCAAATTTAAACGAATATGATAAACCAATGTGTTTAATTTCTTCAAAATTTGAAGGTTTCTTAGGAAGTTCGTTGAAGGATAGTAGTCTATGCTAGTTGGTCGGGACTCAATAACTCCATGCATCGGTGATGCTGCAGCAATGGTCCAATCTTCATCAGCTCTCTCCCACAGTCGCTTATTCGCTTGTCTTTCCCTTGTCTGTAACTTCGTTCGATCAATTGGTATTGTTATGCAATTGATTTGGGCTTCTATGCCTTGGGCATCTATCTCTGGGGACCTAGTTTCAGATTCGGTTCTTTTAAATTTTGTTTGGGCTACTTAGCCTACTAAGCTACTAGTTTTGTACCATTTGCACTCTTATGCATTTTGATAAAAACCAAAAAAAAGTCAGACTAAAGAAGCTAGTTATTTCCTAAGAAATTTGATGGAAATATCAGACATCTACTTAGCCTACTAAGCTACTAGTTTTGTAAAAATTCAGATATATCTTTTCATTTTGCATAATATAAAAACTGGGCTTTTTGTATTGCTGAATGGAAATAGAAATTGTCTTCACTATTCCATTAATCAACGACCAATAAATATGTCAATCTGTGAATGAAAGGCCTCACCGACGTTACATCCAAGCTACTACTCAGCAACCAAGCTTGCGTGGCATTTAATAAGCCGACCACCATATGAACGTTAGAGCAGAATTCCCAATATTTTCAGACGCGCTTTTTCTGTTTTGTCTTTTTTCCTTTTTCCACGGGACAATTTGCCTAAGAATTGGAAAAAGGTATTACCGTCGGATCAATCTAAATCTGATCGAACGGTCAGAAAAACCTCATCGAACATTCTCGAAACAACAAAGCCCCCTAGCTTATATAAACACGAGCCTCCTCCACCCACTTTCCTTCACAAAATCAAAAACTTATTCTTCTCTGCTCAAAATTTTCCTTTCGTCTCAACTTAGAAAATCTTCTTTCAGCTTAAAGATTTTTTGTTAGAGTGACAATGGCGGGTAAAGGAGAAGGTCCAGCAATCGGAATCGATCTCGGTACTACATACTCCTGTGTCGGAGTATGGCAGCACGACCGTGTTGAGATTATAGCTAACGACCAAGGTAACAGAACCACGCCGTCTTACGTCGCCTTCACCGACTCCGAGCGGTTGATTGGTGATGCCGCGAAGAATCAGGTCGCCATGAACCCGGTTAACACCGTCTTCGGTATGTAATTCCACCCTTCTTTCTCTGGTTCGCATTATTTTTAGGGTTTATATGAAGTTCTTAATTGCATAGACGATTTTGAATGACTTCGTTGCGTTGTACCCATAAGTACTCTTGCTAGGGTATAACTAAGGAGTCAATATCCACCTTGCTGCTCTGATTTTGTTGATTTTAGGGTTTATCTAGTGGCTTTAACAAAGAATTTGAGTTGAATCTGATTGTCTTTGTCTAGATTGATCACTGATAAGCTCTTCGGATTCGATTTCATGGACACTCGTTTACTTTATTTGAGAATTTTTTGTTTTTGATTATATCGAAAAACCTCCAGACGTCCATTGATTGATTTTGCTTTGTGAATTTGCTTCGAGTGTTTGACTAAACTCTGTTTTTGGTTGATTTGTAGATGCAAAGAGGTTGATTGGTAGAAGATTTAGTGACGCATCAGTCCAAAGTGACATGAAGTTATGGCCTTTCAAGATCATCCCCGGACCTGCAGAGAAGCCAATGATCGTTGTCAACTACAAAGGAGAGGAGAAACAATTCGCCGCCGAAGAAATCTCTTCCATGGTTCTGATCAAGATGCGTGAGATCGCTGAAGCTTACCTTGGCTCTTCCATCAAGAACGCTGTGGTCACTGTTCCTGCTTACTTCAATGACTCTCAGCGTCAAGCCACAAAGGACGCTGGTGTCATCGCTGGCTTAAACGTTTTGCGTATCATCAACGAGCCCACCGCAGCTGCCATTGCCTATGGTCTTGACAAGAAGGCGACCAGCGTTGGAGAGAAGAACGTTTTGATCTTTGATCTTGGCGGTGGTACTTTTGATGTCTCTCTTCTCACCATCGAAGAGGGTATCTTTGAGGTGAAGTCTACTGCCGGAGACACTCATCTTGGTGGTGAAGACTTTGACAACAGAATGGTTAACCACTTTGTGCAAGAGTTCAAGAGGAAGAACAAGAAGGATATCAGCGGTAACCCAAGAGCTCTGAGGAGGTTGAGAACAGCCTGTGAGAGAGCAAAGAGAACCCTTTCCTCCACTGCTCAAACCACAATTGAGATTGACTCTCTGTTTGAGGGAGTTGATTTCTATTCTGCAATCACGCGTGCCAGATTCGAGGAGATGAACATGGATCTCTTCAGGAAGTGTATGGAGCCTGTTGAGAAGTGTTTGAGAGACGCCAAGATGGACAAGAGCACAGTCCATGATGTTGTTCTTGTTGGTGGCTCTACACGTATCCCTAAAGTTCAACAGCTTCTCCAAGATTTCTTCAATGGCAAAGAGCTCTGCAAGTCTATCAATCCTGATGAGGCTGTGGCGTACGGTGCAGCGGTTCAGGCTGCAATTCTTACCGGTGAAGGTAATGAGAAAGTGCAAGACCTTCTTCTGTTGGATGTGACGCCTCTTTCTCTCGGTCTTGAAACCGCCGGTGGAGTTATGACCACTTTGATCCAGAGAAACACGACAATCCCGACCAAGAAGGAACAGGTCTTCTCCACTTACTCAGACAACCAGCCTGGTGTGTTGATCCAAGTCTATGAAGGTGAGAGAGCTAGAACCAAGGACAACAACCTCCTCGGGAAGTTCGAGCTCTCCGGTATCCCTCCGGCTCCACGTGGTGTCCCTCAAATCACTGTCTGCTTTGACATCGATGCCAACGGTATTCTCAATGTCTCTGCCGAGGACAAGACCACCGGGCAGAAGAACAAGATCACAATCACTAACGACAAGGGTCGTTTGTCTAAAGACGAAATTGAGAAGATGGTGCAAGAGGCTGAGAAGTACAAGTCTGAAGACGAGGAGCACAAGAAGAAGGTCGAGGCCAAGAATGCTCTTGAGAACTACGCTTACAACATGAGGAACACTATCCGTGACGAGAAGATCGGAGAGAAGCTTGCGGCAACAGACAAGAAGAAGATTGAAGACTCGATTGAGGAGGCAATCCAATGGCTTGAAAGTAACCAATTGGGAGAAGCGGACGAGTTTGAGGACAAGATGAAGGAATTGGAGGGCATTTGCAATCCGATCATCGCAAAGATGTACCAAGGTGGCGAAGCAGGTGGTCCTGCCGGCGGAATGGACGATGATGAAGCTCCTCCTTCCTCAGGCGGTGCCGGTCCCAAGATCGAGGAAGTCGACTAAGCTGTCTCTTAGTCTTTTCATCATTGTTATCTTGAATTCTGGATTCTCTTCAGTTTAGTGTTGTTGGTTTTTCTGTTTTACTTCTTTGAGCTATCTACTTTGCTCTCTCTGTTGCCTCTTCACAATGGCTAAGAAAGATTTTACAGATGCCAAACTCAGTGTGAAGCCATCCAATTTTAATCGGCCTATAATAAGATCGGAAATGGGCTAATTAGTTAATTATTCTTTTTCTTATTTCCGTTTTTAAAATGGAAATTACAAATTTTTGCAACGGAACAGAAACAAAAAAAAAAATAAAGTGAAAAAGTTACACTTAAAGATTGCAAGGCTTTTCTACAAATACATAAAAACATGGTTTCAGAAACTTCTCATCACGTCAACTTAAGCTCACCGGCTCCTCCAAGGTGGTGTGGCCGTAGACAAACCATAACCTCATGTTCTTCCTCAACACCTCCTCTCAATTTCGGAACAAGAATCTCTAGAACCGGTCCGGTCCCATCAAAATAAGCTTCAACGTTGGCTTCTTCCGGGATCCGGTTTGGCAACTGTATCTCCCTCATAAATTCCCCCGGAGGACAATGCTCAGCCGTCTGATCAACCAGCTTGAAAGTCCGGTCCCGTCTCTTCACCAACGGAGCCAGCGACGTGCTTGATCCCGTCACCTTCAAGATTCCGTTAGTGATACTGTTCCTCCACGTGACCTTCACGGTGTTCAAATCCACAAATGGTAGAGTCATCAAGACCAGGTAAGCTTCTTCATCTTCGTAGATGGTTTTCGCTGCAGTGGCCGGCCCGTGAACATTCTTCATCACTCCGGTGAAGTCGTTTAACCAACCAGGCGGGTCCTTGGCAAGGTGAGTCTCAATGTTGTTAACAGTCAAGCAACATTCTTCTTCGCTGCTTCCCGGAGATAAGAACTCTTTTCTCTTCTTGCTGTTGTTATTGCCTCCTCCTCCTCCTCCTCCTGGAGACTGATCTGATGAGTCACCATTGCTACTAAAAGACGCGTTGCTTGTCAAATGCAATCCCGAGCCGTTGAGGATCTTCTTGGCATTATTCGTCGCCGGTTTTGTAACATGAGGCGGTCTCTCGAGCTCGAAATCAGTGTTGGGAAGGTTTCTCCATGAACCGAAGTCACTAGCATCAGAAGGGATAGTGAACTTCAAATCTCGACCCGTTAGCTCCATCCATCTCTTCTTATCTTCTTCACTGACAGACAACAAACTCGGCGAAGGCACAAACTCGATCCCGTGAAGGCACTGAGGATTAGAGAGTCCCCTGTAATGCTTCCTCTGCATTCTGTGAGACCGAACAAACCCTTTCTCTGCGCTGAATGGAAACGGACGCTCTCCTTGACGAGAATGGCCATTCATATAGCTTCTCAACTGCATCTTCCCAAGCGCGTTCTCTGGCTTATCCTTGAAAGCCCACATGTACATGTTCTCCATATCATGCTGAACAAGAAAAACATCAAGCTTGAGATCAGATTTATCAAACCCTGTAAAGCATCCTCCTCCTCCTCCTCCAGTTTCCCTAATGACCTTAGACTTTGATTTCTCGTTGAGCGCCGGTTTGAAGTAGAAGCTGAAGAAGAACCAAGCTCCCCACATACTATCTCCACGTTTCAAGCATTTTCTACTGATTTTGCTTGGAACCACGTTGAGGAACGTCTCCGTCTCGTAGACGTGCGAGCTGAGACCAACATCCAATATGTTATCGCAAGAATCCAAGTTCCATAGCGGAGAGCTTCGTCCAACAGACAGAGGCAGATTGATGTCTGGTGGATTGTAGAGCGTGATTTGCCGATTGATGTTGCTCATCTCCAGATCGAGCTCTTCGTGAGACGAGCCGCTTGAATCCATGGATAAGAGCGTTGAAGGATGATGATTCTCCATTGACAAAACCGTGAGAATCGAGCCTTTCATTTCACACAGAAGAAATGAAGATCGACGAGTTTACGAATCGAATCGAGTCTTCTATGTAATCTCTTTCAAATCTAGTTTCCGTCAATCTCCCAAATCCCAGATCTCCCAATTAGCCCACATCGGTGCGAAACCAAATTGAGATCTATTTCCAGAAAAATTACCCTTAAAGTCTCTTTGTAAATCTCGACCAAGACGGAAGAGATTATGAGCGAAGACGCTAGAGAAACACAATATCCAACCCTAACCCTAGAATTTCCCGAAAACCCCCAAAAAGCGGCGGGAAACTCCGACTCAAACCCATCCGAGAAATATACATTGAAATTTATAATCTATCCCCTCCGTTTGCATTTACATCCAAGTAAAACCTCAGAGCAGAATAAGAAACCTACGAATCCGAAGAAATCGAACCCAGGAAATACCTTTTGAGATAAGCAACAATGAATCGAGAGGGAGAGATTGACGGATTCAATAGACAACACGAAGAAACCTCCGTCATTTTCACAATAATATCAACCAGTTGGATTAGAAGACGAGGTATAATATGATTATTTAGTTTAATTTGCTTCTTCTTCTTCTTCTTCTTCTTCGATGGGTGTTTATGTAAGAGGAAGAAGGGAAGGTTCGTGGGTGAGAGTGAATGTGAATGAGAGAGAGCTATTAGCTAAGAAAGAGAACGAGCCTCTCCTAGATACCACCTGATCCCCACTCTCTCTCCCTCTCTCTCTCTCTCTCTCTCTCTCTCTCTTTTCTCTTTATTTTATTTTTAGCTTCATCTTCAAATAAAATAACATTTCTTTTTTTCCTTCTCTCTAGCAGGATTATGGGTGCTTATCGTGGTGTTTACATGTGCTTATCAAAATGCATAACAGCGATTTCGATTTTGAAATAAACATTTTGCAAATTTTAAAAAAAAAATCGCGTTTATAATTTTTACTGGACCAGTAAAATTGCCAAACTAATTTCTTTGTAAACTTTATTATTTTCTGGTTCTATTCTTATAGTTTATAATAATCTTGAATTTTATGAACAGAGATATAATTAGTTATTAAATTCAATATTATTGTGTCAAAAACTCTGGTTTGTTATTATTCTTGCTAAAATGTATGTGGTCTATGTGGAGACAAGGTTGGTGATTAGTTTTAAAATATTAGTTTAATCAATTGTAGTGCCTAATTGCATTATTGTGCCCCCAGTGAGTGTAACAAATTAATATTCTAATCTAATTATTTAGCCTTTGAAATAAGACCATACGTCATCATCAGCCTTCGTATCCAACGGCTTACGAGTTTAATTCATTAATCCTGCTTTGTTGAATGTTGACTAGTTAAGTGCTTTATCAATTCCTAAACGAACGAATTAAAGGGTTAGAGGATAATTACAAGGATAACATATTTCAGCTTCAAAAACAAATTACATTCTGACTCACTTTTATAGTTTTATGTTATGTGTATCATGTAGCGTGATGATTCAGTTCACTATGTATAACATTGAAAAGTACGAATTATATACGAAATCATTAGCGGATGGTTTGCTAAAGTATTTGCAAACAAATTGAAGAGGAAAACAAAATGCCGAATGTAAAGATTCCTACAATATTATAGAGTAATGTTTTGTTTAGCGGATGTTCGGTTCCTGGAGGGACACTTGAACTATCACATGAGATGTGAACGGAAGTTGACAAAAAATAGGTAGAGTAATTAAAAATGGAATTAATGAAAACCAAAAAGAGAAGAAAGAATCAAACATGACTTTAAAAACTCAATAATTGAGATCTGAGAGGACATTGAAGATGACCCCAAAAAGATATTGGGAGTTGCCACCTCTCATATCCAAACAACGACAGATAAACAAACAGCAAACAAATATTTAAATAAATAGATCATCACTACTACTAGTAATTTACAATGACTTAAATATTTCTGAGTACCTGACAAGTGACAACACACAATATTAAAGTTAACAAATCAAATTTTAAGCGATATTGTTATAAAACTTTGTGATAGTACAGAGTTATGCATAGAGATCATTACGATGTACCGATTAAAAATCGAGTAACTATTTCGTTCCGATCAAAGTTAAAAAAAAAAAATCTCCGTCCGATCCAGTGCATACGTTTCTCAGACGTTCCAGAACTAACATGTAATTAAACTACACGCATATACCAAAAGAAATATAAAAGATCAATATGACAAATTATTATAGTTTACAAGGTGATGATGATAAGGACCATGTCTTATAAGACGAAGTATAATAACTTTATAAGCGATAATGTTTTCATTAACTTAAATGCCAACGTACCAAACAATTCAAGATTCACTGAACTTAATATTATTGTTTTTATACAATTGGATCGAATACAGACACAACTGTCAATAAATAATAGAGAAAGACAAAAATAGAAAATATATTATTGACAAAGAAATGTAACATGTATGTATGTATCGATTAACTGTAAATGTTTGGATTTAGACACGTAGGCCCACTAGGCTTGAAGTTACAAATGAAAGCCCATTTGAATCCCCGCCATTAATTAAATCGTAAGAAACGACACCGTTGAGAGTGTAACGCTCGCTTGGGTTTCCAACGCAGAGAGTGTGTTGATTGTTTTGTTGAGCCTTATGGCTTTTATGGGCTATGGAGACGCATCGTTGCTGCTTCTGCGTTTCTCTTCTTTACTATTGATCAGTTGGTTAGCGCCAATTCACCGAAATTCTCCGGTTTTCGTTGTTCCCATCTCTGTAAAGAGTAAAAAGGAAAACCCTAGAAATCTCCGTTTTCCGCCATTGCAAGGGGATCACTGGTTCGTCTTTGATCCCGATTCAGTGTTTTGAAACGGATTCGAGCTTCGTTTTTGTTCTGGCCTTGTTTCTCTGACTAGGGTTTCTTCAACATCGCTAGATCTCATCCACTGGTTGATACCCATTTCATAATTTTTTGATTTCGTCTTTGATAAAAATTGAAATCGGAAATAGCTCATAGACAGCGATAAATCGATAATCAGCACTTTTCGGAGCTGCACAAACTGGGTTTTCGAGATTTTATGCCTGTTTGTTTCATCGATTTTAGTCAAAATTTAATTGATTGAATCTGTGTGTTTCAATGGTGAAAATGTGTACAGGAGGAAAACGTTTTTGTTGGAGAATGGAGATGGATTTGTTTGTCACTCCGGAGAAGCAGAGACATCAGCCTTCAGTGAGCTTGGGGAAAACTCCAGTGAGAAGGAAGTTGATAGTTGACGACGATAACGAGATTGGGTCAGTGTGTGTTGTTAATTATTGTAATCACACGTCTGTGATTTCTCACTTGGAGCTAAAATGTGTTTATTAAATTTGTATTTGGGATAAAAAAGATCAGAGAAGAAAGGGCAATCAAGAACTGCTGGAGGAGGGCTTCGTCAATTCAGTGTCATGGGTCAGTGAATCTCTCTTACATATAACACTTATGTATATATAGTTTCGTTTTGGATTTGCTTAGCTTCACACGCTTGTGTGGTTTGATCAGTTTGTCAGAAGCTGGAAGCCAAGAAAATAACTACATACAAGGAGGTACTATTCTCTACACCAAAGATGTGTTGTGATCTTGAAGTTTTCGATTCTGATCTTTCATTGAATAAGTACTCACTTCGAGATCCTTTAGACTAGTTGTTGAGCTCTCTATCAGATATTAAGTAAGAGTCAACATAGTTTCAGGAAATGTTGAAATCTATGTTTGAGACTATTGCTCTTTTGACTTCAGGTTGCGGACGAAATTATTTCAGATTTCGCCACAATTAAGCAAAACGCAGAGAAGCCTTTGAATGACAATGAGGTATAGCAAGATGTAAAGCTGATATTTTCTTATCTGAATTATGGAAACCAATGTTAAGTTATAACAACATTCTCTCTTATGGTCAATTAGTACAACGAGAAGAACATCAGGCGAAGAGTCTATGATGCACTCAATGTGTTCATGGCATTGGATATCATCGCAAGGGATAAAAAGGAAATCCGGTGGAAAGGGCTTCCTATTACCTGCAAGAAGGATGTGGAAGAAGTTAAGGTGTTACTTCTAAGCTGGCACTCTCGATCTTCTTATGTTTTATTGGACTCTCTTCGTCTTCTTTACTAATGGTTGTGGATTTGTGATACTCGCATTTGCAGATGGATCGAAACAAGGTTAAGAGTAGTGTGCAAAAGAAGGCTGCCTTTCTTAAAGAGTTGAGAGAAAAGGTGATCCTCTTTTCTTCTTCTTTCTTTTCATGTTGGTGGAAATCTAAAAATGTGAGACTTGTACAATTCGAGATCTTGTTATGCATTTCAAGACACCAGAAATGCTAAATACCTGTCTACTTTGAATCTAGCATTGAGTTGTTATGGCGTGTTTGAACCATTGTCTGTTGTCTCTTCTGAAAAATGTGATTGTCTTGTCAGGTGTCAAGTCTTGAGAGTCTTATGTCGAGAAATCAGGAGATGGTTGTGAAGACTCAAGCCCCAGCAGAAGGATTTACCTTACCATTCATTCTACTTGAGGTACTTTTAAATCTCTTCTTTTCCTTAGTTTCATGTTTTTCCATGTCCCTAATCTGAAATCTCCATCTCAAATCTCTACACAGACTAATCCTCACGCAGTAGTCGAAATTGAGATATCTGAAGATATGCAACTTGTACACCTCGACTTCAACAGGTACCAAACACCATTTTTCTTGGACATCAAAATTTCTTTTGTATTCTGTTAAATCCGAGATTGAAAATCTCTTTGCTGTGATTGATCAGCACGCCTTTCTCGGTCCATGACGATGCATACATATTGAAACTGATGCAAGAACAGAAGCAACAGCAAAACAGAGTTTCTTCTTCCTCTTCTACACTTCAGCAATCTCAACTTTCCTCTGCTCATTCTTCCTCCAGTTCTTGCATTGCTTCTGGAACCTCAGGCCCTGTTTGCTGGAACTCGGGATCCATTGATACTCGCTGACCGACGAAACCGAGATTCTATCCCTGAAGAAGAAGAAGAAAAGTGATCTAATTGGTATACTGAAAATTTATACATCCGGTTTATTGTCAATTGAGAGAGACTGAAAAATTATGATTCATAGGCCAACAAAACGTTTGTTCATCCAATTTTCTTTTTTAAATGGAACTTCATGTAATTTTCTACCAGAAAACCGATTCGGTTTACTTTGATCTGAGATTATTATTGATTTAAACCAATCTGCACCGAAACTGAATCAAGTTCTTTCGCTGGGGAAAACGGGCCGTGATCAAACATATTTAGTTCCCGGTTAGGTCCGGCTTACCGAAAGTTGTAAGAATAGTTAGCTTCCGTTACGCGCTTAAATGGCGCGTGTTTGACGCTTATTTGAATTTCCCAATTCCCATGCAAAAACAAAGAAAATGGATTTTTTTTCGAAAAAGGAAAAAAAGAGACATCGCGGCGGTTCGAGGGAAAGAAAAGCGAATTTGGTTGGGGACACTTCGGAAGAATGTTGGTCTGTTTTAATTAATACTCTTTATATTATTAAAGAAATTTCAATTATTTATTTTCATTAACTTAATCTACTCATTCTCGAATTATTTTGTAGGTGTTGGCCCATTTAGTCCAACCTTCTCCCCCTTTAGTTATTAAGGTAAATTATTTGATTACTTAATTAATCAGAGCTGGGTGGATGTGCTAAAGTTTTAAAAAAATATACCAAATTATCTCTTTTGCATGTATATGAACACATTCAGATTCAATCTTGTTGCTAAAATGAAAATACATAAGTACGTCTTCCTATACAATGATTTTTTTCTCTAAAAACCACTTTCAGTGATAAACTGATAATACATGACATGAAATAGTAATATAAGGAGAACATTGTTTCTTTCACTTTGAGAAAATAATGAGAATTTTGGTTGAAATATCCATGTTTCCAAGCATTATGAAGTTATTTGAATCCCATTCAATACAACAATAAACAAAAATTCACATTTCAAGTATAAAACAATTCACATAATAGCTTATGTTCAATTTGATCTTCTGCAGAATTTAAAAAAAAAAAGTTTCTAAAAGTCCATGACATATATCAATATTTTCGTTGTTGGTGTTATCCTTCACAAATTTAAATAAAACCAAGTGTTCCAAATGTTACTGACTTTAAGAACATTATACCAGTCAAGCTTAGTACTTTTTCTAATATATATAACACACAGTACAGAAGTAGCAGTATCGCCAGAAAGAGAGAATCAGAAAGAAACTTATGAGTTAAGCAATTGGACACACTCCCTCTCCTCCATTTTCGCAAAACCCTAAGCAAATATGCATAAAATATAAAACAAAAAGAGCCTCACAACAACACTGTGGACACACTCGACTCTTAATTTAATTTATTCACCTATATATTTTATAACTATCATAACATTCTCACATATTCCATATGTATATGTTGGCATGTATATATATATGAATAAAGGTTCTCCCTTTACCTTTGCCTTCTCTTACTATCTTTCTCTAAGCTCCTCTCCTCTTCTTTTCTCTCTCTAAAGCTCTTCCCTTTGTTTTTTATTGATGTAATTCTCCACTTCTTCGCATAAGCCTTCATCCAAAAAAGGACCAACTTTAATTCCTTTATTTGCTAAAACAAAACGAAAGAGAGAAGATATCATCAAAGAAGAAAGATCAAAGATGGTTTTTTCTTCGTTTCCCACTTATTCTGATTCATCAAACTGGCAACAACAAGTAAGTTCTTGATTTTTTTATTTCTATGTGTGTACTCAAGAATCGATTAAAAAGAAAATTAAAGAGAGGATTAAACTAACAAGAAAAGAGGATAATAATATTCTTGTTCCTTTTGTCACTTTAAATCTTTGTATATCTGTGGTTCAATTTGAATATACTCATAAAATTAATTCTTTCTTTCCTTCTTTTTACTTAATTTTCACAAATTATAATTACTTTTTGTGTTGTTTTTGAATCATTTCTTCCTCTCTTTAGCATCAACCAATCACAAGCACCGTTGGATTCACGGGAAACAACAACATCAGCCAGCAATTCCTCCCTCACCACCCCCTCCCACCGCAACCGCAACAAACACCTCCACCGCTTCACCACAACGGTAACGGTGGTGGTCCCGGCGGACCTGGCGGATTAGTCCGGCCAGGTTCGATGGCCGAAAGAGCAAGGCTAGCCAACATACCACTACCTGAAACAGCCTTGAAATGTCCAAGATGTGACTCAAGCAACACCAAATTCTGTTACTTCAACAACTACAGCCTCACTCAGCCTCGGCACTTCTGCAAATCATGCCGCCGTTACTGGACACGTGGCGGCGCTCTAAGGACCGTTCCCGTCGGTGGAGGATGCCGAAGAAACAAAAGAACCAAAAGCAGCAGCGGTGGTGGTGGCGGCGGTAGCAGCAGTAGCGGTAATAGCAAGTCACAAGACAGCACCACAAGCAACGACCAATACCACAACAACCGAGCCATGTCTAATAATCAGATGGGACCACCGTCTTCGTCGACCTCCCTGAGCTCGTTGCTGTCTTCTTACAACGCCGGATTAATCCCCGGACATGATCATAACAACAACAACAACAACAACATACTTGGACTTGGATCATCTTTGCCTCCTCTCAAGCTAATGCCTCCTTTAGACTTCACTGACAACTTCACCTTACAATACGGTGCCGTTTCAGCTCCTTCTTATCATATGGGCGGTGGAAGCAGCGGGGGAGGAGGAGCGGCGGCTCTTTTGACCGGGTTTGACCAATGGAGGTTTCCGGCAACTCATCACCAACTTCCTTTGCTGGACAATTCTTCATCTTCCGGTTTATACCCGTTCGAAAATCAACATCAAACGGGTATGGAGCAGCAGAATCCGGGTTACGGATTAGTCACCGGGTCGGGTCAGTATAGACCTAAGAACATTTTCCATAACCTTGCTTCCTCTTCTTCTTCTCCTTCTGCTTCATCGGCTATGGTTACAGCCACCGCTTCGCAATTAGCTTCCGTGAAGATGGAAGATAGTAACAATCAACTCAACTTGTCTAGACAACTTTTTGGAAACGAGCAACAGCTTTGGAGTATTCATGGAGCTCCAGCATCAACCGCAGCCGCAACAACTAGTTCGTGGAGTGATGTCTCTAATAACTTCAGCTCTTCTTCAACTAGCAATATCTAATCAGTCATCACTCTATTTGATGATGATACTTTTGTTAATTTCTTGTTGGGTGTGCTATGATCTCATGTACTTACGTTGGAAGTTAGTACATCGGTCGATCTTGTAGGGTTTTTTTGTCTTATATTACATTACAACTACTAGATTTGATTTTTTGGATTCTCTTGGTTGGTGCTTTTAGGTTTAAAATTAGGGCTTTGGCTATTGCAAATTTCATCTTTTATTTGAAGTATGAAGATATGATCATACATGCGAGTAGTACGGTGTTAATCTGTACGATCATTCTATTAATATATTTTTGTTTCTTTTTTTTTTAAACTGAACGAGGTTATATCGATTTTTCTAATCAACTTAAATTGATTGTAAGTTTGTAACACATAGATCAAAGTATTTCTATCGCATCAGCCATAACCATGGTCCATTTCAGTATACTAGCTACGAGAAGGCATAATATCGAGAATGCATATCTTTTTCTTTTTCTTCTTCTTCTGAATCCTTTGGAATTGACACATAATATATGCAAGTAAAACAATGAAAAGGTATGACACATGTATTTGCAACAATTGATTAAATTGTGTCGAACCTAACATGGAATTTTAATTTGGTGTAATTTCGTCCTAACAAGTTTCTGTTACGAGAAATTTCATGACAAAGATATTCACAATAAGAATCGATTACAGCTGAGGTGATTCGGGGTTAGTATTTTATGTTTCCTTTTAGGCCATATGAAGTATGTCATTTGTAAGCGTTTTGGGGGTGAGCTTTTGCGTCTAATTTAATCTATCTTTATGAGCTTATATGAAATCGGTCCAAATTCCAGCATAGTTTTCTGATTATTCCATTTTTAAAATTATAGAGTCTTTTACGGAGTACTTTAATTAGACTTTTTTGATGATTTTGATGTAAAGCAAAGAAGAATCTGTTTGAGACTTTATCTACAAGCTAGCTATTTGAACATCTAACTAAACTACGTACTGTATACTGAATTCGCAAGTTTTTTTTAACTGTAATTGCAATCTAACACGCATTACTAGTTAATACGGCATTGTAACGATATTCATTTATTTTTACCATAAAGAAAGAAAATGACATTCATCTATTACCTTATGATTAATTCCATCAATCATGGTATCGTTATAGAAGACTGGAAGTAATTAAGGGACAATGATTCCGTTACGCTCTGCAAAGGAACGTTCTTTGTGACTTCCGAGAAGTATTTTGTCTGCTGCCCAATTTTTTATATAAACATGACTTAAAATATACGTATATTTGTAGTGGAGACCAACCCGCCAAATATATCATTAGACTAATTTTGTCCAATGCATGCATGATCGTCGATAATGCATATCGGTTTCGAAAACGACAAAACATAGTCCACACAAAAATAGACCTATAGCGAGGATTACAAGTGATCAATATCATCTCACTTCTTCTTTTTTGTGCGAATGCATCTATTAGATTTTAAGTGTGATTGACGAATTTTAAAAGATTAGTGAAGCTAAATAATAATTAGCATAGTATAAAATATAATATTCCTTGAAAGAATTTCAGATAAATAGTAACGGAGACTGAAATCTAACGACCGAATAAAATCGGAACAATGAGCAAGAAAAACGACGCGCCTTGGGAGAGGGCAAGAGGCTCGTGACGTTCACGGACCACTAGGCGACAAAAGTAACGGTGCGTCAGGGGAGATGGGACCCATGCGCAAGACCCAAGAGATTCGACCCTTGAAATTGCACGCGCTTCGATGCACGCGTGAGAATTTGAGCCCAAACAAAACTACGCTACAAAATCCCAAACTCTGTACTTCTGATTTTCCTTACATGTGACTGACAACTAAACTCTCTGTTTTAACACATCATCAATTTATTTTTTAATTAACAAAAACAAATTAATTTGTTAATTTATAGGACAAAAAAAACAAAGCGTCGGAATTCATTTCCGTTTCACGGTTTCAGGTAATCCAAACCGTGGTCGTAAATATACTCCTGTTATAGATTCGTATTGAAGTCTTAGATTCGGTCATAAGCTATGACTGCGTAGCTAGTAGAATTTGGGACAAACCAGTCCATGAAGCCGGACCAGCGAATCTGGAATAATGTTAGTCCAAATGTGGATATTATAGGTAAATATTTGTTGACGACTAAAGAAATCTTGCATATTAATGTCACGTGGAAAAAGATGAAACACACATATATGCGAGTCTTACGGTACATGGAAAATTCATTATATATATACACTTCAATTTGTGTGTGTGTGTGTGTGTGTTGTTTATAGTTATAAAAATGAACAAAAAAGTGCCCTAGTTCATAGTTGTTCGGTGATAATATGGACTAAAAAAACAGAAAAAAAAATGTATATGAATCTAACTGAAAAAGAACTTGTCACTAGAACTCTAGAATATTATGGAACCTTCTTCGCTAAGAAGTCCAATCAGCAGGGAGATAACACATTTACATGGATGCATATGTAACACGTAAGTACGTATATATTAAAATTTTGCGTATATAAAAGGAACAAATTATTCTACTAGTAATTATATTTTCACACAAATAATAAATGCTAGAACATGCCTCCATGAATAGTTTTCTGTGAAGATCATTCTCTCTTTATTGTAACTTCGCAGCTTTTACTTTACTGAGACTAGTTCCTTCGCTTGACTGATCTTATTTGCTCATTAGCACTGTCAGGATGTGGTGGCAGTTGTACTTGGGCTTAAAAACCCCGACCGGTAATCATATATATTTCGAAATATATGTTTACAAAAATGACTACAAGATGTAAATAAATAAACTAAAAGCAAAAATCATGATTATATGACTATTTTAAAAACATATTATGATTTATATAAAAGATGATTTTTGTAGAGTAGTCTTGACGAATATGTGAGCATCTAGCCTATGTCTATGTGTCTATAGTACATGTGATGAATATCTACTTGTCCAGTTGTCCTATCAGTTTTTGTAACTAGAATGAAGATTCAATATTAGTTGCTCTCTCTCTCAAGATATCTTATTAATCTTTTCTTTAGAAAGAATATTTTATTAATCTTTCTCAACCTAAAATGTGGCCAACCCAAAAAAAACCACGAGGGTCCCTCGATCTGGTAGCTTTTTGATATGGCTAAGTAAAATTGTCGACGATTTTCGTAACAACGTTATGCAACTCCTACGCCTATACCTATCATTACCATTGACTAAAATTGATTTAATCAATTACTAATAAATATAGTGAACTGCATAAACACTCTTGTGTTTGAACACTAACGAATTTGGGGATATATTGATCTTTTTCAAAAAATAAAAGAAGAGAAAATTTGTGGATCGCGAATTTGGGACGTAACAGAATGATCGATCAATCACTATATCTTAGAATTTGTTTTTCCCTGATTACCTTAGATATGCATATTATCTTTGTCTGTTTACTGGTAAAAGAAGTTTTCTTTTGTTCACTAGTCCCTATCGTTGCCCACAATCAAGACGGGCCTGTTTATTCACCACTTTTACGTTCAATTTCTAACATATTTGACGTCACACACTATGTATGTTATGGGTGATTGGTACGTGCACCAATCATTTCAAAACTGTACAGCAATTCGATTTCCTTTAAATAACACAAGCCATGCACCTCAAGTTGCTTTCCTTTTTAATCTGATCAATAACTAAGAACCACATGTAACACACGTATGCATATGTACCTACACACATCCCTAATAACCAGTATGTTGTTGTTATTTTGAATAAGATGGGATATGGTGGGCGATAACAAATGATTGTGACGGATGACGATGACTGCGCATAGAAAGTTGCTTGGTCCTTAAGAAAGCACACGAGGCCTAATTGTAATATTCATCATCTCATTAAACATCTATCACATAATTTGATTTGTGGACCGTTTTTGCTTACATCACCACTTACAAAAGATCGCAAACACTTGCAACTTTCGAGCACATCAACATCGATAAAGCAAACCATCATTGTAACGAATATTTGAAATCTCGAAGTAGGCTTAATTTATGAAAGACTAGGAGTCAAAGGCAGAGTAGTCGGTTATGTGTTAACCACGAGACGGAGGTTCATAATGGTCTAGTTTTAAATTTTAATCATCTCTTGTTAAAGAAAAATCATCCAATAAAAATTGGGCAAACACTCTTAAGAAACAAAAAAAAAAACTGAGTTTTTCGAAAAAACAGAGCCGAGTCCCGAGTCAAAGAATCACTTCTTCTTCTCGGTTACACCACCAGACCTGAACAGACACAGAAACAAAACCAAATCAGCAAGAATGAAAAACAAAGTCTTTAGTTAGATGCATATAAATGGTGTGATTTGATAAAGGAGACACTAGACCTCATCTTGCGGAGGACACTAGACATCTCCTCTCTCTTCCTCTTGGCTCTCTTGTGAGTTCCCAACTTTCTCTTGGCAACTTTGAGAGCTCTCTTGTCCTTGCCGACCTTCAAAAGCTCAGTGATCCTCTTCTCATAGGGAGCAAAACCTGCGACTTCCCTGATGAGACCCCTCACGAAGAGTGTCCTCTTGCTTGTTTTCTGATTACCAAATACTCAATATCAGAGAATAATAGCTAAACTTATACTACAAACTGTAAATCGTTAAATCTAACATCTAACCACAGAAACGAAAATGAGGTAAAGAGTGGATATGGATTAGAGCAATACCCCTTTTCTGTTGTTTGGGCGAGGAGGTTGCTCGCGCTTTGTGACAATGTGTCCTTTGTTTAACCCGACGAATAAGCCAGTGCTGGCTTGTGTTGCCACCATTTTCCTAATGCAAATCCAAAGAGAAATAGAAGATGATCTCAGATCTACTTGTATGCGATTTTCTCTTAAATCTAAAGCTCTATGTTCTACTACTATTATTATTCAGCAGCTCAATTCGATATCGATTCTACACTCGAACAAAACAATTCAACAACGGATTCACATAGAAATCACGAGGTAAGAGATCCGATCGCTAGCTCATGGATGAATAATACTAACCTGCACCTGAGTTTGAATCTCTGAATGCGCCGCGAAGAAAATCGAAAGAGGAGGAGAAAGCGATTTAATAGTCTAATCGAAATAAAAGGATTAGGGTTTAGCAAATTTGAAGAGCTGCTTCCTGTATTTCCAATTCTACCCCTGCCATTGTGAGCGATTCTGATTTCTGAATCCTCTTTGTTAATTGGGCTTTACGGTAAATGGGCTAATTGTTTCTTGTTTATTGGGCCTTTTTGGATACGAAAAGACTCTTTTTACAGTATGAACAAAAAAACAACAACATAATCATCATTTCTCTCTTTTCCATAGTTATCAAGCTACAAGTCAAGGCATGGTCCTTTGTGCCAAATAAAGTTACTACTTACTAAATCGTTTCTGAGAAGCACATACCCATCTAAGGCTATTTTCGGAAACAAAATGCCAAAAATCGACGAAGCTGAAACTATGTTTATCAAGACTCACCCATTTCTTACTCTATCTTCTTCCTCTCAATACCTTTGTGATGACCAATAATGATATCGGGTGCCTCCTCTATCTCTTCATTAGGCTGAGGTAAATTCCATAATCATGAGAATACAATTTTGGAGATAATTTCTTTCAAAAATTAGATTGTATATGCGAATACCTGCAGTAACTCAAGTAACCGCCAGAGCAAGTAATCGATGATCATAACCATACAGAATAGTTTGCCTGCCCAAGATCCACATGACAGGAACCTACAAAAGCAACATGTAGATATATAAATATTCATCGGTAAAAATGGAGTTTCACAATCAATCTTGATGAGTTTGGATTTAATGCAATGTACCGAGATAGACGCTCTAGAAGACTCCTATTGGAACACTTCAAGGCACGGTCGTACACAATCTCGGTTCTTTTGGCAACATCTTGCCAACTGTAGAGCTTCTTCATCTGGTACCAACAATCAAACAAATAAAGACAATCAAAGGCTTGGAAGAAGTGTCTCATCTCTTATAAAGTTAGAGTGTATGGATTTGAAGGCATGTATGTACTCACTCGATTGTGCATCTCCTCAGGGTTAATACTTGGCAGTATTGATATTGCCTTCTCGATTGCTCTTACCATATCATCCGGATCTGGCTCAGCTAGCACAACCATGTCATCAGGTAGGACCTATAAAACATGAACAAAACCTGTTTTTATCCGATCTGGGATAAAGAAACAAAGCGAAAGGCTTCTGTTAAGAAATGGTACATGCCTCTGGGACACCTCCAACACGAGTACTAACGGTTAATAATCCGCAGCTAGCCGCCTCCAGAATAGCTATGCAGAAGGCTTCTGTCAAAGAACTGTCAGAGGATCAAAACCGGAGTAAAGATTGTACATTCAGCAGTCCATACGATAAGAAAGACTAATATATAGAGTTTTGTGATCTTCAGTAATGAACATTTGTAAGAATCAGCTTGCAAATATGCACACCTGTTAAGGAATATATGACCGGTTACCAAAACAGAGCGCACACGAGAATGCGGAACTGCACCCAACATTTCAACTCTATCTTGCAAAGAATGCTTCTCTCTCATTTCCTCTAGCCGCACATGTTTTGGTCCATCCCCTCCAACTACAAAACGAACCTTTCAAAAACCAAATATAAAAAAAAGTAAATAACTTCCGGATACAACAGAGATGTGTCAGAATGATGGTTACTAAGAGGTTTATAACTCACATTGGGGTATAAACGGCAAACTTCGGGAATGACTTCAACAAGCAAATCTGCACCTTTCCGATAAACCAGTCTACTTATGACAACTATAGTGATGACATCGGTGCTGGGTCGGACAGAAGCAGGCTTGAACATAGCAGTATCAACAGCATTTGGTATCATGAAAACCTTTGCTGGGGACAATCCAGACCTCAGAACCGTGTTCTCCTTGCTCGTGTGTGAAACGCAAATCGCCTGGTCGATATCTGCTAAACTGAACTGCAAGACCTTGTTCATGTGGATGCTCCCGACATCAGCAAACCCGTACAGGGAATGGTCTGTGAAGACAACTCTGTAGCCCATTGTCCGGGCATGCATCAAAGCTTCATGACAAAGTGTGGAGAAGGCTTGGTGGCCGTGAACTACGGTTATCTTCTCGCGTACAAGTATGGTCCTTACAATGGGAAGCGTTCCATAAACCGTTGGAAATGTGGTCTGCATAACAAAAGGTCTCCAAGGCACATAATAGACTTTGAGCCCACCTGTCATGTATCGAACTCCGGACCTGTTCCCATAAGCATGTGTCATAACCACCACCTGCAACAAAAAGGCAACAAAATCTCAAACCTACCACACACTCAATTATTAGACCCTATCAAACTATGCTACATTACTTGCTAACAGCTATTGATGATACAAATGAAACTTGAAATTAAGTACATATGATTTGACTCGCATTTGATTTCACAATAGCTAAAAACCTCAAAAACAAAGTAACAATTTTGATTACACACTGACCTTGTGTCCGAGCTTTAACAAGCATTGAGAGAGATAGTAGATGTGATTCTCCACACCACCAAAGTTTGGGAAGAAGAAATCAGAGACCATTAAAACCCTAAGCTTTGGTTCCGCCATGGATAATCAGCCACTGGATTCTATTCGAAGCGCTGAATCATCAATGGATAATCCTAACCTGCACCTGAGTTGAACCGTTGAATCTCACTGTGCAATAGCCAAGCACTTAGCTTCAAAACAAAGTTAAATACAAACACCAATTAGCTGGAAAAAAAAATGGTAAAGTACAGATTTTATCCTCTAAAAATATAAGCAAATATATGCAAGAAGATGCACAAGTTGATCTGATAGAAAATTAAAAATTAGCCTGGCTCATTGCAAAAATGATAAGTCTGATTTTGGAATGAAACGATTCCATTAGGACTCTTTAAAAGTCATCTCTGTATTAAAACTGATTCCAACTCCAAAATTCTCAGGCAGGCAATTCAACAAACAACTTATGTGCCTTAACGATACAGTCCCACATAGCCCCAAAGAACCGGGAACGAAACATTCAATCTCCGAAATTGGAAAATTCAACCAATACTAGAAAAGAATCCTAAACATATGCACAAAATTATGAAGGAATCACAATCATTGCATCTCACACAGACCCAAAGAGATTATTTTGAGATAAAGCAAAATAAATACATTCCCAACTTCAAAGAAACTACAACGCACCTAAATGGATAAAGTTTCCACCCAATTAAACTTACTGGTTTGGAGCTCCAGGAATTGAATTTGTTTTCGACCTTTGCTTTGCTTCGCCACAGATGGGCAATGCGTCAGATTATTTGAAACTTGAAAGTAACAAACCGGTTTAATGTTCGATTTCAAACGGTTTATCTGGAAAAACCGGGATCCTTTAAATACTCAATTGATCCTCGTTCGGGTTTGTTTTTTCCGAACGAAATAGTTTGATAATTGGGCTTTTACGTGAATGGGCTTCTTTATTGTTTCTAGTTTATTGAGCTTGGTCTAGATCCCAATTTCAGTTTCTTGTATGGTTTCAAAGTGACTCCAAACATAAAAACATTTGACAAGCAAACAATAAAGAAGCCGTTACAGAAAAATGACATAATCATACAGAAACATGATTTCAAAAACCCAAATACAAAACATGTGAAACAACCAGTTACAACATACAATAAAAATCCGTTGCGTTAAGGAAGTCAAATTTCACACAAGAATTTTAACTAGCAAGCTTGTCGTCAATTAATTCTCGACAGTCACATAGTCGGTGTGGACCGTGTGGTTGATCCGATGGCTCGTCTCTCAACCATGAGGAAATGTCCGAGAGACTGCGCATTGTTCCGACCATGGTCTTCGTTCGTTATCTTGTTGTGTGGAATGACCGTAGCATTTGTGCTTAGTTTGGAACAAATAGAGAAAATCCATGGCTTGTAAGAATTGAGGTTCTTCTGACGTTGATGGTTTCTAGAAGTTGTTTGGTCAATCCTTGTTCGGTTTGATCTTCTTGAAAGTTCTAGAAAGCTTGATATCCCGATTAGGTTTCCTAGTGTGCAGCTCCTATCGCGAAAAAATGATCCCATCGACTGAAAAAGAAGGAGTGTAACATGTTATTATATATTTAGTGTATATATGGAAAAGGTAGAAGTGTAAAACTGATACATCACACGCAACATAAATATTGTAGTGGTTGTGATGTCTACTCTCATCGAAGATGAACTGTGAATCTGTGATGGTGAATGGTAACCAAAAATAAAATTTACGTATATCATACTAAAGATTATAAAAAAAGTGGGAAAGAAAAAAATACAGGTTTTAAAAATTCGAGAAAAATGGCTGAATGACAGACGTCAAACTGAACACCAATTTTCGTAATTGTGTGAATGACAAATAAAAAGAAGTGAAATCACATAGTTATGCTCAGTGCCAGATGATTATTGGTAAAAATTTCCAAGGATTGCACTTTCCAATACGGTGTGATCAAAAGCTGCCAATAAATATTGAGAAATTGCTTTTGTTTTTATAGTATAACAATTTTCCGACAAACGTGGCCTTTTCAGACAAAACCATCACAGCTTTAAAGGAGCGTACAATTGGTTCACGTTCGCTCTGAAGTCATCTCAACCAACAACAATACTATTTTAGTATTTTTAGTTTTTATAAACCAAACCAGAAAATAAAGGGAAAGAGAATGTGAATTCAATAGATCCAAAATAGTAGTCAAAGTATAATCATCAGTGAATTTCTATGAGGAAAAAAACGTAGACAGATTCAAACGGCTCATCCGTTAAAATGCAAGAAAAAAAACAAAGGCAAGACTGATGAAACTGAAAATATGAATAAAATACTAAAGTAATTAACTGATCTTTCCAGATAAAAAAAAAAAAAAAACAAAAAAAATGATGAATGTTTAGAGGCATATGTATGTATTCAACCAAGAATCTGCCAAGACCTACGAAACATTTCTTTAATTTATTATACATATGAAATGTGTAATGTGTGTTTGTAAAATGTATACTATAAGCAGAGGAGTGTATATATGTAATGTATCTGACCTGGGAATCAAGATCAGATGAAGAGTGAGAGGAGGGAGAAGGAGAGAGAAGAGAGCTGAAGGAGATGGAACCAGCAGAAACTTGTTCATGATGATGACGATGATGATGAGTTCCTCTTGTGAGTCCTCCGATTCTTGCATTTACTGGTCTCAACCCAAGCGGCCATCCTTCCTGTAATTTAATTAATTACATCCATTATATGTATATATGCGCATATCATACTATTCATCGTATTTATGAAGAGAGTACCTGGTGAGCCATTGGAGTTTTGGGACTTACAGGGAGAGCTTTGGATGAATATTATGAAAGCAAAAATGTAGCAACTTTAGAGTCAGGATGTGTATATGAATATGCTTTTTTGGAGAGAGAGAGGGTTTGATTTTCTTATTTGGTTAATTAACACAAAAATCAAAGAAAAAAAATAAAATAAGACATGGCTTCGCCCGGGTTCGAACCGGAGACCTTCAGTGTGTTAGACTGACGTGATAACCAACTACACCACGAAACCTTTTGACAAGAGTTGGCAGTTTTATTTATTTCACAAATATTGCATGGCGCAAACTTCTATGTGGACCAAACAGTCATTTGCATCGATAAATGATTTCATGTTGTCAAAAACTAGTAGATTGAGGAAAATCAGGGTTATCAAACAATATTATCTCGTTGATTTTGATACTGTTTGGACTTTGGAGTATGGTTTTAGTGGTCCGAAATCCTACTTAGCATTCACATGTGGTTTTCACTTTTCACCATAATACCGTCTAAATTGATAAGAACAATGTTTAATCGAAAAAACAAAGTTAATGAATAGAGTGCCGTTAGAAGGTCGACAACAAAAAAAGTGTAGAAGCTCGAAATTGAGAAAAGGAAAAAGAAATGATCTGTGCTTTGGCTTTGGTGTGGACAAAGACCATATGCTTCGTTCTGTGTACCTCTCGATAGACAAAACACTTTATCCTTTTTTGACCACATCATTCTGTTCTGTAGCTTTCTATTTCGTCCTTTAAATATTGACCGTGTTCAACAAATACCGATCTAATCGGCTGATTCTACTTAACTCAGGCCGTATAATGGGTTTTAGGTTTCTGTTAGGTATTACAATGATTCAATCAGCCAAGCCCATACTAGCACGACCGCGTATCGACATTGCTATACAATGAGTCCAACCAAAATTATAAAGAGTTCATCAACTAAAAATAAAACAAATTAATGATTTATCTGCTGGCGGCAAGGTTGTTTTTTCTTTAAATTTGAAAATCTCTGTACGATAGCAAGGCTTTTCACATCAGGACTCGTAATCTCTTCATTCTAAAGTTTCATTCTTTTTTTCTCTTGCTAATTCAAATTTACTTCTTGATATGTGACTATAGAAGAACTATACAAGAACTTGGAAGGAGCTATACACTGTACAAAATATACGTATATATATGTACAAGAAGTGCGTCAAAACAGAGAGCCTTGACGGCCGACTCTGCGGGGCAATCCGAAATTCTGGTACGCCCGTATTTGGCCACCGCGTGTGCCTGCGACAATCACCATCCCCCAAGCCGTTGGCTGGATCGCATGCGCTCCATGACTGCCACTACTATCAAACCAAGACCATGAAGATATCCGAGATGAGATCGATATAGAAGGCGAATCCCCGTGTTTTAATGTCTCTCCGGGGTTGTCCTCTGCTTCATTTTGCGTCACGGCTTCGTCTTCTTTGTGTTGCTCTGTTGCTCCATCCCCGGTGCCATCATTGGTTTTCTTAGGTAACGGTGGGAGACCGGATTTTTTACACGCGGTGGTGTTTTCCGGTGAACTAGTAGTAGTTGAGGGTTTTTTGGTGTTTTTTTTCGTTTGGGTTTGCGTGGGAGGTAATTCTCCTTTGACTACACCGTGCCATGGGATTGCTACGGAAACGTCTTCGCATGGGAAGGTTTCGTAAGAAGTACACATTGGAACGGTTTTTCTACCGGTAATTCCTAGCCGTGGCTCCTCGTGTTTCCACACGTAAACATGTGAGTCTTCGCTTGCGCATACAATGTGTTTTGCGTCTAGTGTGTAGGATGCTGTCATTTGGCTGCCTGTGTTTTTGAAGCCTGTGCTTTGACAGAGTCAATAGGAGATGATAAATATTAACTTTGTGGATTTGGACGAAGAAAAGAAATGAATGAATTGTTTAGATTACATACCTCTGTATTTTTGAATAAGTTCAGTACCGTCAAGAATCCGAATGCGTGAATCAGCAGAAGTTACAAGCACTTCTGATGGATTAATCGGCGAAAACTGTTGATGCAAACTCAATGTTAAGCAAGAATCCTCTCCGGAGAAGAAAAACAACAATAATATTTCAAAGATAAGAGTGGAACCTGGAAAGCAGTGATCTTTTTAGCTTGAGCTTTCTTTTTGTTTTGCAGATCAATCAGGTTTGTTTGATCCAACTTGCAATCTGATCAATCAGTATAGAAAGTTTATTAAGATACTTATAAGGTATATTTAATGGAAATAGAATTAAGTCTTTAGCTAATACCCTCTGCACTGTAAAGCCGACAATTCCCTTTAATTGAACCAACAAATGCAGCCTACAAAATAGCAATAGAGATATCAATGCGAGCTCGTTAAGTTCAAGTATATGCCTGACCAGTGACAATTCAAGAGTGTTATGTACCTGACCATCGGGAGAATAACAAACGGCGGTAACCATTTCATTTAGATCATTCCACTCCACTACTTGACGGTTTGATATGTTCCATATACGGATCTTGGCATCAAGTGAGCCAGTTATGAAGTAATCTTCATCCAATGGATTGAATTGTACACAAGTAACTGAAAACCAGAAAGGAAGATAAGAAATCTCCAAAAAACATATGAAAGGTAAAGATTATGAGTATTGAAGAGTGTTCTGTTTCTTACCATAGTCATTGTGGGCAAACAATTTTAGGCAGCTTTGAGTTTCGATGTCCCATAACCGCACAGTTTTGTCCATGGATGATGAAAGCACTAGCTGTATATTGGGCAAGCAATGGTCAATCCATATGGCTGCTTGCATCAGTGTTTGGTAAGAACAGAACATAAACGAACCTGTGACCGAGACCAGGATAGGTCTAGAACCTCATCCAGGTGACCAGTGAACGTGCAAATAGGTTTATCTGATAATGAGAACACAGTTTCAGGCGCATGAACGTAATCTGGGATCTGGTTTGCTTTTCTACTCGATGAACCTTTCCCTTTTTTCTTCTTATCCGGTGCCACTTCTGCAGCATCACCTGTCGTGGAAGCAGACATTGAAGGATGAATCGGTGTCAAGCTCCCTTCATTCATTGACATGATTTCACACTCTTGAACCTCCCACACATGTATTGCAAGATCCTGCCCTGCACTTGCTAATAAATGTGTGTCTGGACTAAACTTCATAGTCCAAATAGCTCCTTGATGAGCTTGAATCTCTTGGCACAAATGCAAAGCGCTTAGATCTTTATGAGTTTTCCCTGAATGTCTCACCTTCACCCATTGATTCGTTTGGTCATTGTTCTTCTCCTGCTTTTGGTCCGCTACTCTCGGACTACTTGTACCACTACCATTTGGATCCTTTTCTTTCTCTGAGACCTTTGAGCTCATAGAATGAGCAACGTCCTTTATGTTCTTCAACAAAGCAGCCCCTCTCTTCTTACTTACTCTCAAGCTCTTGGACACATAGGAATTGAATTTCCTGATGGAATTTGCGTTTTCTCGTCGCATAAGGTCTTTTACAACGGATGAATATCCAACGCTTTTCTCGAATTCGTCCATTGTCAGTTGCTTACCGGTTTGCAGATCGCTGAGCCGATTCCACGTCCCGTTCTCGCCGTACTCCTTCACGATGAACTCTTTTCCGGTGTCGAGATTCTTTATCAGGAAAAAGGCACTGAACTGAGTGTTGGACACTACCGAAGAGAGCAGCACGCCACTGCGTTGCCCTCGAGACTGGCCGTTTGCTGCGTCCGGCGGAGAGGCTTGCGTTTGGGTGTAGTACGGACAAACTCTCGCACACGGAGCTCCAATCGCCGACGCGGTTCTAGTAAGCCGCGATTTCGGCGTTTTCCCCAACATTTCCTCTTTCCTCTTTTTCTCGGCAGAAGACGCTTCGATTTCGGAATCAGATCTCGACCGTACGAGCAAAACCGACACCGGTGGAGATTGATGATGAACCCGTTGTTTCGCCGGAGAATTCTGATCACGCTCCTCTACCTTCGCTTCCGTAGATGAACCCGTCGCTTCCGTAACGCTTCCATCCACAACGCGAGCACCTCCGCACTCTACCGCCGTGGGTTTGCGCACGCGCTGGATCGAGATAGCTCCGAGCATACTCTTCTTAGACTCGAGCCCCATTCCGTTAAGAAGACGACGTCGGCGCTCCGTGATAGATCCCGGCGCCGACATCCAGATATCATAATCCGGCGATAAATCCGGCGCAGGGGCAGCGCGAGAGGCCGAAGATACGTTGGAGGAAAACGAGATCCGGCAATCATCGAACTCACCTTCTTCGTCCGAAGATGATGCTAAATCCATAGGCACGACGGAAGAGATCCGATTAGAGCTCTCGAAAAAATGATCGTCGTCGTCTTCAACCTCGCCTAACCCCGCCCAATTCATCGCCATCGTCTTCTTCCGTTCCAATTTCCCGTTTGCGCCGCCTCGATTCGCCATATCTGTACATAGGTTTCAAAAATCTCCAGATTCTCTTCCGTTTTCCTCAATAAAATTCAAATTTTCTCGCGAGGTTTCTTTTTTGTTTATTCTTCTCGTTGTTTGTGTGATTTGTTTTGGAGGGAGAGGAGTGGAAAAGAGAGAATCAAGGGATCTCCTGCCATTATAAATTGCGAATCCGTACGAATCACGTACTAACGTTTGACTTCTGATGATCCGACGATCTACAACTCGCCACGTATATTATATATATATGCAGATTCGAGAAGTAGCCATTAGTAAAGCCCATTAACATATACGTTTGTCCCCAGCGGCCCATTTGTAAACATTCTACAGTTAGATTATGGAACAAAACGTCTTTTTTTGGTGAATAAAATTAACATTCTTAAAAACAAAAAAAGCTTGGTTTAGTTTATGTTAATACATTACTATTACGGTTAGATATGTTACAAAGCATTTTAATATTTACATACATTGAAAGTGGAAGAATATATGTACCTAGCTAATGTAATGAATTTATGGAGTTTAACGATATTCTTCTTGGTTGATGTGCATTTTAAGTAACACGGAATACATCTCATAGATAAATGTATAAAGTAAGTATTGATCCATCGATCAGAGCAAGGTGTACCCAAAGAAGGAAGCATGATCCATTACGAAGGATGTTTGCTTCCACTTGATCCATTAATAAGGATGTTTGCTTTCATCAATATCGTCGGATTCATGTTTTTTCTTATTCGAATTTTAATTTCCATAAAAAGTATAGAGACCAACATATACGGTAGCACATTACAAAATTTTGTTAGATTTTATGTGTTTTTAGTTACTATGCTAATCACGAACAACAACAAAAATACTAGCATAGTAGTATTTTCTGATTTTCTATGTCCTCAGTATATATGAGTGATATCAAAATCAGAAAAGAGATCATTAAAGTTGAAAAAAAATACTGTTGAAAACAAGTATAATGAGAGAGATTTGACTTTGTTCAGTTGTATAAATCAAAAATTAAAGGATTCGTAATTTGGTCATAGGTTTATTGTTATCAGCTGCCACATATACTAGTATTACTTAATTATACAGAAAATGAAAAACGGAAAAAAGAAGGAAAAAATTCAAAAGGATCAATTACCACCACCACAAACAGTCATAAATTAGACAAATGACCAATAATCATGATCGTCTTCTTATTGTTTCCGTGACTTCTTGATCCTACGGTCCAAATCCTCGAAGAACATCTCGATCTCACGGCTCAGGTCAATTGGTATACGGTTAACAATATTAACCGGCGTCGATTTCCGCTTCGTTCCAGTAGACCGGTTTGGTTCCGGTTTTCTCGGCGCAGGTGGGCATAACGTATACTTCGCCGCCGGAATCCTATGATCGGACGATGTTGGAGTCTTGCACCCATCGTCTTCGTTATCCGTTGGATCTTCGTGATCGTGGAGGTCTAATTCGGGTCGGGTCGGCAATCGGATCTTCTCTACGTCCTCTTCTTGGATCTCCTTGACGCAGCAGACGATCTCTGCCATTAGGCAAATTTTCGAGAGAGAGAGAGAAAGGAGAAAAAGAGAGATTAAGGAGAGAGAAAGAAAGAAGGAGAGATTACTTGCGTTGGATCCGAAACTTGAAAGCCACCATTTCAACTAACTAGTGATCTGTCTCCCAAGTGGCGGGATACAAAAAAACTTTAGTTTATTTGATTTTTTTAATTTTATTATATGCTCATTATTTTGTACATATATACACACGTATATACGTTTTGCTATCGCTATGTAAATTTTGTACTATGCTAGAAAATGAAATGTCTAATGACAATCAATTCTTGATCTAGACAAATAGAGAAATGACCATTTAACCACCACAATTTAATTCGTAGACTCTAATGTAACATCATTAACCAAATATATTAGGCTTACCTGCCATTAACAAACAAACAAAAAAAAACCGATAATCAATATGTATATATATTCATATATCAAAACAACCATATATATTTGAGTTATGTGTCGCATCAAAATTTTGTTCTAGCTTCAGTGCAAAATCCTAAGTAACATTCGAATTTTCATTTCTTTGGATGAAATGTCCTAATTAGAAGGAAACATTGTATAGTTTCGTTATTATGTGTGAGAAACCGAATTCGACGTTTTGTTGCTATCCAAGGAGAATACCACGTTTTAGCATATTTTGAACTCTTGGTTTCGTATGTTGATGGCTTATCAAAGCTCTAGTAGAAATACTCGCATAGAAATACTTAGCTGTTTGTTTGATACCATTCAAAATTTTAAAATCAATATTGCTTAGTTGAAATTTGAAAAGATAAATTAAACTACTTTTACTTTAAGTCTTTAATCAATGTAAATGAAGTATATAACGAAATGTGGGTTTCTCCGTGATCTGCTTAACTAGTCGTGTTTTACTTTAAGAAAAATGATATTGATGTTAGAAAACATCCTTCTTTTTGTACTTTGACTTCTGCAGCATTTGGATTATTGTATTTGTTATACAAAAAAAAATAATTAAATGGAAATGAACATATCGAAAGAACATAAAAGACTAAAAGCTAAAAAAAAATGTCTCCACAAACTTTGATGCAAATCAGACGCACGTGCCTTTGTTTTGCATGGGGACCTCGCGATACATTTTTGAAACTTCTATGCTTTAGGTTTTATGATCTCTGTCTTTTTTAATATAAAAAATAATTTTGCTTTGATTTCTCATGGAACTTCTACGTTTTAACTTCTCATGTTTCTTCATAGTTCATATGGTGATGTATCAACAAAATTTTCCCAGTATCGTGAGAAATTTTGTTTCTCATGTGCTTCCGTTATCGTGCACGCAAGCAATGAAGCACCAACTAATAATTGACTTCTTGCTAATTAATTTGCCGATAATTGTTCCTTGTTCCTTCCATTATCAAATTAAACAAAAATAGTACAGTATATAGTATATATATATATGTATGTATGTACAATTTAGATGAAGTGGTGGGATCTATTATTATGTATTTTGATGTTTCTCTACTGTTGGAGTAATTATGTAATTTTAATAACCGTCGAATTATCTTAAGTTTACCGTTTTAACTTCTTATTTTTCTGCAGTATGACATTTTAACTTGACTTTTTTGTTAACTATATACTGTTGTACGATGGTGAAATAAACTCGAGAATATCAGAATACCAATAAGTGCAAAAATAATCCGGGGCATGACTATGACTAGTTACTAATCATATCCCTTACATTGAGATCTCCAATTTTCAGACGCAACCTTTCATGTTTAAAACCTATAACAATCCACTGTTGTAAAATGACTGTTTTTCTTTCATTTCGTAATATTTTTAGTCCATTATAGTATTGTTGTTGTTGCTGCTTGTTATTGTCATCATCAACATTTGAAAACATTGACTTTCTTTATAAATTGAATATACTAGTGATACTCGTGGGAAATAAAAACTTTGGATTCTTCAGCCGTAAAATGTGAACCACTATAGATTTGGTAAACTTGCTATACCTCTCTAAATTAACGACGACCGGCCAGCACAAACCTCCAAATAAATAAACTACGAAATTTATATATAAAGACGTAAGTTATTACTATATTAGGGATTACGTATGTGGATTAAGTGAATCAATTAAAAGATTAACGAGGATAATGAAAGATTGGGTACTAGACATGTGGTGGCAATGCCTACGCACATGGTTGATCATCATGTCCTCCATCTTTCACGTTTTGTTATATGTTCCCCTTTTAGCTCAATGGGACTTAAAATATTAAGGGGTCAAAAACCTAGCAGAAAAAGTTCTCAATTTGAAGTACAAATTATAATTTCATTATATGTACATATTTTTAAAAATTATCATGTTACTATAAAAGGTCATGAGAGAAACTTGCAAACATGATCTAATAACATGTTTTCCCATTGACCAATTTTAATCATATGAAAATAATAACAAGATCGTACAATTTTATACTGTCTTATATTCTTTTTCGTATTGGTAATTTCTAGAAGTTTGATAGCATGAACACAACTTATAATTAGATTCCTATTAAGTCCATACTGATTCCAAATCAAAATTTCGGAAACAATATTAATGCATATAGGTGTGCCTATTAGTACAAGCAAGTAACTCGACTGTTAACAAATTCATCAAGTAAATACATTTTACGTATATAAAGGTGGTTTCTCGCTTTTTAATAATTTTATATGGCAAAGGAGTTGTGCTTTTTACACATGGAGAGATAAGAAACGAGATACTTTATGACATCACCAGATACTGCTTAGACATATTTGAATCAAATCCCACATGCAAATTTTGGGACCATTTATTTTTCCTGGTTTTACCCACTCTATCTAATGATCATCATCAGTAACAACTAACAACTGGTATAATTCACCCCCTTTCGTATTTTAATAGATTAATTGGGTAATTGTTTTGCAAGCAGTATAAAATAGGTAACTAAAAATAACCCCTCTATATAATCAATTCAAGTAAGATAATGTGGAATTTACCCGGCCCATGCATGCAACAACGTTCTTGTAGTCTCCAAGGTTCCGCATTATTATTAGAAGCTCTTATTTGGACTCTACCTCAAAACTCAAAAGTACTAATGTAAATTAAAGTCAAGACATATACTGATATACTGTAGTAGAAAAATAGTTAAAGATTGGGATCTGGGTCCAGAGACTCTAAACAAATGCTTTCAGTCTTAAAAACTTTATTTGTGATTCCCACATCTTTTGATAAAAAATCGCTTTGCAGTGTATATTCTTAAGGACACGAGACAGCTTTGTTGTCCATCTGTGTAGGACATGCTTAGTCTTCTTCCTCTAGTAATAATTATTGATAAGGGCCATCCATTTTTTTTATTGAGCTTTAACTAATTAATATATAACGGAAATTACATTATTTACATGAATGATGTAATTTCGCATCGTAAGTCGCAAATGCATTTGTTTTGTTTTGTGATATGGATTTAAGGATTTGCTAGCTGCAAGGAGTTTCAGTTCGATACGGTTAAAATTCGAAAACAAAACAAATTTTGAGTCATGAGACTCATGACAGTAGCTCTGCTTTACACCCAAAAAGAAAGAAAGAAATATATCAGATGTGCTTGTGAAAAATTATAAAGTCATATTTGATTTACTTTACGTGACGACTGACCGCAGACGAGGCAAATTGACAAAATAATCGAATGCCAATAAATACCCTTTATGTAAGAAAAGAAAAAAATCGTACACATCTCTCTTTTGTTTATCACTGGAAAATTTTGGGTCTAATAATTTTGTATGAAAACATTAAGGTCAAATTGTAATATCTTACTCTCTAAGGTGTGATAAATATAAATATATATATCTTCATATTCGACATTACTTTTTAAATATACTAGGTTTTTGACCCGCGCACGCGCGGGTCTGTTCTAATGATTTTTTAAATTGTTATATTTAAATTTATTTTCTTCCAAAGCTTCACAATTTTTTATTTTTTGCTTTTTTTTATAAACTTATCTTTGTAATATACTTTTTAATTATTTTTTTACTTTACCAATTTAATTATTTTATAATTAATCATAATAAGTAAGGTACTTTTTAAAAACGTATTTTCTGTAAAAAACATACAATAGCCCTATCCTCACATTTCTTAATATTTATATGTTTTGTCAATTGCTTCATAAAATTCGACATAAGAATAGATCCCAAACTTTTCTTTTTCAATATTATGACAACATGATCAGCCTGAACCAACATTGTTTTTAAGTGAACCGTATTAGAAACTTGTGAAAAAAAAAACCTTATAATTTGGCTTGTCGTCTTTGTTCTAAATTGGTAGCTTCTTTTTCTTTTTATTTATTCTTATTCGTTTTTTTGGTCATCTTCACTCATCTTCTTTGCTCTTCTTCGTCTTCGCTCGTCTTGCTTCCTCTTTTGGTTTCTTCTCCTCCTTTCTTCTTTGATTAATTCTTAATTTTCAATTTCATCTTCGTGGTTTCTTATTCGGTGTTTCCGTCTTCAACTTTGTTATTCTTTGGGTCTTTTTTTTTCTTTCTACTTTGGTATCTTCGTCTTCGATAATTTTTAATTTTATCTTCTTAATGTTCTTCTTTCATATCCTCTTCATATGTCATTTTTCAGTCTGAGTATATGATTCAGCCATTTTCTTCAACAAACTTGTGGCAAATGAGAACTCTTCACTGTAAATCCTTCAAGGTGCAACAAAGATGATTACTTTGTCTCCAATAGTTTTATTGTCTACTCCTTTCCACCCTTGGATTTTTTGGCATCCGTAGAAGGCTGGTACTCTCTTCCTATTTGAATATTGTGAGTTACAGTAAAATAAAATCTTCCTTAAGGCTGTGAAAGATGTCCATGAATGAATGCCCGAAGTTCAGCTAAGAAAGCAGCCTCTTTTTATCCTCTGTTTGGCATGCATTAGAATATGGAACACAAAATATTGTTTTTGTAATGCAACTTGGAATATTTTCTTAGAAAAATGTGGTATGATATGGATTATCAAATCTCCCTTGAACTCTCATCTGCTCCGTAGAAGTGCAAGTATACTAATTACTTCGTTTTTTCTTCCTCTTCACTTATATTCACTCATCCACACTCATCATCTACTTTGATCTTCTTCGTATTTGCTCGTCTTGCTTCTTCTTTAGACAAATGTGGTATGAGATGGATTATCAAATCTTCTCCGTAGAAGTGTAAGTATACTAATTACTTCGTTTTTTCTTCATCTTCACTTATATTCACTCATCTACACTCATCATCTACTTTGATCTTCTTCGTATTTGCTCGTCTTGCTTCTTCTTTTTCGTTCTTGTTTGGTTTATTCTCCTCTGTTCTTATTTGATTCCTTATATATCAATTTCATCTACGTGGTTTCAGATTCGGTGTTTCCATCTTCTACTTTATTCTTCTTTGGTTTTTTTTTTGTCTTTCTATTTTGGTATCTTCGTCTTCGATGTTCTTCATTTTTATCTTCTTATTGTTCTTATTCCATATCTTCTTCATATGGTATTTTATAATATGAATTTGTGATTCAGTCTTTTTTTCAACGAAGTTGCGGCAAGCGAACACCTTTCATTGAAACTTCTTCAAGGTGCAAAAAAGATGACTACTCTGTCTCCAATAGTTTTATTATCTACTCCTCTCTACCTTTGGATTTTTTTGCATTTGTAGAAGGCCCATAAACTTTTCCTATTTGAATATTGTGATTTACATAAAGATAAAATCCTCTTTAAAGTTGTGAATAATGCCCAATTGCCCATGAATGAGTGATGCCCGAAGTTCAGCTAAGAAAGCAGACTCTCTTTACCCTCTCTATTTGGCATGCATAATAATCTGAAATGGAAAATCTTGTTGTGATAATGCAACTTGGAATGTTTCCTTGGACAAATGTAGTATGAGATGGATTATCAAATCTCCCAAGAACTCTCCTTTGCAATGCAAGTCTAGTCTTTACTTGTTTGACCAATATTGTTGAAATTCTTGTGATAAATAAAGTGTAATTTAGTGGGCTATATGCATATTTTTCTTTTCCCAATGTAAGTTGGATCTCGCAAAACTTGATCTCTCTTATCATCTCAAAGGAACTACACATGAATTTAAATGTCTTCTTCATGACATTAGCCGTCTTTATTATTATTATTTTTTATCTTTTTTTATTATTTCATATCTAGATTATGTAATGTTAATATCCACTCACTTGCAAAGTTGGCTATATTTACTTTGAACAAATCTTTCAGTTATTACTTATTAGGGTGTAACTTTCTCTTTTTGTTTTTTTTTTTTTAAGTTAGCTAAAAAAGAAAACTCACCATATAATTTTTCATGATTAATATAGTAGTTCCCTTAAAATATTTTTGTATAAATCTTTCAAATATAGTTACTATTTTAACAAAAATTGAAGCACTTTATTTAATTATTTTGGAATTTTGAAGTTTAATAATTTAAAATCGGTTATATATTAGAGTTACTAAAAAATTAATATTACAAATTTACAAAATCGTTTATATATTAGTTTCTTTTTATTGGTTTAGAAAATATAATTTCTTTATTTAATAAATTATTTAATACGAAAATAAATAATTCCCTTAAATTCGGAAATTATCTGAAAATATAAAAAGGAAATCAATTAATTTTACAAAGACTGTAATTAAATTTATATGATGATGTGGAATGAAACTATTGATTGTTTAAAATTGGAAAAATTACTTAATTTTGGAGATGTTAATGTGGACCAATTAAATCGCGTCTTTAAATCTTATGTGGACACTTTTAGAGGCTTATAGCCTCAACTTTTATATTCTCTTAAAATATTTTTGTATAAATCTTTCAAATATATTACTAAATCGAATTTAAGTTTTAACAAAAATCGAAGCACTTTGTTTAATTATTTTGGAACTGTGAGGTTTCTTAATTTAAAATCAGTTATATATTAGATTATTAAAAAAAAATATTACAAATTTAAAAATTGTTTATATATTAGTTTCTTTTCATTGGTATTTGAAAATATAATTTCCTTATTTAATAAATTAGTTAATACGAAAATAAATAATGCCCTTAAATTAGGAAATTTTCTGAAAATATAAAAAGGAAATCAATTAATTTTACAAATACTATAATTAAATTTATATGATGATGTGGAATGAAACTATTGGTTGTATAAAATTGAAAATTACTTAATTTTGGAGATGCTTATGTGGACCAATAAAATCGCGTCTTTTAATCCTATGTGGACGCTCTCAGAGGCTTATAGCCTCAACTTTTATATAATATAGATTCACATACAGGCTTTCATGTTACAACTTATTTGGGCCTTAGACATAAATCGATAAAGCCCAATTTAGTTCTCGAACCGTTGATTTCGGTTTGACTCTTCTTCTCTCTCGTCAATCGAAATCTCACCATCTTCAGCTCTCACTCAATTTTCCGGGAAAATTCGATTTCATTATGTGATCCTTCTGGCACGAAAACCCATGATTGATCCGAGAGCGTAATCGCTCAGATCGTCTGTTTTGGATCTGATTGATCTTTTCCCTTTTGGGGATCGGAAGGAAAAGAAGATGGGGAAACTAGCCGTTGCAGCTATCACGAGCTTGTGGGTGATTCCCATGTCGATTATCGTCAATCACATTGTCCCCGAACCCTACATGGTAAAAAATTCCCCTTTGAGAACTACGATTCTTAATATAATCTCCAAAGCATACTTCATCTCTCCGATTGTATTGATTACTGCATTTGTGATTCTGCAGGACGAGATATTCCATGTGCCTCAAGCTCAGCAATACTGCAATGGGAATTTAAGGAGCTGGGATCCAATGATCACTACTCCACCTGGCTTGTAATGCTCTCTTAACAATGTAGAGATTGATTGAGAGTTTTTGAATCTCTTGAACTGGAAATCTAAAATGTTTTGGCATCTGTGATTTTGCAGGTACTATCTTTCACTTGCACATGTTGCTTCATTGTTTCCAGGAATGTTGTTGATGAATAATACTACTCAGTCCTTTTCAGAAGCTTGTTCTACGTCTGTCCTGCGATCTACGAACGCCGTTTTTGCAGTGTTGTGTGGGGTTTTGGTGTATGAGATAATCAGATTCTTGGGGCCAAATCTCAGTGATAGAAAAGCAACTTTGATGGCGTTAGTCATGTCGCTTTACCCTCTCCATTGGTTCTTCACTTTCCTCTACTATACAGATGTTGCGTCTCTAACCGCATTTCTTGCCATGTACCTCGCTTGTTTGAAAAGAAGATATATGCTCAGTGCATTGGTAAGTAAATTGAAAGCAAATTTAGTTGCTTGTATTGTTGCAGCTACAATTATGTTGGTAAATATATCTCTGTTTTTGTCCTTGCAGTTTGGTATGTTAGCAATTTTTATCCGGCAAACAAATGTAGTCTGGATGCTTTTCGTTGCTTGCTCAGGTGTTATAGACTTCACTCTTGACTCGCCTAGGCAAAAAGAAAAACAAAATGTGAATCAAGATTTGCATCAGAACGTTGATAGAAAAGGAGCAACTTTGAGATCAAATCTTAGAAAAAGGAAATCTGATAGCAGCTCGGATACGAGAAACCGTTTTAACCATGGTGAAATGATTTCTTCAACAGAGGATGCTTCAGGTAGGCTGCTTTACATGTTTTGTTTATAGTTTTGGCAAAATTATTGATTTTCTCAAGCATAAGCATAAATGTTCCTCATCTCTTACAATATCAAAGGCTAAAAATGCAGGCTTGGTCTACGATATATATGCTTTAATCTCAACATCTTGGAAGATGAAGTGGAGCCTTTTGTTCAAGTTTAGCCCTTTTGTCTTCGCTGGGGCTGCATTTGGTGTTTTTATCCTCTGGAATGGGGGCATAGTCCTCGGTATGTCGATTACTCTTCAATCAGGAATTAAAATTTAGGCGCCTATTACTTTTTTTACTAACCCATCAACTCAAATTCACAGGTGCAAAAGAGGCTCATGTAGTTTCACCGCATTTTGCGCAGATAATGTATTTTAGCCTCGTCTCTGCTCTTTTCACTGCTCCTCTACACTTCTCAGTAGATCATATGAGAAGTCTGTTCCAAAAGCTCCATAGAAATTGGCCCTTAAGCCTTCTACTAGTTCTTGTGGCTCTGATTGCCGGATTCGCCTCTGTACACTTTTTCAGGTTCAGTTTCTGAATACTTCTCAGAACATCTTAAGCTCTTCTACTTCAAACTCTCACTCTCTTTGTTGAATTTCTTGTAGCTTGGCTCATCCTTATCTTCTGGCCGATAATCGCCATTATCCTTTCTATCTATGGAGGAAGGTTATCAACGCTCATTGGTTGATGAAATACATGTTAGTCCCGGTTTACGTCTATTCCTGGTTCTCAATCCTAACTCTATTAGGTATGTTTATACCATTTTGTGTAGTATATAATTCTTTAATTTCCCCTGTTTTTTTTGGCATTGTGAACTTGACTTGTTCTTTCTCAATCTGATAGCGAAAACTCGAAGGAAGATATGGGTGTTGGTCTATTTCTTAGCTACATGCGGTGTTCTTGTTCCTACGCCATTGATCGAGTTCAGATATTACACCATTCCGTTTTATATCTTCATGCTTCACTCAAGTGTCAGAAGCAGCGGTTGCGCCACTTGGCTTCTCATTGGAACGATATTCGTCTGTATTAATGTGTTTACAATGGCGATGTTCTTGTTTAAACCGTTCAAGTGGAGCCATGAGGATGGTGTCCAAAGATTTATTTGGTAGAGACGAGGTTTATGCTCTTTAGGTGTTATAGTACTGTTAGGTTCCTTTAGAAGCTGGTGAGTTCATGATATTCTCTGTTGCTATAGAAACAAACAAAAATTAGATTATTTTTGAAATGTTGTGTTACTTTCTCATAATGAGTTTAGGCTTTGCATTAAAAAAGATTTGATCATTCACTCAAATAAGAACATGTTGTATTTATGAGTTTTATTGGGAATCGGTTCGAGCGTGGTCCTACCCTACCCACGTATGTGGAAGTGAAACTGTGAATGAATGTTAAAGTCTTCGCATTATCAACTATTTATTTCAGAGACGAGAAGACTATGTAATAGTCACATGATAAGGGATGTGAGAATATGTTAGGTGAGTCAATGTGTAAGAGAATTTCCCCAAGTCATGGGAGCAGAACTCTGAGATCCGTCAGAAATAGATACAGCGGAATGTAAGGAACAATTTTTTTTCTTTTCTTTTGATACAGTCGTAATGTTTTAGTAGTTTTACCAAACTTAGAAAAAGCAGCAGCAGGAGAAGAAAATATTATTTTGAAATTAATGTAATTACCCCCGTTCACACTCTATTGCATACTAAATTTTCTAACGATAACTTTCTTTACGAATTTCCCTATACATATTGTGACTGATAAAAAATGTTGAAACTAGTATATTTTTTATCAATATTATTACTTTATGATAGATAACGATAAAATATCTCTATCAAAGTGACAATCATAGTATAAATCTTCAAAAAGTAACATTTTGTACATTTCCCAAACAAGAAGAAACAGCCAATATTGTCGTTTGTGAAAGCAAAAGAAGACTGGATTAGGAATCGGAGGAAAAAAGACTTTTGGTTTCAAATCTGTGAACGTGAGTAAAATGGACAAGTTGATAGAAAATATGTCAAATGAGATTTGTATCTTAACCATTTGACAAAATGTGTCTCGAACGCGTGTTTCGACTTTGTCAGACCTAGAGAAATGACAACCCTTGCAAGTTAGGATTTACAGGCTTTTGAGTTTTGCATAGTACTTTGAATCTTAAAATAAAGTTTTTCAGGAATATACAAACAACATATCAGATATTTGAAATATTTCTGAAAAGGACATTGGGATAGTCTTGACATTGTGATCTTCTAGATTCCAACGTACTAAAAACTAATTATTTCCACAAACGTAACGTACATATTGAATCATCTTTGTAAATGGATTGCGGATTCAGTCATCTGTTTGTATAATTGCCAAGTCTTGTTGCTCTTGATATTAAGTTATCAATTACAATACAGAAAATGGTTTGAACAAGTATATGGTATCGAGTGAACAAAATAAACTTGACCTTGATATAATACAAGGAGCAACCACTATAACCAAGAACAGCCAAAGATATGTATATGCCCCCACTTTGGTGTATTTTTCAATGAACTATTTATGGTAAAAATAAATACATCATATGAAAAAATTATGTGCGAAAAAAAAAAAAAAAATCAATCCGAGTTATTATGGTTAGTTCTTCAAAAGATTCAAATTCATGAAAAACCAATAATATTCACATCGAGGATCTCCATATTCTTCCTTCAAGTGAGATCACTATCACAGAGATGTCATCATGATACCTCCGACGATCTCCTTGAGGTATCTCCAACAGCTCATGAAAGTCCATACCTATGAAATGAAACAATTTAAAATCAGACGTCAACGATATTCATAAGAATTATTTGGTTTATTAATTTTTAATACCATTCTTACCAAATTTGTTGGCAGCACGTAGGAGCACTTCTTGGATTAAATGCTGAGCTGGATCGCCTTCAGGAAAAGTAGAGATGAAAGATTCAACCTCGAAAATGGCTTCTTGGTTAGAGAAATATTCATACAATCCATCCGAAGAGAGGATTAGGAATTTGTCACGTGCCGTTAGCTTGTGATGGCATAGTGATGGAGAGCATGTGATGTATGGTGATGTCCCGATGTAATCGATCCTGAACATCTCTAAGAGTGCATCGTTCCATTTAGGCTGAGGAATTCACAAAAGAAAGAAAATCCAAGATTAGTCTAAATTCATATTACAAAACTTAATTAAAAAGAAAGTCGTTTTAATGATTTAATCTTATTACCTGTTTGAGAAATCCAGCTCCAAATGCACGAGTGACCTTAAGATAACCTTTTACTCTATCATTCTCTATTGCACAATCATCTTCAGGATGTTCCTTTTTGATTCTTCGCACTTCCTGTCCTCGTTAAAAAAAATCCATCAATTTCTCAGTCCAAAACAATTAACAACAACAAGCTAAACTCTTGATTTTACTTTATTTTTTACCTCTTCGATTCTTGTGCTATGTTCCATGTTAAGCTGTAGAGGAACCAAACTATTACGCATTGATCCATTCATAAACATTTCTTTATCTTCTAACGAACTATCTTCTCTGATTCTCTCCAACTCCTTTTGCCTCTTTCTCCCGGCAGCGATCTTAGGTTTCCGGGCTAAAACCGCTCGACTATCTCCAACATTCATCACGTAAACATCTTCTCCTTTCATCAACGTCACAAGAACGCAAGATCCCATCAATGCTAATTCCGGATTCTCCTTAACCATCAGATCAGCTAGCTCTAGATACGCATCTTCCGTTTTCCTCAAAGCCTGTAAAAGAGCTTTAAGAACATCTCTATGATTTGTTGTTGTCGAATTTGATCCTCTGTGATCGCAATGACTATCACATTTGGTCTTGTTTATCGAACTATTACTCTCCCATTCACATCTCCATTTCACACTCTTCGCTTGGTTTCTTGCGACGGAAGCAACCGCGTCTTCACTGTTTCTCGTCACTGGACAATTCTCTTTGCCCGAATCTGAATTTTCGAGCTTTTCTTCATTAGAGAGTAATCCATTAAGTTCTTGTTGCACGGCGATGTATAGATTGTTGAGGAGATAATCCGGCGCATCTGGACCGCTGAATCCGTCGTAGATTCCGACAAAGACCCATCCGTTCTCTTCAGAGACGACCACGTGTACGCGATCTTCCCCTGCTTTCCCCTGGGCCCATTGAACATCCGAAACAGAGTCGATGCTCTGTTCTTCGTCTTCTCCTTTGGATTCTAGTTCGTTAGAGTTAGGGTTTCCATCGCTTTTTGAGGAAGTGATCTCAAGTTGTTGATGAGGATGATCGGAATCTGATGAATCAGAACCGTTGATAGGCTCGATCACGCTTTTCTTCGAGCGAGGTTTGTTGTTGGAGATTAGATTCGTGAACAGAGTTTTAAATGTGAGAAAATTCTTCTTCGATTTGGGTTTTTTCAGTGATGATATGCTTTTGATCGTCTTCTTCGGTTTCTCTTCGTCGATCTTCTTCGTCGTCGTATCAATAGGACCCGAATACAACCCGCTTTCTATCGGACCCGATAAGAATCGCCGCTCAAACGGAGCTGACCCGTGATCCGGCTCGTTAACAATCGGACCCGATTGCCACGTGGCGCCACGCGGCACAGGTTTGAGAGGGAGTGAGGCGAAATTACCGGAGCTCTCGAATGCGGAGGAGGAGCTGTACGGACAGTCGTCTTCCGACGGCAGAGCTCCCGAAAGCGCCGTTGACGGATTGGCGCTGACCGATGCGCCGGATATTGAACGGAAAGTTGTGGTGGTTTCTGGGATAGTTTCTGATCGGAGAGGAATCTCCGGCGTAGAAGATGGTAATACTACTCCGGTGAGACTCGGCCGTACGTAGCAGAAGGAATGGCCAAGTCCGTCGTGAACCAGAGATACGTCGTAACGCCGGGAAAATTCTCTGGCGACGGATCCTGTACAGCAACCGGTCAAAGTGGTGACTCCATTTCCCATTTGTCGAAAAGAATTGAGAGATTAGATGAATCTAGCCACTTGAATCGGCGTCGTTCATAAAAAGAGAAGCTGGCTGTAGAAATGAGTTTGGTTAAATTATGTTGGAACCAAATGAAGAAGAAGAAGAAGAGACAGAGTCACATAGCAGATAAAGATAGAGAGAGAGAGAGAGAACAGAGAGTTGACATTGAGAATTTTATTCTTTTGAAATTGGTTTATTCTAATGTTAGTGGAATTAGTAAAACTATACAAAATACTTTTGACGAAAAGCTTTTTACTATTATTTTTATAGTAGTGAGCAAATAAATAATTATTTGATATAAGGTTAATGGGTGTATAGTTTGCTTCGGTCCATAATTATTTCCTGGATTTTGAAAAAAACCGTCTATGGAACAGTTTTACTTTCGGTTCAATTGATTTTTTTTTTTTAAAAAGAGAGAATATATTCAGTTTGGTTCTGATCGTTGACAACCAATAGATCAGTTCATATCCTGTCAACATTCTGAATTAGGGATGCTCTATACGATTTGGTTTAACCAAAAGGTCCAAAACCAACGATCAATTATTCAAAACTCAAATTACATTGTTGTTTGTGATAACTAATAAGAGTTTTTTCAATAAAATTGATGTTTACTTTTTAGACGAAGGAGTTGACTTTTGATGAAGAGATAGAGCCATAGAGGAGAGTCATTAAAGTAAGTAATTGGCAAAAAGTCAAATGACTTAATTATGTGCTGAAGCAAATAATAAACCAACGAATAATTAATGGACTTGAACAAGAAAATAGTGATTACACTACATGCCCATTTTTAATCGTTACGTTGTTCGGAAATGGTAAAAAAAAGAAAGAAAAAAGACTTTGAAACAACTAAAAACATCTGAGCCTTTATTATATAAGGTTTTAAAACATGTAAATCATACATGTCACTCACATATGAGTTTCTCTTCTTTAGTAAACTAAACAATTCTCACTGGCAATATCATATTCATAGGCCTCACAAAAGGCCCAGAAAACTCTAATGGGTTATTTTGAAGAATGGGCCATATATTTATAATTTGGTTATTTCATTTTTCTTTTAAAAACTATGTAAAAATAAATAAATCCAAAATTCGCGAAACGGCAATTTTCTGCAAAGTTCATGTTACGCACGCTCCATCTCTCTCTTCCTCTTTCTCTCTCCCGCCATGGCTATGGTAACCGAGAAGATGCTGCTCCTCATCAATCCAGAAACATTTCACCTGCATTTGGTAACCACATTAACTCTCTTTCCTCGTTTACTTCGCCGAGGTGATTAATCGTAGTTTGGTGATTCTTCGAAACGCATTGGATTTGTTTTTTTTTTTCGTTGTTGTTTTGGATAGTGTTGCGTGAATGACAAAATCTGATCGGATTTTCGTTTTGGTTTTGTTATTTAGAAGAGATTAATTCCATTTCTCCTCTGATTTTTGGGCGTTTGTGATTACATTTGAGTTTTCTGTAAATTGCCAAAATTCGCGATTCGCGTTTCGGGTTTGGTATTCCCATTGATGACCTTCAATGGTATAACATGCGTTTTGATACGGTTTTAGGATCTCATATGTTTTACTACGCAATGGATTCAGATCAAACATGTTTTCGAATTTGAATTTTGGGTATATGACACATTAATCTGTCCATCGCTCGTCAACATTCACAATTCTGGGTAATGTAAGCTAGAAACGTTATTCAGAGGTCAAAACAAACATTTGACCATAAAAAAACGCTTTTACTTTTGGAAAATTGTGTTCTGTTTTACCTCACAATCTCTCTTTCTCACTTGTTTTCTTTTTCTTCTTCCTTACCACTGATTTTTGCAGGAGATTGATGTGTTTGTTATATTGTTGATGTTTCGAAATTGCTTTCAGGTTTGATAAATTTGTAGCTGGAGTGTGTTATTTCACAGCTCAGAAATGGGAAAGAACTTGCGTCACAAAGTGACTTGCTCCCCAATCCAAAACCATCCTGGATTCATGTGGGGACTATTCGACATTCTTAAACACAACCATTGGCGTTATATCAAGAAACGACTTCCTCACAAAAGACCCGTTGTCAGAAGAAATGCTGCCGGTAACAAAACTTGTTTCTCATTTCGCCATCTTTTAGATGTTCTCAGCTCCTATATTCAAAGCATATGGATTCTCATACTGTTTTATATTTGGTTCCATATTTAGGAACACAGAACGAAGTAAACAACACAATACCATCACCCGGTCGCACTCCCCCTTCTAAGAGCAATGTGGAAGACAAAACCAATGTAGTAAGTTGATGCAAGCTGATGCATTTTCAGTATGAAAGTTACTGTAAATCATAAAGCCAGAATCTTTTCATTGCTTCAGGACTCTGGACAAAGACCAAAGAAGCCTAGTTCTGCAGTGAAGTCCAAAGAGTCTAACTCAGGGGAGAAAACAAAAAAGCAGCATAATTCAGAAGAGAGGTCGAGGAGAACACATTCAGAAATCAAAAGATCAGTGAAAGCTTTAATTAAGACACTTGTAATAGAAGACAAATCTAAGAGGAAAGGTCGTCATCACCGAAGCTCTACTTATCCTGTACAGAACCCAAAAGAGAAAGAGTTACTGAATGAGGTCGAATCTTCAGACAAGAACTCCTCAAACAGCGACGACCGTAACCGAGTCTTTAGCAAGACAGTTGGCATTTCACCGGCGATCGGTTCCTTGAACCCACTTTATCTCATGTCCGAAGAATCAAGCAACAGTGACTGCGAAGAGTTTAGGGTAGAGAACAACACAGTTGATGATACTGATGAAAACAAATCAGATTTTGATGAAAGCGATACCAAGAAGAAGGAGAAGAAGAAGGACGAGGAGGAAGCTTGGTTTGATCCAAAGCTGAGACATAACAAGGACTTCTCAGAGAATGAAGATGATACATCGCCTAGACGTTCAAAAGCATGTCTTGATGCTCTCAATCTGATACACATGAACAGAAACTTCTTGTTAAAAGTTTTGCAGGATCCTGGTTCTCCGCTAGCTCGCCATTTCCAGAGCCAACAAGCTTTTAGCTCCAAGACAATGACTAAAGCTGGATCCTTTCCTACTCGTGGCAGCAACAGAGAGGATCATAACAATGGTTTTGACTCTGTGGGAGATATCGATAGAAAACCGACTTCTCCTTCCATAGCTGCAGAGCACAGAGCAAATGGGGTTCAGAAGTTAAATGAATCAATGGCGAAATCGGCTGATGAAGACTCATCTGATTCTGGTTACACGAGGAAGCGAGGGAAGAACCAAGTGGTGATCAAACGTTTCAAGGATCTAAGACAGAAGATAAAGCATGTGATTAACGAGAACAAGAACGAGAAACACCGTATCACGATGGATGCTGTTTTGGACAAGGTGCCTCGAAAGCACGGGTTTTCGAAAGATTTGAGAGACGACATTTTCACTCACTTGAAAGGAAACTCTGCTTCTAAGAACAACAAAGCAGAAGGAGCTAAACTGAAGCAGATAACAAGAACTTCTTCGCTGTGTGGATCTCTTGATAGGTATCTTCAGCTGTATGAGAGTAGCGTCCAGAGAGAATCGAAGAACAGAGATACTTCAGAGAAGTCAAAGATGGAGTTTGAGGAATCGGTTTTGCCTTCTAAGAGAGTTCCTAAGTTCTTGGGAAGGATTCTCTCGTCTCCTGAAATGCAGTCTCCTTATTCTTTCAAGATTGAGGACCTTACAGGCCAATTCACTACTTCAAGTAGATCAATCGAGCAAGTAAAAGATGGTTTGGACGACATTTCAGAGGTCTCAGAAGATCACTCTCAGTCTTCAGAACATGAATTGCCTGAGATTATAGAGACTTCGATGATTGAGACAGAACAAGACAGAGAGATCTCTACGCTTGATGCTGAACCTGAAACAAAATCTTTGAAAGAATCATCAGAAGACAGTCCTACTTTTGATGAAAATGCTTCTGAAACTCACATGCCACGAGGTATCTTCAACCTCAAGTCACATTCCCCATCACATTGTCTCTTGTTTGACGATGACAAACTTTTGTTTTTTGCAGATTTGGAGACACAACACGATCCAGACGCAGAGACTGTTTCAAGAAGTAAACAACTAGAAAGCGTAACAGCAGCAGCCATAGACGAAGTTCTCCAGATAGAAGCACAAGATAAGTTGAAGTTCAACTATGTAAGAGACATTCTCGAGATCTCTGGTTTCAACGCACCTGAATCGCTCTCAATGTGGCAATTAGATTACCAGCCGCTAGATCCATTAGTCTACGAAGAAGTGACAACAACAACAGGATGTATGATCCAAGATCCAGAGTGTTCGAGAAACGAAGAAGAAGGCGGTAACTGCAACCACTTGCTTCTCTTCGATCTAATCAACGAGGTACTAATCGAAATATACGAAAGGTCTTACCATTACTGTCCCAAACCTTTGTCATCCCTATGTAGAATCCATCCAATGCCAGTGGGTTATAGTGTTTTGAAAGAAGTTTGGGTTAGGATAAGCCGTTACTTGCGTTACAAGCCACACGACGAGCATTCGTTTGATCAGATTATGAGTAGGGATTTGTCGAGAGACGATGGATGGATGGATTTGCAGTTTGAGAGTGAATGTGTTGGGATCGAACTTGAGGATTTGATCTTCGAGGATCTTCTAGAGGAGATGCTTGTATTGGATTAAAAAGGAGCATTCTCGGATTATTTCTTCATTTTTTGTTTGGTTTGTTGTATTTTTGCTTGGAGTTTAAGGTACAGAAAGAGAAAACATGGTGCTTGTATGAGGTTTTTGTTTTGTTTTGTTTGTGATGGACTCTTCAGGAGTTGTATGTAAAAGAAATCTAGACGAAACAATGTGTTAACATGATCGAGGATCAAAGTGGAGTATAGTTCTTAAAAGAAAATAATTGATGTGTGAATAATCCTGTTGTATAATTAATTTGTAGTTACAATGTCAAACAAGTAGCCCGTCTAGCTCAGTTGGTAGAGCGCAAGGCTCTTAACCTTGTGGTCGTGGGTTCGAGCCCCACGGTGGGCGAATGTGTTTTTGTTTTTGAATAGCTTTGGGATTTTTTTTTTAGTACAAGATTATGAAGGAAAGAAACAGTTTGTAATTTCTTTTTCTTGATCTCTTTCCTCGCCTTGAGAACAAATACAAAAGCTGAACAAATACATTTTCAGATAATCAGATATAAAACAACTACATCATGTTATGCAAGTATTCAATTTAGTCTTTTGCTACTGTCTCAGAATTGCAGTTCTAGTTTACGGTTTGGAGTTTTCCGGGACCAAAAACCAAAAATAGATTAATCAATTTTGCCAAAATAGTCATCTTCCACGAAAACTACTCAGATTGGAATTGAGGTCAACCTCCTGCATCAAAGTAAACTCCAAAACCAAATTAATCGTTTTTATTTATCACCAGAAAAGAAAACACAATCTTTACATATAAACACTCAAGACTCTTTTAACTTTTTCTATTGTAGAGTAAGACTTATCGACAGTGCATTATTCCCACATGGATGGTTCTCCTAATTTTTCCATTACTTTTTCTAGCGATCGATTTTCAGAAAAGTGTTCAAAAGGAGAGATTCGATTCGAATACCCACTTAGAATGGACAAGGTCGATAATGGGCCCACCTCAAGTTGCCTCATCTTTTTGTGTACTTTCACTTCAACGTGACAAAAAGTCTTTGAAGCCAATCTTTGGAACACTACGTTACTTTCTTTTGCAATTTCTTGTCTTCGAGACCTTTTTTCAAGCCTGATCAACCAAAGTAATAACAATATCTTAAACTAATACCAAAATCTGAAATATCTTAAAAAAATTCAAACGTTACCCAAACAAGACAAAACTATGTAACAGATTTTTGTAGATTTTCTTCCTAACTATTCGATAAAATATTTACAGAACTTTTTGTTTTGATATTTTACTTAAATTTTTTGGTTTGATCCCCCGATTTTATAGCATGAAGTTTGTTTCTGTACTGATGCTTGTATTTTCAACTCCATTCTCAAAATTTAAAATTCGTTACTGGAAAAGGTTACAAAGTTGTAAATAGCAATGACTTTTTGGAACGATTATTTAGGTGATAAGAGTGGACTAAGAAAATGACAGGTGGACGGTTCACACTTTCTCACTTGGCCTATAAATCAGGAGGCTCCTCCCTAATTCAGTTTCATTCACCAATTGTTTTAAGTTTCTCCAAGGCAAATTAAGATCTTCTTCCTGATTCATCTGTGATTTCCTCGAATTTTCTAGAGAAAATGTCTTGCTGTGGTGGAAACTGTGGTTGCGGATCTGGCTGCAAGTGCGGCAACGGTTGCGGAGGGTAAAATCTCGACTCTCACGTCCTTTTTTTGTTTTGTAAAATTTTCTCGGGAAAGTCTTACTTTCCAGAGAAAATCTGCTTCATGCAGCTATTTCTGTGTTTAAACCTTGGAATTGTGACTCTGTTCGTGTTTCAATTTCCCAGAAAAGTATTTTGAACCTGGAGATAGAACTTTTTATCAATCTGTTCACGGCCTCTGTTTCAAAATCTCTGCATTTTGATACGTAATCCCTAAATTCTCGATGATATCGTAACAAAATCTTAAGAAAATATATGTGGTTTTAAATTTCCTTATTTTTGTAAAATGATATCGATTTTTTCGCTTTGTGCAGTTGCAAAATGTACCCAGACTTGGGTTTCTCCGGTGAGACCACCACCACCGAGACTCTTGTCCTCGGCGTTGCTCCGGCGATGAACTCCCAGTACGAGGCTTCCGGCGAGACCTTCGTGGCCGAGAATGATGCCTGCAAATGCGGATCTGACTGCAAGTGCGACCCTTGCACCTGCAAATGAACAACCCCATAAACCCTAAGAGTCTGCAATAACCCTAATGTTATGTTAGGTCTGGTTATGTGTAATAAATGGCTGATGTCGCCGGTGTTTTGCCGGCGACTTGAGTCTTGTCCTTCTTCTTCTTCTTCTGTTGTGTGTTTTTATGGTTTGGTCATAAGATATCTCTGCACGTTATATCTATGTGACTATATAATCAAAAATTATTATGGGGTTTGTATTTGCGTCTCTGATTGAAGTTTCAGTGAGAACTTTAAAGTTTGCTTCATTCTTGCTAAGTACACATTTAAAAATCAAGCCATGTCTTACATAAACAAGAACAGACAACAATTAAAGTACACGGTACACAAGCTCTTGAAGTAAGCTAAATGTTGCTGTTTGCTAGAGACGACAACTAAGGTGTTGTTGAAGCAGAAACTGGCTTCTCAAGAATTCCTTCAGTGGCTCTTTTGAATAAGTTATGTACCTGTCTTGAAGTGAAACCGATCTTCTCTAAGTCCGTAAGCTGTTGAAAGTCCAGAGTATTGGTTAGTAGTTGAAAGCGAGACTAGCTCTCAGGAGCAAAACTTAGGAGAAGAGTGAATTTAGTACCGATTTCAAGGGGCTTGTTTCTCTGAGCTCAACTATGTACTCAGCCATCTTCTGTCCAATTCCCTGTGAAAAACAAAATGAAACAGAGCTATGTGAAGTGAAACCAAAATTTGACTAAGGAAGTGTGGCTGTATGTGCTTTGTTCACAAAGTGGTTGAAGTTACCTTTAACTCCATTAGCTCTTCTCTGTGTGCTCGTAAATAAACAAATGATGAAGTTAGTTCTTGTGTGGACCCTAAGGGTTCCGAAGAATCAAAGGCAAGCAGATAAAACTGGAGACTATTTATTACCTGTCGGCTGTGTTCAAGAAGTGAATGTACTCATTTATGAGAGAGGTCTGTTGAGAAGAAAAACGTTGCAAAAAGGATGAGAGTTCTGGTTTTTGCCAACATAATAACCCATGTTTTGGGAAATGTTCTGGTTCTTACCTTTAAATTAGTGCTCCAAGCATTGAACTTCTGGCAAGTGCCACTCTTTTGTATATTCTCAGGGTTTGCAGAAAGAAATGGTGTTTTGGGGGTCATTGGCTTGAGGATGGAAGAGTAGCCACCTCCTGACTTTGGTTTTGTATTTGTGTCTATTGGAGATAGAGCTTCTCGAAGAGGACTGAGTTCAGTATGTTTCTTCTCTATCTCCAATGGGTTATCTAGATTAAACGCAAAACAAAAAGTAAGGATAAAAACTATATATATGTCCAAAAATCTTATTAACAAGTAGCTCAAGAAAGCAAACCTCTCAAGCTTGCTTCTGATACCAATATACTCTCTTCGCCAGATGTCTCTCTCTCGTCTTCTTTGGTTGGAGAAGCTAAGTGAAGGTTCTGTATTGGTTCCTGGATTATTCAAAGAACACAATCGGTTAAGTAAAGCTTCCCATTCAGTATGAATATTACAGATCAAAACTTGGAAGATAATATACAAGGAGAAATCCAGGTTATATTGATGTTTTTCAATTTTCTCAATGAAACCAGAGTAGCATACCCATAAACCTGAAGCAGCAGGAGCTTCATGAGCTTCATCACCAAATAAGTTCCTCGCAGTCACAAATGCCTCCCTGTGTATGGATATATTGTGAGGGAAGAGGCTTTAGGATGTTAGAACAATCAAGAACCAACCATTCAAAGGGGTACCTATCTCCTGTGCCAGCAATTTTAGCATTTTCTGTTCTGTGACAGCCGAGTTTCTTGACCGACTTTTGAGAAACTGAAGCTTGATTTGTACCAAACAGCGGAGAACGTATTGCCATCATTCTATGCGTGCTCTTCGTCTTGCCTTTTGATTCCAGCCAAGCTTGCAGTTTTGCTTCCATATCTACTTTAACCTTGGGGGTCTCAACCTTGGGATTCAACGAAACATTGTTGGAGATGTGCCTTGACCTTGCAGCCAAGCTAACAGTGCGAAGAGATTCTTGGTACTCTCCAGGATTCTAAAACAACACAAACAAACAAATAGATTTATGGCACTAGACGCATAGTCTATTTAAATCCCACTAAACATCAATAACTCTTCATCTTCTTACCAGGCATGCCACCATGAGAGCCCTACTTGTTCCTCCAAGTGAATCCTGCAGTATTCTGGTCAATTTGCTTTCCCTGTAAGGCACTCTTTGCAGGTTATTATTCAGCGCATAAACCACATTGGACAGTGCAAATAAGGACTGATTAATCTTGGCACTCTCTTGTAGACGGGTTCCTTCATTGCCTGTCCTTCTATTGTCTTCGTTACCTGCTTAAGCCATGGAGTTTTGTTAAAACTGCAGATAACAATGTCTAAGAGGCTCTATGTACTCAGATGATGGAAAGAAAAGTAACCTGCCAGATCAATCAGATTGATTTTCCCAGTGACAGTCCCTTCTGAGGTTATGGAGATCACAAGCACCCCATGGCTCCTACTAGAGACATCATTTAAACCAGTGTGTGCAACTTTCCTCCGCTGAACACCACACGAGTAGGCCTCGTGAAACTCATGCATGGAGCTAACTGGGATACTAGAGAGCCCCTTAAGATGGACATGTCCATCTTTATCATCCCAAATAGCAATCTCGTTAGCTTTGACTTCTAGGAGATCCCAACATCTGTCCATGTAAACTTCATAATATGATATCTCCGCTCTACTTCCCGTCTTCTCGCACATTGACAGAACGGTGGACATGGCCAACGGCATCAGGCCAGGAAGCTCATCGATTCCCTGAGACATCATCAAATGAAACAAAGAGTTGAAAGAGCATTCATTATGATGATAGAGCTATTATTTTTTGTTAAACCCATTTCAGAGCTCAACATAACAGAGATTTTGATAAAATATCACAAAGAAAACAAGTTCTCTAAAACCAACTAAGCAACTCAATCACTAGAATCTCCCAATTTCATGGTCTTTCTATCTAATTAATTTCTCAGCCCTCTCCACTATGATAAAAAAAAAAGCAATACTAATCTCAATTTTTCACTTTTGGATCCAAAATTTTGAAATTTCTAGGAAACTGACCTGCATTGTAAACGTCTTTCCGCTTCCGGTGGCTCCGTAAGCAAGCACAGTAGCGTTTAAACCCTGAAAGATCCCCGAAATCAAAGGGTTTACTTCTCTGTCAAATATCTGCT